AATGATATGGACATACTTCGCACGATGAGTGAGCCACTATTGTAAGTGTGAAGTTGGAAAGGTAGAGGGAAAATGTATTAATGGTATTTTATTAGGCAAACCAGTTCACGAGGTTTGAAAAGGAACAATAATATTTTCAATCGTCACACACAAAACCGATACGATAGGTACGTGGAACTTTCATGATAAAATACGAGTCGAAACGATTTGCGATAGCTGGTAGGTATAGGTGCGTAATATTATTGCTTCTGGGAAACGAAATTATGATTATGATTAATTCTCTAAGAAAATCATTTTATAGATTAAAATAACTATTATATCGTGTATATTAGACTCGGTCATAAAAATTACACTACCATTTTGTTAAGACTTACTGACAAACACTTTATATTTTCGTATCTGGTCACCTCGTGAAGGTTTCATCGTGACGAAATTGACATTTACAAAATACCGAGCAGGCGCGTCCCTCATAAGCCGTGTGATTTTCTTTTTTGTTATACAAAATATCCATAATTCTCAAGTAAAAATAATTACAAAGGCAACTACCAAATTGGTTCCAAATTTCTTAAAGATGATTCCGAATCTTAGAAAAACTTTGATTGAAACAATATAAATGAAACACTTCTCATTTATAAATTCCAATAAACATTTTCTCAAGGGTGAGATAGAATTATGGAAAAACAAGTGGAAGTAATCAATTTGCAAAGATATAATAAAATAATATATACTGTGACAACAATTTCTATTAGAAATCTTGCTTCAATATGTAAGTGTAGCACCTTTTTTGAAATGAAATATTGTCATATTGATTAGATGGTACTTTACGAAGGTCATTTTTTGATATTCCAAGCAGTTTTCATAATACCAGGAAAACCCAGGATAAAACGTAAGAAAAACGGAAAAAATTACGAAAATAATGCTTTTATTATTTTCAATTTTGTTTTTTGTGATATTTTAGTTAGAAATATTCGTAAACACATGAAATTTGGATAGAAAACGTATATTTGCCTTTTCTTGACGTGGTAAAATTTTTAAGAAATTTATAGCCATTTTAATTTTGCGAGTTTTATACGTAATTTTTATTTGGTATGTACTCTGTGGATAAAATTGTTAAACCGAACAGAAATGCTTGAGAATTTTACATGAGGTACTTTGTAGTAAAAAAAAAAAAAAAAAATGTTGGCTTAAAATAACTTGGTGCATTAATAACACGTCGCGCGCCGTATCGTCACACAAATGATACTCCACTACTCTCCTTCAACGTAAAATTAAAAGTGGAATATCTCGTCAACGGCTTGACAGAAATAAAAAATGTCAACACCGAAATTTATTTTAACTAATACTCTATTTATGGATTTTTCAATATAGTTTGCCATTTGAAAATCAAAAGTATATAGTAGTTTTACCCCCAAAAATAAGTGTGACAAAAATTAACATAAATATAAAATTTTAGAGCAACTTGTTTTTTAAATGTTCTAGAAAACAAATTCCGAAAAAAATTAATACTTTCCGAGATAATGAGTGTACCCACTTAAATGGATCACCCAGTACCGCGTCACTATTATTATACAATACTATTTACCATAATTATTTTTGTTTCCATATAAATTCTTATTAATCGCCACTTACTAAATTTACGACGAATCAGAATTATTGCGTTTACCCATCGTGGAGAGCCATATGAATTGTGCTAATAACGATAATTAAGCGAGGTGTAAATGTATATTAAATTAATATTATTTAACGTTAATATTTTTCACAATATGGGTATATAATTCGGTTTTGAAAATGATTGGTTTCGAAATTACTGCAGAACCCATTTTCATACATTTCAACAATTTCTATTTGTTCGTTTCGCGTTATTTATCACAAGACGTCATCGTCGTAACAGTAGGTACACCTATGTAGCGTATACAATATATAATAAAGCCATAAATATTTTGATCAAACAAATTTTAGCCGTTTTACATAGATATTATAAAGTACTGTAAAATGAAAATTAATTATATAATGTATAAAATGTTCATTCACCGTTTCCAGTATGACGTAAATGATGACACGATTGACGTCAAAGGGACGCGCAACAAGTACCCATGGTAACCAGACGTAAAATGACGTCAGTGCAGTTATTGATCCTTAAGCAGCCTTTATGAATGAATAACGCTGAAAGGGACAACGTTACCCTTGAAGAAAACCAACGAATTGGAAAAAAAAAATATATTTAGATATATAGATAAAATATATTTTGTACATTTTACAACACAATAATTTTACTATTTCATTTTGTTTTCATTATTCAATAGACCCTATCATAATCAATTTCACAAAAACGTAAGTCTCCTTTTTTTTTTTTTTTTTATATATTGTTTAGGTCAATCACTCGGTTAGTTTTTATATAATATATTCCATGTTTTATATTTGACTAAATATTCATTAAATTTTAGATTCTGAGTGGAGCGAAGAAGCTTATGGTTTTACAAAGATGTTTATTTTTTTTGTTTTGTGGACAATTTTTTGACCGGAGATCTTAATCCGATTTTTTAATGTAAAATCTTTTCTAAAAGGAAATCGGTGTGAGGAGGTACTTTAAGGCGGTCATTTTTCGATTTTCTCAACAAATGTAAAAAACCGAAAACAAACAAAAGAAAAACAGGAAAATGTACGAAATATTATATTAGTAAAGTATTACGGTTTTTATTTTCTGGGACAACTTTTCTACCAGCATATCTTGCTCCAATTTATAATGATGACAATTTTTCTAAAAGGAAGTTTCTAGGAAGGTAATTTAGGAAATTAATTTTCAATTTTCTCAGGAGTTTTCTCAACAAATGTGAAAAACTCAAAAAAAAACGGGAAAACGTAGAATAAACGAGAAAATCGGTACATTAAACCAATATTATTAAAGAAAATATATAATTCTTATTTAATTATTTTACCATAATATGACATATATTAAATTGTTGAAAAATCATCAATATCAATTGAACTCCTCTCAGAATCGTTTTTTCGTCAACAATGAATGACAGTAGGTACGCAATGGTTTATTGTTACTTACAGGTATACATTAAATTACTTTTAACACTGGCTGAACCCAACCCCATTATCCTAGGACGTCCTTTTTATATCACTCTTCTGAAAAAATCGTTTTTTTTGAGTTGTTGCAGTATTAAACTGTATAATCGATATTTTGTATTTATCCCGCTACTTTTAGACACTTTTAGCAGCTCCCTTTGGGCCAAATGAGATCAAACTCGTTATAATTGTAGTTGTTTTCTAAAAGATTTAATTGAATTGGTAGCATTTTTGTTAAACTCCACCATGTTGTTTCGAGAGATGGTATTTTAATAGCTTTGTACACCCCTAAAAATCCCTCAAATGAAACCAAGGGGATGGAATTTTGTATATACATAATATAAGTACTAAGGATCTTTTTTTTGGAGGTTTCAACTCATTAAACCCATTTCAATCAAGTCATGGTTCAAAAATAATGTACACATTTAAAAATATTTTAATATTTTGTGGTTTTTCAGAGTTTTAAATTTGTTATGTTTATTATTTTCTTTAAAACATTACTGGTAGAAAATGTGTTCACATAAAAAAATAAAAAATAAATATCATTGTAAAATCAATACATTCTCTGAATCTAAGTCAGAATGATGAAGATAACATATAATCGAATATTGTCATAAGTTGTTGTATTATCGGTTATTGCTTAATAGTCTAACGAGTTTATATAAAATAATACAAAAGATTGGTGTTTTGAAATATTAACTATTTTTAGATAATATGTTTACAATTTTATTTTAATATTGTTTCTTTAAATGATTGTACAATATTTTATAACGACCATTCTAAAAAATTATTTTTCACACGTTAATGATAGTAAAAATTAAAAATTACTTAAATTTAATAATAAAATGAAAATGGCTTAAAAAATTGAAAATGACCCTATAAATGACAAAAAATGCAATTAAATCTTAAATAGTCAGAAAAATGCAAGAAAATGCAAAACAAAATGTACATATTTGAACTTTTTGAGTATAAAATCAAATTTTGTGCTTGGAAAGCTATATCCTGGTAATCATGAAAAAAAAAATAATAAGTAATAATTAATAACTAGTTATTAGGTCTCTGATAAAAACTCAAAAAGAAAATTACAAAATCAATAAAATCCAAGGGCGAGCGATAAAAAAAAATGTTAACGTTGCTAACTGGTCAGGTGACCTATATTTTGTTGGAAAATAATTCGGTAGAAAATGTTTTACAAATATTATTCGAGCAGAAAAATATTTGACTAGAAAATTATTTTTTTCGAAAATATAACGGACGAAAATAAAATGCTGGAAAAGTTTTTTGTCCGGAAAATAATTTCTTAGAACCGTATTTAGTTAGAAAATCAATTATATTAAATACAAATAGAGCGCGCTGTTGAGAAGGCAAGCGACAGCATGGCTGTAGATATATTTATATCTATGGCCACAATAAAGTTATAGGTAGATAATACCAATAAAGATAGATTGATGTCATTAACTAATTTATGTAACTAATTAACATTGGGCATTGAGTAATGAGGTCTATGGACCTGGTATATCTAAGTATATCTTATATAACCGTACTCCGTAGTAGAGAAACCAATATTCAGAGATTAACAGATGATATGAGATAACAGTGTTATCACCTTTATAGGTATTTTCTATCGAAATTCGGTTCTAACAAAATATTTTCCTATCAAACTATTTTCGTACCTAATATTATTCTGATAATATATTTTCTCATAAAATATTTTCGACCAAAATATTTTTCTGTACAGATACTGTTCAGATAAAATATTTTTCTTCTAAATTACGGTGCGACGTAAATATTTGTCGACAGTTTTATTTTGATGTAATATCATTCTAACAAAATATTTTCGTACTTAATACGCGTCCCCACTGGTCACACTGTATCGCGGAGTCGATTATGATAATAATATTAATATTAATCTATTTATTGTGATTGTTAAGATTTATAACTATTACATTCTTACATAAAACTAAAATAATTTGTTATTAGTGAATATTATAAATGTAAAAATACTATTACAGTATTAAATAGTTTCTCAAAAATAACTGTTTAATATATTTCTACTTAACTCATTAATTCATGCGTTTTACAATGTTTTTAACACAATTTCTACCCAAATCTATTTTGTAAACATAAACTTCACTTTTGTTTAAAGCTGTTCATAAAAATTGCAAAAATTGAAGGTAAGTACTGTAAAATGTTATGATATTTTTTTAAGATTAAAATGGTATGCAAGTATACCATAAAGATAATATTTCAAATAAAAATCTGTATTTTATTGTAGCTATATTAAATGACCTAGTTTAATTATTTATAAATATATATCATTTTTTTAAGTCTTATTGAAATTACTATAATCAGAAACTTGTTAAATAATAATTTTACTTGCTGAAGTTTATAAAATTGGTTAATACACAAACTATCTAGTTAAATTATTTTTTTCCTATTATTTTATTATTCTATTACTTTTTATTTTAACTATTCACAAGCATTATGATACATCTTCTAAACTTCACATCTTTTCATCTCATTTTCTAATTTTAATAATTATTTTGCTGAAGTTTTTGGCTATTTGTTGTTTTTTTATTATTATTATAAGAATACATTAATGTGCTAATATTGCCTCTATTACTGTATGCATTGATTGAGTTATACAAATAATAAAAATATTAAACACTTTTTAGTTATTTAAATTGTATTTTATAATAAATTTTAGTGAATTAAAAAAAAATAAAAATGCATTGTATACTTATGAATAAAAAAAATTATTGTGATCTAAAAACAATTCTTGTAGATAGATATTTCTATAATAACCAATAAATTGTATTTATTTTTGTCAGGTACATGGGATTGGTGTTCTCCTCCGGTGCACCTACTTTCATCTCTTAGTGCGCAATCCACTGCACTACATATGGGTCCTATAGAACCAGATTCGCCACTGCCTAATAGGCTAACACACGTCTCGGACAAACATCCAAGATGTATGTTAGCCGAATTCAGTTCTATGAGGCGCCATCGTGAACTATGCGATGTTGTTCTCAATATTAACAATCGAAAAATATTTGCCCACCGTAATATTTTATCGGCATGTAGTCCTTACTTCAGGGCCATGTTTAACGGGGACCTAGCTGAATCTCGACAAACAGAAGTCACTATACGTGACATGGATGAAATAGCAATGGAACTTTTAATAGAATTTTGTTACTCTGCTCGAATCACAGTTGAAGAATCTAATGTTCAAACTCTCCTTCCAGCTGCTTGTCTATTGCAATTGACTGAAATACAAGATATTTGTTGCGAGTTTTTAAGAAGACAACTTGATCCATCCAATTGTCTCGGCATCAGAGCATTTGCTGACACACATTCTTGTCTTGATCTGTTACGTGTAGCTGATAAATACACCCAACATAATTTTCAAGAAGTCATGGAGAGCGAGGAATTTCTTCTCCTTCCTGTTTCACAGCTGATCGATTTAATTTCCAGTGATGAACTCAATGTAAGAACAGAAGAACAAGTATTCAATGCAGCAATGACTTGGGTCAAGTTTAATATAGTTGAACGCCGACAAAATCTTCCTCAAGTACTTCAGCATGTCCGATTACCCTTGTTAAGCCCCAAGTTTTTAGTTGGTACAGTCGGCGCCGATTTATTAGTAAGAAGTGATGAAGTATGTAGAGATCTTGTTGATGAAGCTAAAAACTATTTACTTTTACCACAAGAACGACCTTTAATGCAAGGTCCTCGAACTAGACCTCGAAAACCAACTCAAAGGGGTCAGCTTTTATTTGCTGTTGGAGGTTGGTGCAGTGGAGACGCTATAGCTTCTGTTGAACGTTATGATCCCCAAACAGAAGATTGGAAGCTGCAGGCACAAATGAGTAAACGAAGATGTGGAGTTGGAGTTGCTGTACTTAATGATTTATTGTATGCAGTCGGTGGACATGACGGTCAGTCTTACCTTAACAGTATTGAACGATACGATCCACAAACCAATCAATGGTCTTGTGATGTGGCACCTACAACTTCGTGTCGCACAAGCGTTGGAGTTGCTGTTTTAGATGGTTTACTCTATGCAGTTGGTGGTCAAGATGGTGTACAATGTTTAAGTCATGTTGAACGTTATGATCCTAAAGAAAATAAGTGGAGTAAAGTGGCTCCCATGACAACAAGACGATTAGGTGTTGCAGTTGCTGTTTTAGGTGGTTATTTGTACGCAATCGGTGGTTCAGATGGACAATCGCCATTGAGTTCTGTTGAACGTTACGAACCAAGGATGAACAAATGGACAGTAATGGCACCAATGTCAACAAGAAGAAAACATTTAGGATGTGCTGTTTATAAGGATATGATATATGCAGTAGGAGGCCGTGACGATTGCATGGAATTGAGTAGTGCTGAGAGATATAATCCACATACAAATTCATGGTCTCCAATTGTAGCGATGACATCTCGGAGAAGTGGAGTAGGTTTAGCAGTAGTAAATGGACAATTGTATGCTGTTGGTGGATTTGATGGAACAGCGTATTTAAAAACTATTGAGGTATATGATCAGAGCCAAAATCAATGGCGTCTTTGTGGCACAATGAATTATAGGCGACTTGGAGGTGGTGTTGGTGTAATGAGGTCACCACAAACCGATAACAATTTTTAAACTATTATCAAAATTATTATTTTTTTTTTTTTTTTTGTTATTTTAATCATATTTTTCTCTACTTAATCTTATATTAGAATTTATATTTTATTTTCTTGTATAGGTACAATGACAAAATAGATATTAATATTATAATTTGAAACCAATTATATTTTTAATATACCATAATACAAATTTTATTATAATTGAATATTTATTAGATTAATATAAAATACATCCCAAAAAGTATTTCAAATTAAAGCTCTATATTCCATATAGGTACTTTTATTAAAAAAAAAATATATGTATTTTAAATTCTTACAAATTTAATTAAAATATTTTATTAAAGTCATATCGTGGACATTTAATTTAGAAAAAGAAATAAAATATACTCTAATGTATATGGAAAATGATAACAGATATAGGTATAACAATTATATTTATCAACAATAAACAATAATTAGGTCCATAATTTTATGAAATATGTAAAATGTTTAGCTGTACAGAATTTAAAATGGTTTTACTAAGTTTATATAAATTTTGTTTAACAAAATAAAATAAAATCATGTTTATACAATAAAACTTCAATATAATAATATATTGAATATGCTGTTCTCGGTATCATTATTTTAAAAAAATGTTATATTTTAAAACAAAGTATTATGCCATGTTACAAATAATTAAACAAAAAAAAAAAGAAACCTTATGAATCTTACTGTTTGAAAATCATTAAGTACTAGTAAAGTAATATTGTTATTTGATCTGTAATAAATTATTACATTCATAGTTTATGATAGGCGCTTTAAAATAATACATTTACATTATTGTTACTTCATAGACAAATAAGTTTACCAAAAAGAAGTGATTGAAAGTTTAACTATTTTATAAATTGACTTTATAAACTACCCAAGATGTATCATAATGTTTAAACATTTTTATTACGCTATAATAATCTGTGTCCTAATCTTTTTAAGAATAAAAATAAAAAAAAGCTGGAGCAAAATGATATAAATTTGTATTTTTCCTAATTAACTTTAAAAAAATTATATATAAACTGAAATGTTTTTTAAAAGATACAAATACTCTTATGATTATCCTTTATATAATCCTATGTTTATTGACAATACATCTTGTCTACGCAAAGGTTAGGTATGTGAGGCGTGTACACCGTTCATTATAAGGCAACAAAATATTGCACAGCATTAAAATAATTACCCGTGTAACAAAATTAATCTATGGTTACATAAGAATCTCTGATAATATTATTTTATGCTAAAGTGGTATAAAAATTCAAGTGGTGTAATGGATTTAAATTTTAAAATTTGGAACGTAACTAAGGGGAACTATTGGTTTTACTGTGAAGTTTTTTTTTTTATCTATGAACAACTTTTCTACAAGAAAACTTACTCCAAAATATCGAATGTAATCAATTTTCTGAAAGGGAATTTTTCTACTTGGTGCATTGAAGAGATCATTTTTTTGAAAATTATATTTAAAACAACAAATATTGGGCGAGCCACAGCATTACTGATTTCATTGGCTCCAATCGAAAATAACAATGAGATAGATTTTGTTCCTATTAACATGTACCTATCCACTGATAAAGAAATTCGTTTTTTGATATTTAAAGTAATTTTCATAATAACTATGAAAAACCAAATAGAAAAGCACAAGCTTTTTAAATTACGGTGAAACTACTTCATTATTTAAAAATGTTAAGACAATTTTATTGTTAGAAATGTTTGCTCAAATTTCAATAAAAGCATACTTTCCGAAATATAAGTTAGCCTTGTTTGTGAGTAAGAAAGACTTCGTTTGATTTTCCTTATAGATTTTTTAATAGTTACGAAAGACCCGGAAAAACCGTAGGAAATACGGCCAAGTGTACAACATTCGGCTTTTTTGTTGTTATTCGGTTAAAAGTTATTGCAGAGACTTATAGTTTTAACAAAATACTTATAAACATTCTATACATTGTGCCTCGAGAGAACGCATACGGCTCTTGCGTTCAAACAATAACATTTCTCCCCGCGTCGAGTCAGTGACCATGTTTTGCGGTGGGCATACTCGAAACTATACGAGTTTTGGTCCGCCGTCATATGCTTTCTCTTGTGGCACGGAGTATAGCTATTTCATATTTATGTTTTTATATGTATTTTTATTATATTTGTACACAGACTTGGAAGGAATGCTTGAAAATTCGACATAAAGCGCATTATAATATACTGTACTTATTATATATTATAGTTTCGAGTCTCTGCATGTATTTAAAACCGAATTACAGCAAAAAAACTCCTAAAAATTAAAATTCCATAAAAGCTCAAGAGTTTTGACGGTGATACCGTAAGAAAAAAAAAATCTAAAAGGTGTCGTGTGATTTTTCGATTTAATCATGGTAGAATCATTGTTAAATCATTTTCATGGTAGAAAATCTACCATTTTCTCTGGTAGAAAATGTCCGTGTTTTTATGAAATAATGAAATCGTCGTTTTACTACGTTTTTTTCCACTTAAATTCTTTTATTTAAAAAATGACGTCGAAAATCACGTCTCTAAAGTGCAATTTAGACAACTTGAGCTTTCAAAAAGTGTTACACTTACACATTGGAGCAAGTTTACTAGGAAAAAACGTGTCAACAGACCAGAACAATGAACAAAGAAGAAGAAATAATTGTACCCATGTACCTGTTGACTGCAAAGGCCTAGGCCCTAGATGGTCTGTAAGTCAGCAAGCTGTTTTCATGAAAACCTGAAGTTTGATGAAACATGTAAAAACCATGATATTTTGCATACTGTTTTCTGATTTGTTGATAGAAATTGTTCGGCTCCATAATAATGTTCAATAATTTGAAATAGAAAAACGTAGACAATTATAATTTATTTTGAACTATAAATTGGTACAATTTTAAATTTAAATTTATCAAAACACGTTTAACCAAACTTAGCTCAGAATCGTTTTTTCGTTTGCGACAATTTATAGTTTTCATTATAAACTTAATTACACTGCACATCTTATATCTTCTCAAATTCACATATACAACAGTGGCACCCACAACGGCGCTAAATATGTCGGTTTTTTTTCGCAAGTTTACTTTAATACCCGCCTGTGTCCCCGACGCATTGGCACATAGACTGCATCTAACATCTCACAAATATGATTTTTCTTCACAACGAAGTACCTATTTGGGTATTTTCTATAGGTTTTAATCCGGTTTTTTTTTTTTAAATATATTTTTGTTTGCTCAACCTTATCAATACCTACCTAGGTAGGGGTACAGAATTTGTTGTGTACTTGGGACATTGGGCAATAAATTACGTGTCTATAAATTTATTATAAATTACAAAATTACCGTAGTCATATATCATTTTTAATTTGTATGCTAATCGTAAATAAACCAATTACATGGATACCTATTATTATACCACTGTTGAATTTATTATGATGTTTAGGCATAGTCATACGTTAGAAATAATAATATACTATCCACTTGGTAGAAAAAGAGAAAACAGCATAATAATGAGTGAACAAATACATAAAAGTTAGAAAATACCAGTAGTCTCGCACGATATTAAAACAAAAAAAAATAAGTACATACTTCGCACAATAGGTGGGCCACTGTCGTGGGCACCCGATGGGGGCAATACTGAACATTTGCCCCCTGAACTTCAAAATTTCAAATATAATGTTTGGTATTTGATTTTATTATGCACCTCCCTACGTCGGCCTGGTCATCAATGTGCTCAGGCAAGTTCTTAGTCAGGGCTATACGTAAAAAAAAAAAGGTCCTTCGAAACTTTACAAAGACACTGTCTCTCCCTGATGAATTTCCTACGGGCGCACATGCCCACTGTTATAGTTGAGAAGTTGGGATCAAAATGTGATAAGTACTAAAATTCTTATAAAAATAATATTTAGTACATTAAACTCACCTCTTTCTTGTATGGCCACTAAAAACAACTTAAAATCAATCTCCTGTTAAATTGTCAAATATGTCTGTTTAGTCTAACAATTTTTATCCACAGAGTACATACCAAACAAAAGTTACGTAAAAAACTCACAAAATTAAAATGTCTAAAAATAACTCAAAAATGGCCCAAATGTTTTGAACATTTTTACCACGTCTAGAAAAATCAAACCTACCTACAAGTTTTCTATTATAACAAAAGAATAGAATTAAAAATAAACGTACATACTTTGCATGATAGGTGGGTCACTGCTGTAAATAAGAAGTTGTTAAGTAGAGGGAAAATGTAATGTACGTATATCTGTACGCAAAGATTAATCATTGCTAACCAAAAATGATTCTGAGCGGAATAACAAAATATTCCTTACTTTGCTCAAAATCTAAAAGCATTAAAACATGTCTGAAAATTATGTTGGTATTTAATATTATCGTTACAAAGTATATTTTTACCAACAACAGCAATGAACAATAATTTAATCACAGTGTTAAAAGATATTTTCTAAAACTGTGATTTGAATAATATGTATTATTGTAGCTACAAATCAGGATAAATAGAGCCTGTTATCAACAAAGTATTTTTCCTGAAATTTCTTCATCGAATAGACACTAATCAGCGGCAAAAATTTTAACTAATCAAGTTATCAATACTTATATTTCAATATTTGAAATTATTTTTGAGTTTTTAATTGTTAAAATGTTCAGAGTAATAAATAGTAATACTATACTGGGTACTTTAAAAAAATAAACTGTTATTATCATGCCTGTTAAATGTTGTTTACCAAATTACCAATCATTGGCAAAATCAAGATTTGTTAGTATTAGATAGTAGTTATAGTATTAAGTATTTAAAATAGGTATTATATTATAATAATATTAATTAACAAGTAATGGTCATATAAAAACAAATTGTACTTCAAGTGATTAAATTTTTCAAATAATGCATATTTGTACTTAATATATTAATTCTTAAACTATAACTTACTACAAAAGGGAACATAAACAATGAAGGTATGTTAAATTTGCAAGTGACAAAGGTATTTAATGTAAATTATAATTTACTAGCATTATATTAATCCATGTATATATTATGATAAAAATTACAAACTAATATTTCTTTATTTATGATAAAAACAAATATGTTTTCACGGGAAAAACAATTAAAGCGGCAATCAAAAATAATATACTTATGTTACAATGTTACCCATGTTACCTGTATTACATTAACCAAGGTAACCTATAAATCAATAAAAATACTAATTTACTTTCCCGAAATATGTTTTGAAAATTGTAGTTATTTCCTTTCTATAAGGAACCCTTTATTTACTTTTTTATCCACATAATATAATATATAAATGTTACAAATTTTTAAGATTGAAGCAAACCGAACCTACACATTTTTATTTGAGCCCGAACCAAATCAAACTTTTAAAATATTTTATCGAACTCGAACATTGGAAAAGTAAAAAAGTTAAATTAGATTAGTTCAAAAACCTAGGTTCTCAAACTGCTTGGCTTTGTGATTTACAAGACTCACTAATTTAAAAAAAATTGAATTTTTCATTTTTTAACAAGGCCTTTATGTCCCACCACAGAAAATCGTATTGGTGTAAAATCGGCATATAATGATTTTTGAACTGAACTATTGGGTATTTGGTTTGATTCGATTATTTTCAATTTTCAGGTCGAAGATCTAACAGTTCAACACATCTCTAATAATATGAAAATAATGTTTTGTACATAATATTATATAAAGTGCATTAGCACATTGTTTAATAATATTTAAAATAAGCTGATAATAAAAATCATAAACATAATATATATTATTAACTATTTATCAAGACCAATAGTACAATATAAATTTATCTTAAAATTAATTACTTGCATCATATAAATACATATATTTTATGTAAAATATAATGATAAAAATTGTGGAGCCTTGTTTAAAAAGTTTATTTAAATTGTATGGGTAATATGAGTATAATTAAAGTATAAACAATAATAATTAATATTATAAATGAAATAAAAATTAAAAATATCAATAATATTATCAAGTATCAATAAATTGGACCTAATTATTAACTAAATTGTTTAATAATATTATAACGTTAAGCCTTCTAAAGCTTTATAAATTGAATCTTCATTATCAACAGATTCGATTCTATTTTGTAAATGTGCGATTGTGTTTTCAAAATGCTTTGTTATCTGTTCGGTTTCTTCATTCGGAGCCAAACCTGTTATTTCTTTTTTAATCTGACCTATTAACTGATTCAATATGTCTATGGACACCTGAATATTTAAAAATCAAAAATTTGTACTTTTGTTTAATGTGCACAATAAAATGTCTATTCAATTGTACTTACATTATTATTGCCTCTTTCATAAAAATAAACATAATAGTTCAATAATTCCACAAACAACTGAACTTGAACCGAGATCTCCATACACTGTTTGGTAATACGGACACATTTTTTCAAGCAATCCATTACTCGTTTACCATCTTGAATCTGTTATCAAAAATATTAAATTATTAAGGAGTACAAAAAAATAAAATATAAAAATGTTTGATCAAAATAATTAAAGATCAACATTTTAAACAAAAGTGTACAATGCATATACAAGATTTTTTTAATTTCCTTACTGGTTGTCCAAGATTATTTTGTGCTGACCAAAATAAATGTGAGCTGATGGCTACTGCTCTACATTGATCTGGTTTTTTAAGTAATTTAGATGCAGCCAAGGCACATTGAGTACGAACAGGTTCAGCATTTTCTTCATCAAAGCAATTAATCTTTTCAAACGTACCGATTAGTAGAACAATAGCAGCTAGTTGACATTTACTTTCAGAAATTTCTTCTTCGTATAATGTAAATGCCTACAAATTTATCAATATAAACAATAATATTATGCTATTTGGATAAATCCGAAAAAAAAACTAGTTATTATATTATTATGTTAGTACTATATGTACCTGTGAGTAAAATTCATAAGCCACAGTTTCATAGTTTTTGAAATTAATTTGGGAAATAGTTAAGGCTCCTTGTAAAAATAACCTAAGTGGTAATTCTGCAAGCTCAGCTTTAGTTAGTTCTAGAATTGTCTGATGGCAAAATTGGAATATTTTTCTGCATTTTTTCTCCCATAGTTCATCCTTTAAATTAAAAATTACACAACCTTAGAAAATAAAAATTGTTTTTTTTTTTCTAACATACTTGATTTCTTTTTCCACTATAAATCAATGCCAATTGGTAAGCTTGGAATACTAAAGGAGGCAAAGTATAACATATTCGTTTGTTTCCTCCCAAACTAAAATGTTCTCTCTCTGCCATTAAAATTTTAAATTGTAAATCAGGTTCTTCTGCTTTCATATGATGGACAAATCTAGAGAAAAAAAAAATATATATGCATGTAACAAATAATTCTGTATTTATTAATTAGCCTAAAACAAATGCAATTCCAACCTTCCAAGAAGACTTTGTTCTTCAGCAAAATCTTCAGGATCTTCCTCACCAAATGGTTGGTCTTGTTGATCTTTAACCAACGGAGACACCATAGTAAGGACAGTTTCTGCCTATAAGTTTTTTTTTTTATAAATAAAATTACCACAATTGTTTTGATAACATTTATAATGTATAAAAAATTTCAAAAATGTTTGCGATTCCGAAATATATTATACCTGTTCAACTGATGGAATTCTTGTTCTGTATTGAACAGCATTTTGTAATAAATAAATAGCAATAGTTTTACGACCAGTGTAATCAAAATATTCGATGATCTCAGGGAAATGTTTAAGTTTCATCACTAAAAGAAGATCATTGTAATTGTCAATAGGCAATTTCATTAAAGCCATTAACTCTCTCGATACAGGATTTTTATGATTGATTCTAAAGGAAAAAGATTATATAGTAATTTATTTTGTAGATTATTTCATTTTTCTAAACATACTTTTCAATTTTACGTCTAGAAAATGTATCAGAAATGGTCTGAAGAGATTTATCAACATAATCAATATTTTCAGGATAACATTTAAGAGCTAAACCAACCATAGCAGCTTGGAGGGACACAGTATCTTCAAGTGGTAAATCACGACTCTATAAACAAATAAATAAATAAATATTGTAATAATAGGAAATATAATAGAATAATTAAATATGTTATAAGATATATAAAGATAACAACCTTTGGTCATATTAATAAATGTATTACCTGAATAATATTAGCTATTTGTTCAGTGAGTACTTCAAATAATTTCACTTCAGATGCATTAGAATTTTGGAAAGTAAATACTGTTAATCGATTTATCATTAAGATAACAATAGTCTTTACGTTTACAGATGGTTGCAATTCACAACAGGACTTTAAAAAGATATTTAGTGTATAAAGATGAAATTCATCTGGAAACACCTGTAAAATTTAAAACAATTAAATTAAAAATATTAATAAGTACTTAACATGTTATGTTAATTGGATGTCACACTTACAATCTAGATCTACTATCTTGGCCTAAGTAATGGGCAACATAGCAAAATTATGTTACATTAAAACATAAACTGTGGTGTTTACACAAAATAACAAAATTTAAAAAGAAATAAAATTCCAAGAACTGTAAGCAGGGTTGGACCAGATACTAAAAAAAAAATTGTATTTTGATGCAATATACAAGATATCTAACAAAACTTGAAAAGATACAAAATACATGGTACAAGTATTAAAGATATATAAAGAATGTAAGGTATTTTTAACTCTTACATTACCATAATACATCAATTTGGTGGATATCTTGTTATAACTTATAAGAATCATTTTAATTTAAAATAAATTAAATAATTATAATTTTTAGAATTAGTACATATTATAATTAATATAATAAATTAAATTGTTTGGTAATAAATATCATTAATCAATATAAATAACATATATTTAGATGTTTATTAAATATTATTCTGACCAATTCTTGATTACTTTTTTAAAAAACTAAAACATAAATCGTGTGGTTTTTAACGCAAAAAGATACTTGATACTGTAATAAAAAGTATTTTGATACAAGATACAATATATATTTTATACATGATACATTTGTGATACTGCTTAACCATGACTGGTAGAAGCTTTTTTTTTTTAAATTGTCATACAAAAAAGTTGTGAAATATAATGGAAAAAATAGGCTGGAAGCCTTTGAAATGTAATGCTTCAGAGAAAAGATGATAGGGCACATGTTAAGACATGAAAGCCAACTAAAGACAATAATTGAAAGAGATGTAGAAGGACACATTAGAAGAGGAAGACTGAGGACAAAATATATGACCCAAATAATGAAGGATATGAACAAAAGAAGCTACAAAAACCTGAAAGAATTAAGTTACAATAGAGAAGCATGAACAGCTGCAACAAACTAATTTAAGGATTAATAACAAAAAAAGTTATAACTCTTATTATTTTTATTACTAGCTGATCCTGCACAGCGTTGCCCGTGACAAATTCAATGCCAGTGGATTTACCTCCTATGAAACTCCATTAAAAGTTAACATTATGTAAAAGAGTATGCAAAAAACAGGAATTTTATAAGTTCAAACCAGCAACACTTAGCGATTGGCCTTGAGCCTTGTTGATAGTTATAGCAAAAGCCACACATACTGGAAACTGTAATCGCTTGAAATAAAATGGCAAATCGGTTGAAATTATTGGAATTTATGGCATCAGCATTTCTCCTATACATTTACCACTAATAATTGTGACCTCAATTAAATTTAGTGACAGTATTTTAACCAGTAGACTGCAGCCTACCGGTTTGAAAGAAACGATGCCATTCACCGCAATATGATGCTGCCTACAATAGCAGAAGAAATCCAAAAGTTTGCTCGTAAACACGAGAAGAGATAGAGAACCATATCAACCCAATAGCCATCGAACTGTTAGACAAGTCCAAAGACATTAGACGCCTTAAACGTCTGAAACCATACGACTTAGTTTAAGTGTTTAAATTAAGTACAGGAGCCACTTCATTGGAAGTGTGACTTCATCAATGTGTAATGTATATATATTATCATCTAGTATGTAAGATATATCCTGTTAAACATATTTATAAAGACCATCAGGTCGTTTAAATAATAAAGCCCCAGGGCATTTAAAAAAAAAAAAAAGTATTTTAACAACAAATCTTGTTCTGTTGCACAATTTTGGGGAATCTAAGTTGCAAATGAACATCAACAGTGAACCAAATTTTAAAGTTAAGATGTGTGGTAGCATTCCAGATGGTTCCAAAGATATAATAAACTCTATTGGATAGTTGACAGCTTGACTCTCATCTATAACTGTGTCAATCGATTTGTACTTGACAACTTCACCCGGTAGCTTCAATTGAATTTAATGGTTTATTTTGTGGACATCATCATTCATCAGAGCCAAAATTTGTTCGCAAAACCAATCATGTTTTTTTAAATTGTTTTCAATATCGGGGAAAAATGTATTATTATTATTTATTTTATTTGTATCACCAAGGTAACCAATAAATCAAAATGAATAATTAGATTTTCATACCTAAAATACCAATATTTCTATGTCACCCACCCTTTAGGGGTGTAATTTTGAAATAAAATTTAGCTACAAATCTTCCTCAAAAATTGCTGATAATATTAGTGAAAACCGCATTTGAATTGGTTCAGTAGATTCCGAGTCTATAACGGACATCCAAACATGTTTTTTATTTTATGTACATAGATTATTATTTTTTTTAATTAGCTGTCATTTTTTTTTATGTGTATGACATTTATTTAGAAAAAAAGCAACAGCCTCAAAAGTATTCTCATCTTTAAATTTTGGTATTTGTATTTAAACTCCAATTTTAATCACAATTTACGTTCTAAGTAACTTAATTTTGTTATATTGTTATGTTAGTTAGAGACAATAAATGAGGATGTGGTATATTTTTGATAATTAAATTAAATTTGTATGCATACCGACATAAATAATGATTTTAAATATTTTTATGTAATAAAACTTACAACATAAATAGTACTGATACTGTTGATTATGTAATTGATAATACTATTATTATCTATTATTACATTATTATATAATAACATAATCAATTTTTATAATAATTAGTTTAATAATGATTAGACTGAATTTGTTCATTTTACATATAAAAATTTGAATATCACTGGCATGTGTTAGTTTAAATGCAAATACTGACAAAATTTTATTGGAGGGTGTAGACACCCTCCAATAAATAAATATATCATGTTTGAATTTTTTAATAATTGCTGTAGATCAATTTTTTAATGAACATTTTAAAACAGATTAAATTTGAAATTTAAAATTCCCCATCCCACCTCATATGTTGGCTGCTGTGTAATTTTAGTTTTAATTAAATTAGTGTTTGAATATCAAAAATTAATAAAAAAAAAAAAATGTATACATACACAATTTTAAACATGCATATTAAAGCTAAATTTTAATACCTGAATTATACATTCCATCAGATATTCTTGTGCAATGGCATCTCGACAACTAACAATTTGTTCCAGAATACCAGGCAAAACTACCTGAACACATAAAATTAAATAAATTAAACAAAGTTTTTAGATTTTGCATGTATTCACTAAAGAAAATATGAAAGTTATATTTATAATATGAAGGATTTAATAACTCAAAATATCTTACTTTGCGGTATTTATCCAATGTAATACTATCTAAATGTGACAACCTGACCAAATTAGTTCCAACCAGAATTTTTAATTCTTCACGTTCTTTTTCTCGGCGTTCTTTTTCTCTAGAATGCCCTTGATGTTGCATTCTCACCCACAGTTTATTCATTTCAGCGAAATTCATCAATATAAAATCAATAGAATCACGGACCTAAAAATATAAATAGAAACGTGTAATAAAAATCTTAAATAATATAAGTCAACTATTAGCTGAGTTCAATAAATAATATATTATTTGAATGTTCACTAACAGTGCCTTCAGGATGTTCATTTTCTTCATTATCTGGTATATCAGGTAATACATTTTTAGAACACTGTAATAAATAATGTCGTAGAAATAGACCGCGCAGGGGATGCTGAACCCCACGACACATTTCCACTAGATCTTTCAGGAGGTCTCGTTTTAAGTTTGTGTTTGTTTTAATGTAAACTAATCCAACCGTAATCAACAAATAACTAGAGTAAATAAATTTAATAATTAGATGTTGAACAAAATATAATGATAATTTGAAATATTCACAGTCTGGGTACAATGTTTCCGGCATACTGTATGATTTGATATAAATCATCAACTTTGCGACCACGTTCAAACTCTTCCACTAAATACAAGTCCAAATAACACAACTCGTTTGTTACTTTCATAACTGTAAGTATATAATATTAAAAGTTATTAATAAGAATATTGTATAATATTATTAAAAATAAGTAAATCTTTCACAGTACACAGTTCATAGTAACTCTTTGGCGATAATAGAGAAGTGCGTAATTCGGCTAGCATGGCAGATGCGTGTTTCAGGGCTTCCATCAATTTATTTTTGTCCAAACACATTTTCATGTGTACCCCTTGTTTTTGAACGGACGCTAATGCGATTTCCAATTGCTTTTCTTGGTCTTCCATTTGTGTCATACTAAAATAGTGACACCGTGTGAATAAATATTATATTATAATCATATGAACATAAATTAATAGCAACACAAATTGTCATCTCAAAAAATGTTGAAACAATTTTGCTAATGTCAAAAATGAATGAATAGTATTACGGTTATCAAAATATATAATATGCCTACCTACTAACATATTTTGTTTGCTAAAATTGAATAAGTAATGTATTCCAAACAGATTGTTGGGGCGCCACGATATTATATTGAATGATTATAAATTAACGCCGTAATAGTAATAATTTAAAAAAATATATCAAATACATATTGTAAATTTACAAAAATAATACTCTAAAATAATATTGAATAATAATGCGGTGCACCTACTTTGTATTCCGTAAGCCTTTACAATAAAATATTGTTATGAAGGTAAAAACGTTGGTAAAAAAAAAATAATACAATAACAAGCCACTGTTTAATAAAAAGAATAACTATAAATGACAAACGCGTAAACTTGAGAAAAAAAAAAAATTCTAAATGTGTTATACAACTACGATAATAACATATTATTATAATTAATATAGAATAACATATTCCATTTTATTATTATTAATTTTTTTTTTCTTTCGGAAATTGGGCATTGGCCACTGTGTGTAAGTTGCAAAAACTATTATAGATGTTATACCATTATCGCTACTGTTATCTATGGTTATCAACGAAAATTATTTTGACAATAACAATAACGAAAACGATGTTGACGGTTGGCAATGCCGTACGATGAAAAAAAATTAGTGAAATTAAAAATCAAGACCTTGGCAAGAAATATTCGGTACCTATTCCCGAATCACGACTTGCGTTGGCGGATTATTATAATGAGGACGTTGCTTACACAAATGCCTGAATATTTAAAAGGTAATATTCGCGTAGGCACCTTTATTTTTTTTTTTTCTAAACACCCATTTTTTCATTTAAAAAATTGGTTTTTCGATTCGACTTGTATATTTGATGTCGTTGTTAATTGTCGATTTGTTGTAGGTATCCGTTAATCAGAACCGCACAATGAACGGATTTACGGTTTTTACAAGGAAAAAGGTGTACGGAAAAAATTAACCCCATAAACTGCAAGAGCGGCTCCAGAGACTCGGTTGGGGGGGGAGGCTAAATCATATTTTTCAGATAATTGTACAGCCAAAAGCATATTTATGCAATATCAAGCGAAAAAACGTAATCGTCATTGCCGTTATTATTACCAAAATGATTTGACTGCGAACCGACACTTTCAATACTATTTAAATGTTTATCTGACAGTTCACAGTAGTACATCTCCACTATCTACAGACTTTTGTAGGTACTAAACATTCAGAAGAAAATTGTGAAAGCTGATTGGTGTTGTTTTTTTCTTAATTAATACTTAAATGTAACGATTAAAATGTCCTCTTGACATCAAAGGTAGGTAGTTATTTGTTTTTTTTTTTTTTTTAAATCAGAGTTTATAGTTTTTATGCATATTAATATGGTCAAATATTTATAACAATTAACATCACCCCCCCCCATCCCCGTAAACAAATTCTAATTACCTGCGCCACTGACGTGATGCAACAACAAATATTGTTCAGTTCACGTTTAAGAAGTAAGTTAAGTTATTGATATGGAACAATATAGAAAAAAAAAATGGGTCGGAGAGTCCGGCCGGGGACGCCACCCGAAAGGACACTGTTTTGTTGTTGAATAAAGTATCATTCAATAATATTTTCGGTTAAATTTATTTTGCAAGTTTCTACCGAGTGTGGCGCATGTGACACACGTAAGTGAGTAGGAAAGGTGCACAAATGTCTACAAGACGCTGGGTAACGTCATAAAAATCGTGTAAAACGGGGTATATTCTGATTCCTAATGATTTTTGTCAAGAACGCGATTTCAAAAATTCCAAAACGTTGCATTATACATTTGCATGCAATAATATACACAGGTACACACCTTTTTAAAGCGATTTTTACAAGACGTGACGTTCGTCTTCAGTTCTAATACAATCGATGTTTGCATCTAACCCGACCCGTATGCATAACAATTATTAATACTGAACGGCAAAATATTTAAACTATAAATGCATAGTTAAATGTATAAATATTGGATAATTGGGTAATTCGTTATATGGGACACAAAAGACTGATGTACCCACACGGTTTCAAGAGCAAAATAATACATAATTATATAAACTGTTTAATTTGAAAAAAAAATTAAGTATACATTTATTTTACCATAGATAATGAATTGCTATTTGTCCCGTGCGTTTATTATAGTATATACTTTACTGTTAAAGTGTTCTATCGCGTATTTTGGGATAATTGTGAAAACGCATATAACTGCTAACCATTTAAAGGGAAAATGTAAATTTAAAATTGTTCACTTGATAATTTATGATAATTATAATAATTATCATTAAATAATTATTATTTATATAATTTATAAAGACAATTTAGAACGCGGATAACCGGTATGCGATGTTTATATTCTCTAAAAATATTGGTAAAATATACAGAAATATGTTTTTTTTATCAATATCTCAAAACGTCAAAATATGTACTTATACGTAAAACAAATTTAATAAATAATAATTAACAAAATCAATAACATTATTAAAATAGTTATAAACTGTTGGTTTTTAAATCGTTGTTTCGGTATTTCGTTAAATCAATGCACAACAGTCATGAAATATAAAAAAAAAATGATTTGTTAATTTTAATAGACTTCGAAAACAAAACAACTCGTTATCACTGGAGGAAAACGTGTGATAATTTATGCGGTAACAAAATATTATCAATTATTCGGGTCGTAGACATAGATGTTGACACACAGATATAGTCGTAGATGGTCAGCTGTCCAAAAAGTGATAACTAAACATCAAAAATTCGACCAACAGGTTTACCTCAGACATTTACCGCATTCGTATTGAGGAGAGTCCTGACTCGTATCGTTTCGTGTGAAATACTCTCTTCTGATTGGTTCATATTATTTATATTATCATGATACATTTTGATCGTGTCTACTGTTACCGCGAATAAAATTCCACTTTTGGCCGTGCTGGTTACACACTACACATGGTCGCAGGCTTCTATACTAGACAGTGTAGTATATAATTCTGTGGCCGGTTCACGAATTAAGGCGTTCGTGGACTGGTTATGGCTGATAACGTCATATCAGTTATTATGATCACAAATCTATATGTGATAATGATAATAATTATGATCAAATATAATCTATCTAATCTTTACGACATAGTATATTTTATCGTATTTAGTACGTGACACTAGTGCTCCCCAGTGATAATTTAATGCTACCCAGTGATGGGCGATGACCCAAATTACGTGAATGAAATTAATAATAATTATCATAAGATAATATGAATACACAGATATTTTTTTTTCTCCGCAATTTCCACTTGGTGTTGTTGACAAACGCTATCGCTATTGTGCCATAACAAATGCTGTTTTGATTTCATGAACAGATTATCGTATACAGACAACAAAACGTACTTTTTTTAAAAAAAAAATTTAATGCACATATTGTACATTAAATGGCCATAATTTTTTAATTCCCGGAAATATTTCAATTCATACATTTTTAATTAGTCAACTATGCAAAAATATGATTTTATATGAATATTGAATATATTCTCTTAACATCAAAATACTTATATGCAAAATAAAATGTTAAATTCAGATTATTTGTACTGTGAATCATTGACAGATATTACTCCGTCGTAGATTTGTATACGTCCATTAAATGTTTTTAAATAGAAATCCGCGCTCTAAATTACAATTAATTGTACATTTATAATTATTAATAATATAATTTATTTGATGAATGTATAACCAAAATAAAATATAACAATTTGTTATTTAGCCCGTAAGAAGACAAGATCATGGGAGGGACGATACATTCCCCTCGTTCGACCACGCCTTTTAAGTGGAGTAGTGGTGTAGGTAAATAAAGAAACGGATAGGGATCTGACGATGTTGAAGGCGAGAATAAACGAGTAGGTATTTGATGAGCTGATCCCACTCGCGTGTAAAGTAAAAACTAAAGCAGAAGAATCGTTAGAATGTATTGCATGCAATTAAATATTTATTAAAATAAGTCAACATAACTTTTTTGTACAATATTTTTTGTCTGTACGTATTATTATGCAATTATTACATGGATAATTAATATAATTATTACTTACGTTGTTATTAGATATGAATAATTACCGTTGTACGCAGCAATAAACACAATTATAGGGCAAGGACGCAAAGTTCATACAGTACTACACTGATATCGTGTTATTCCAGTTTTTATTATTTGAACAATTATTACATTATAGTTTTAATACTCACATGGTATATTAAAATCGTCTTTAAACGTTCAATTATGGTTCAATGCCTATTCGAATAGTTTATTATAGAAAGTAATAATGTCAAAATAAAATTAATAATATAGTGTTGATAATATTAAATTAACGAATTATTATTTATATTTTAGATTATTTGTGTATAACGAAGAACCTATACGTTTGACTAAGATGTGTGTATCGCGTGCGTTCAAAAATACTTTCTTCGTTTTACTGAAACATTTTTTTTTAAAAAACCAACAACAAATGGCGTGATACATTGTTTTTATTTTTATTGATTTCTGAGTTACCTAATAGGGTGTACAAGATGAAAAAAATATGACTATAATAGGCTAGATAGGAACCTTACCTGCAGTTTACCGAGCTCCGTTCGGAATCGTTCTTTGATTTTTCTAATCTTTGGATTTATCGTTGCTTTCAGTATCAAACTATATTACCCTATATCCTATATACCTTCTCACCTACAACAGTAGCCGGGTGCCCATGATGCCAAAAATATCCTGTTTTTATACTAATTAAATATAAAAATAAATTACTACCTACCTAATGTTCATAATGTATAATATACATCTTGTCTTTCCCGTATTCTCTTATAGTCGGACATTATCGATTAAATATTTACAAATAATTATTGTTTGCTATTTTAAAATATTAAACTATTAAAATTAATATGATAAAAAAATAAATGAAATTTGTATATTGCCTATAATACGAGTATTTTGTCCTCTATTGACAACACCGTTTAAACAGTGCAGATTTTGTATTATTATCGGACTGTTAGGTACGTATGTGGATTTAGAAAATACTATATTTAGTAAATAACAAAACTATTAATGCATTTTTCATAGGTACTCACTTAAAATTATATTTATTATTCAACGAGAATTCGTTAAATTATTGTCAAAAGTGTTCTCATTCATTAGCATTTCTTTTTTTAAAAAAAAAAAAACGTTTAAACGTTTAAACGTTTGTTGAAAGTGTACCGCTATTCGATCAACACCGTTATACCGACTGATAATTTTTTTGTAAATCGAATATTACTTAAAATATATTTTAGTTTATTGCAAAATGATATACATTTAAACATTCTAAACGATTAGTTGTTATAATATTGACTATTATAAACCTGTATACCTGACTCGATTAATTACGGAGTGTGTTTACTATTGTTTTAGAGTACCAAAAAAACATTTGCAAGATTTCGAAGACGGGTGTACAACGAATAAATACAAATCGATGCCGATTATTCCGCCGGATTATTCGATTTTATATTGGAAAGACGACGTGAAAAATCACAAAGTTTTCATTCCCACTCCGAGTCGCCAGGTATTCTATGACCTAGAAGAGTTCGACGTGAGTGGCATACAATATTTCAAATCTTAAGATACGTTAGTATAGTACCTAACCATCTAAAAATTCATATATATATATATATATATAGTAATAAAACAACACTTGTTTTAATAATACTATATAGGTATTCATAGAGTAAATTAATCAAGTAATTCATTTAATTTATTTAATCCGATTTTTTTTTTTTTTTTTTAAAGATGGACAAGAGCAAATAGATGCGTATGTTTGGCCGCGTACGAAGAGTCGCTCGAGGACAAACCGGTTATCGTTGAAATAAACAATATGATGGGAAATATTATAAAACTTAACACGTTGAAATACAGCGAACCGAAACACGAATAAAAATTATAATTTTCCACCGTTTCGGCGACATCTGCAAGTACTATATAATGGTGAAATATCACGTGAAAGATATAGAGCATATTCCGTTAAAATAATGGTATGTACAAACGGTATACCTATTAATGTAATTAATTTTTTCAGTTAGTTGATAAATCAGAGATTCGTTCTGAAAAGGAAAACCAAAATGTACTTAATTATTATCTACTTGTACATTTAAAAATGTACGCATTCGGTTCAGATTCTGATGGTCAGAAATATTTGAATAGGTATTTGAAAATAGGTTATAATTTGATCACTAAAAATAAAAAAAATAAAAGTCTACAAATTAAAATATTTACAAATATCAGGCGTGAAAGTGACATTTTCGATTAATTTATTCATTATTTTATTATTTTATTAATTCATCATAGACTGTCAATCTACTGTAAATAATTTTGGTTTTTTTTTTTTAAAGTTCAAACACGCTGTTTTTTTCGAAAGACCATCCATCACTCTACGTTACTGACAATCAATCTATAATTGATTCGATTAATTCCGTGTTTCGAGCATACAGAAAACGTTTTGCGAAGGACCGCCATTTTTCGCCATAAACAATAATAATATGTTTGAACAATATTCACTATTATTGTACAGATAACATTTTATATTATCTATGTACAATATATTATTACAATTTATGTTTCAAAAATGTCACTCTCAATCATAATATTTTATTTCAATAATAAACAAACGTTAAATTTTAACATTTTTTAGTATTCATACTAAAAACTAACCTTTTTTTTTTTTTTAAATTATCATATTTACTCGTAAATATTATAATGTATGTGGAGTTATAGAAAAAATAACTTATAATTTAATTTAAGTTGCCTATATTATGAAAATTAAAAGGGGTAAAAGGGCTAAAACCAAGGTTTTAGATCTTGAGCGAAGCGAAAAAACTATTTGTTTTATATAAATAAGTGTGTGGTTTTTTATTTTTTTTTTTCGGAAAACGCTTTTTGAGTTAATAAAAATGCTCCAAATTATTCGCATTGTTTCTTAAAAGGTACTGATTTTTCACACGGTGGTACTGTATTTGAAACAAATGTCTAGATTTCCACAGATTTTCTATATTATGATTTAAAAGAAACACAATTAATGTATCCGTATCTTTTTTGATTTTCTAGGTTACTTTGGTGACCATAGAAAAAACTTAACTAATACTACTCTATTCAAAACTTTATTTTGATTGCAATAATTTATCGTTACTTTAAATAAACAAATTAAATTAACCTATATACTACCTTTCAAACTTCCCATCTATTACAATGGCTTAACTATAATTTAAAGTAAAATACAGGTTATTTATTATTTTTCCATTAAAAAATGTAATCATAATATTTTGTTAGTTTCGCTTAACATACTAAAATGTTATTTTTTCAGTTCAATTTGTATCAATAAATTAGATTGACATGCTCATTGGTTATGGAAATTGTATTATTCGTTAAATATATATAATGTAAATTAAAAACTGACGTGCTTGAACGATATTTTGGTGACCATTTTTCATCCAATATTTTGAAAATAAATAGTGACATTTGACATTTACCATCCTACGCATACGTTAAATTTTTATTACTAATAATATTCATTATTTTGAGAAAAATTTAAATTGTTCAATATCAAAATTAGGTTAATTCTACTTCTTCAAGTAATAGAGGGATCTAATTAAATATTTACTTCATAGGTCAAAAAAAAATTATCGTCGTGCGTGTAAGTTTAACATGAGCAAACACTAAATGTCTGATTAAGAATCTTTAATTATTACTATATATTTAAAATTATTATAGCTCAAAGAACTTTGATGACACAATTTAATGTATAACAAATTATTAAAAATTGCAATAATAGTTACTCCAAATTTTTATTTATTATTATAATTTTATAACAAATAGTTAGACCATTAAGAAACAAACTGCTTTACAATTTTATATTTATATTACATTTTGTAACCTTTAGTTTTTGGGGTGTCATTGTGTGGTGTCATTTGTGTGGCAATACGGCACGTGACGTGCTATTAATGCACCACTACTCTCTTCAAACCTAAAATTAAAAGTGGAATATCTCATCAACAGCTCGACAGAAATAAATAATTTCGACCCTTAAATTTATTTTAACTAATAATCCATCTATTTATTGAATTTTTAATATAGGTTGCCATTTGAAAATCAAAAGTAGGTAGTGGTTTTATACCCAAAAATAATTGTTACAAAAAGTAACAAATATAAAATTGTAGAGCTGGTTGTTTTTTAAATGTTCTAGAAAAAGTTTAATACTTTTCGAGATAATGAGTGTACCCACTTAAATGGATCACTCTGTATATAGCTTGATTGTAATTTGTTATTAATTACCACCAAAGTTGTTTAACATAATAAAAATGTATAACTCAAATTTAATAATTATTATAAAAAAAAAAATATTTTAAATGTTTTGAAGAGAAATATGATATTAATTTGATTGTACAAAAAAAATCCGCGTGTTCCTCAATAACCTCGATTATTATTCAATATAACACCTCATTGTTCATCTGATTAAATGTTAAGGAATACCGATTTATATTAAAACGCGGAATTCTTTTTCACGTGAACTAAAAAATTATTTGTTAATAGATGTTAACCTGATAATATGTAAATGTATTATATTATATTAAATAAACATAATATTGGTGTTCAATTTAATGAACATATTAAAATTTAAAACAGGAAAAAACGTTATGGTTAAATATTGATAACACATTTCCATTGTCTAGCAAACCGATTATTTTGTTGAATGATGATCCAATGCATAGAGAAGCAATTTGATTAGTAATCGGATTATTAAAATTTGATGAGATACAATTAAATCCATTAGATTGTTCATCTGATCGATAATCTAGCTTGTCGAGGAACACACTGAATAATAATGACTCAACAAGTTAAAATATAAGTGTACATTTGTATAATGTATATTTTAATAATCAAAGTATTGTACTATAATAATACATACAGATAATAACTCTTATCATTTTTTATTGCTTTTTTTTTTTTTTAAAATTAAAATTCCAATAAAGAAACAAGCGACAAACATTCAAAATAGTAAAATATCCAATATTCGAATTAATTAATTAATTTTGAAATCTAGGATTCATAAATTAAAGGAGCATAATGTAATGTCATAAAGATCTGAGCTTTAATAATTTTTTTATTTTTAAAAATTTTTTTGCACTAGCAGTATCTCTAATTATATCTAATTAACTCAATGAGTAAAAGTCGAGTATACAAATACGATCGGGTATAACAATGTTTACGAACAATTATAGGTACTTAACCAGAATACTGAAAAGTACCTCTACGCGTGAAAAAAAAAACAATATCATTAATTATAATAATAATAAATAAAAGTATATCAATAAAATAAAATATTACACAAACATTTCAAAAATATAGTAAAACATAATTAATTTTTCACAAATAGTATCATGTTAGACAGTATAAAATTCAAAAATATTACTATTAAATAATATTATAATATACATAGGTACACAGAATGTATATTTTGGTATAAAATAAATATAGACATTTTAGGTTAAGCACCATAGTTGATCACTCATTGAGCCAAGATATAAAGTAGGTATTATAATTATGTCATCATCAATGTCATGATACTTCAAATTTATATACTAAATAATTAACTTAACAATTATAGATTTTTACTATTATTATTTTAACATGGGTATTCTGTTCTATTATGATTACAATTCTAACTACTACTCGAATGATGTATCCGGAAAAAAAAAAGAATTTACTTGGTAATAGATGTAAACATTTAAAATTTTTTAAAACATAACAAAATTATACTATTAAATACATAACCATGGGGTGAAGTATCTATTAATATAATATTTTTGTATTATGAAAAAATAATATTATTATTGCCAAAAGTTTGTTCATTATTATACAACTTATTACTTTAATAAATATCTACATAATACTGTTTATAATCGAAATTGTAAATGAATTTTCTTAATAGTATACTGTATAAGTATAAAAAAAATGCATGTACAGTTGAAATAACAAAATAAATAATAATATTAATAATAATAATAATAATAATAATAATAATAGTAAAAAAAACAGAACTATAAAAATTAAAAGACTAAATAATTCGGTAAAGATTAAAACGTAATTAAGTAGTCTTATACAAATTATTGTGTGTACGCACACAACACATAATATTCATAGTCTTTAGGATACAAACTTTTATATTGACTTTAATGATAACATAAAAAACACCAACACAATGGACACTGTAATTCAACACAGCTGATGTGTCAAATTGAATCATGCATATGGAAGCTTTATTATTTGTCTCGTTCACCGCTATCTAGTGCCATAAACACATATTTGTAGAAAAGCGTTGATACAATTGTGCCGGAAAATGGACCGACCCAGTAGATCTAAAGAAAAAATATATTTATTTGAATATACTATTAAATTTGTACTAAAATTTGTATTTCCTTACCCAGTGCGATGTCCATGAATTATTGTAAATTGCTGGTGCTAATGATCGCACAGGGTTCAAACTATTTCCAGTAAAAGGACCCTATAGAGTAACAAAATAATAAGTAATTGAAAAAAAAATTCTTATTTTTTTTTTTTTTATAAAATATTTTATGGCCCAAAGCTAAACAGAACTGATATAAATTATAATTGAAAAGATTTTGAAATAGTATTTAAGTTACAAAGTACAACAACATAAATACTAAATTATTGTGATAATAAACGCAACTGTTTGTTTTTAAAATTATTACCTATTATCTAGGTAATTTTAAGTTATTATCATAAAAACTGTTGAACATTATCACACAGAGGTTTTTAAAAAATATGTTGATAAACCTAATAGTTAATAGGTATTGATAAAAGTAATAGATTCAACAAGGCACACCTTAGAATAAAGAATTGTAATCTAAAAATTAAATATTAGTATATTACATATTTTTTTTTTTTATCAGTTTTCACCCATGTAGTTATCTAATCCACATCTATAATATTATTTTATAGGAACACATAATCACGAAACTAGTAGAACAACAAAATATACAAGTAGGTACTTACGACTACAACTGATGTCAAGAAAATTATAACAAGAAATTTCAACGATGCGCAATCTCCATTCCCGCTCCGGGGATCCCACACGGCACAAACGAGAAGCATCAAAAGTCCAGTAGTAATAGCTTCAATCAAAAGTCCTTGCGTCTCAGTAATTCCGGAAACTAGAGTTGTCACACAAACTCCCTCTGAAGGATCCAATATATTGTAAGGTGCAAGTGCCTGTAAGTTAAAATAAATACAAAATATTATATTCTATACATTAATTTATTACCTCATACTGTATTATCAATATACTTACCACTAGAGTTCCATAACCAATTAATGCTCCAGAAAATTCAGCTACAAAATAAACTAAGGCTGTTATAAGCGGTAATTTGCCCAAAAGTACAGCACACAATGTAACACACGGATTTATGTGACAATTACTTATGTGGCCAATCATCTAAGAGTAAAGTGAAAAAAAATTACATACATTTTGTAACACTCGATTGACTAGACATCTACATTAAACATAACATGTACAAAAATTCATAATATATTAAAATAGTGTAATACTTACAACGATAACAACGGCGACAACACAAGCAAACGAAATGGCTCCGCTGTAAGGGCTGAGTTCACCATCACGGGATTTTGAAACTAATCCCATACACCCGAAAAACATTAAACATGCAGTGCCAATGAGTTCGGCGAAAAATATCAATAAGAGTTTCTGCCATGGCGGTCGTTCAAACAACTGACTGTTGTGTTCGGTTGATCCTGTAAAAGAAAAAAAATATAATATTTTAAGTGTTAGTTATAAAATTCGATTGGAAAAATTGATAGATTCGAGTGTATGTTACATATGGGTAGGTACCTGTTTCTTGTAGTAAGTTTCTAGTAGATAATAAATTATCTGTAACTGTATCAGTAGTACAGTCCATCTATAGGTACTATATAGGTAAGTAGATGAATAGATTATACGACTATAACACACAACTCATCGGTCTACAATAGTACGGCCATATGGCCCATAAGGGACAAATAAAACAATATGGAACTATAGATTTAATATAATAACTAGTAGAGTACTGTGGGCCTATTTATATTATATTCAACGGGTCCACAAAGTAATCATTATTATAAAAACGAAAAATCCGAAAGTTGAAATATTTCAGTTACCTGTACGGCTATACATAAGAGTACAAACCATAGACACGAATATATTACAAGTACCAGAAGTAACTATTACAATAAAACAGAGTACAGACTTAGCGGCTAGCAGAGAGTTTTGCGTTTTAACGTAACAACATTTTGTTGTGTTTACTGCGGATCGCGATTGGCTACTCATCGGTTATCACTCTAACGTTATCACTGCATGGCTGAATAAAACAGTCGCACACTGCGCAGATTACGCGTAGGTCGTACGTGTTATTTACAGCACATTGTTATTGTCGCCCCAATCAATAGAGACCCCGTTGAAATCGTAATGATTTATTGAAATTGCAATCAAATATAGGATTATTTTATTTACGTTAATATTGTGTTACTGACAACGGCAATAATACGATACGCGCACGCGCACACGGTACCCGAGCGGATTTGTTTAACACCCAAGGCACTTAATTTGAGTTTGTATAACAGACACGGATTAACCGAAGGGTTCGTTGTTCGGGAAAAAACGCCCGAAATCAAATAAAATATTTGCGATTTCGAGCCACTTTGAGTATCACACTAACTAACGTGATAAATATCAGGGGTGGCGGAGGGGGGGGAGGAAGGGAAACACAAGTATCAATTGACGTGACGATGGAAAATAAACAATATTGATTAACAACAACTGTGAGTGGGAAACGTCCTTAATAAGGACTATTTGAACATAATACCAAGTAATCGACACAATGATGGAGTAGGTATTAATTATTGTATTATTATAAACACGATGACTGCAGTGTTACTGCAGCCCGCAGTAACAAAAATCGATCAGTCACTTGTAAAAATGTGTCGTCCGTACGATCGTTAAACAGAATAATATGTTACCCGGAGTTTTCGGAAACGACGGAACAACAATGGTTTGAAAATAACGTATCGGATATTTTTTTTTTTTTTTTATTGTCTATGAATACTTCAAAGGTTAAACAATATAATAATCCAGAATTTCGAAAAGTCTTTGTTTGCCGGTTTGTCAGTGTTATTGATTTTTTTTTTTCCGACCACGAGTCACGTCGGGAAATAAAATATTAGCGTAGTCCCTGAACCAGCGACGTTTAAATAATAATATCGCGCGATACCTACTTGCCAATGTTTGTATCGCAAAATACGATCTGTTTGTTTGCCAAATGAAAGTTAGAAAAAAAAAAAAACGAAAAAAATAATAATATGAAACCTGCACGTTCTATCCGTGACGGCGGTTTTTTTCCAGTCATACAGCGAATAATATTATTTTCATCGGTTCAAAAATCGTTATAATACGAAGTGATCGATATCGTAAAACACACTCGTTGTTTAGTATTCGGCATTTTTTCTTTTTTGCATATGTAAAACACGTAAGAAACAAACTGCTCTAAAAAGTAACATTTCAGTTATTTTTCGTCAATTTTATTTTCGAGAGTGAAACCTGCACACTATCCGGTCAGTGTCCCACGCGTTATGTCGAGCACTCTGTATAGCGCGGCGCCGTGCGCCCAGACAAACTTCAAATAATAATAATAATATACTATTAGCATTTATTGCATAACATCAAAATATAGTTTTCTACGTTTTCCTTATTGCAAAATAGGCAAAAAACCAACAATATTTTAATACATGTACGTAGGTATAGGTAAAACCGTATGATTCTGTAGCGTTCGGCGATGTAGGTCAAAGATCTTCGACCGGGAAACGTAGTGAAATCGTAACGCTAAATTACGTGCCGACGAAATTAATAAAATATTATATAGGTACTGTTGGAGAATCTTATATTCTATATAACGTATACAAAACACCCGTGAGCAGCAGAGCTCCGTCACTAGAGTCGAGTATTCCCCTCCCACATCCACCCTCACGCCTTTTATCACATATTCTGTATTACAGAAACAACCCATACACGAACGCTATACAACAGTACTACACCACTATACACTAAAATGCTAAAACTATATACAAAATAAATTTAAAAGAACGGTGAAATACCAATGGCGGGTGTTTAAAGTCGATAACCCAGTGCAAATGGCGTATTATACAAAATTTCATCCCTCTAGCTTCATTTGGGGATGGCCTGTGGGCGCGCTCGAAGTTCGAAAAATCATCTCCCCTTCTGCAACAACATGATGGAATTCATACAGTTAAATTTAAATAAAATATTTTTATCACTTCAATCAGTTCAATCGGCCTATAAAACAACTCTAATTACCGAGTTTGAGCTTGTTTGATCCAGCGGGAGCCGCTTCAAAGTCTACAAAAGCAACAAGGAAAAAATATATACGAACTACCGAACAATATACTGCAACAGTTTTTATTAAAAAGTTACAATTTTTTTTTTCGACTTTGAGCGGAGTGTGGAAGCTTATACAAAAATCTGTTTTTGGAAAAGAACTTTTTCGGTTAGTGAAAAATTCTGGATCGAGATGCGGGTTTTCCGTGCGATGGTATACTCTGTTATACTTGATATAAATCACGAATCATTGTTTTTTGTTTGTAAGTATGGTAGGTATATAACAATAGAAGAAAACTAAAATTAACTTCATAGATAGTAAATTATTATCCAATTTTGCGCGTACATTATTTTTATTATCTGATGGCATCTCTGTAAGCAGGTGTACGGCGATATTTTAGAAATCGAAGTCTGAAGATTAGTCGACAAAATATGGCAAGTTCGTGTTTCATCGCCTCGCGATTTCTCGTCCAGTAATGCAAACTTAAAACTAAATCGCGCTCAATATGCCGGCTCTCAAACGCGCAACAGAATGTCCGACAATTTTTTAAATAAATCCGTGCAGATTGACGATTTTCGTTAGGTTTCATAATATAATACAGAAGTCCGGTACATATTATCTAAAAATAAACGTATGTAAATGTAAGTACCTCTATGCCGTCGATAAAACATCGTATCGTTCGATTTTAATATACTGATTAGGTCGTCCATTTGAGCTATTTCGGCGGTATACCACGAGTCCATCAACGCACGCAGGATAACGTCGTAATAACAGTCGAAGACTGGCACGGGTCGTGCGCAACAGATATAAAATTATCGCCCGTTCCATATGTCGGCATACAGACGCACACGCGTACGTTAAAAAAATATATATGTGTATACGAATAAAAAAAAAAAAAAAAAAACAACTATATATTCATTGTAATGCAACGAACGAAACCATAGAACGCATGTGGTTTGTAGTGGAAAAAAAGAGAGGAAAAAAAAACGTACCTATATAATAATATTTTCGCGAGGACAGAGCAGAGCAGAGCACAGAGGCAAATAATAATAAGTGACTATTGTTGTCTCACACGCGTATAATATAATATTTTAATGACGGCGATTAAATTTTTCTGTACGGAAAAAACGCACGACATAAAAATTTTTTCTGAACAATCCGTATAGGTATTAATACTTATAATATTATACATTGACGACATATGTTATAATATATATAGGTAATTAGATGTGCAGTTTAAACCGATAATAATAATATTTTCGTCTCCTTTGTATAATAATAATATCACTATCGACGTAATATTCATACACGTTTACATTGTGATACACTAAAGTACCTTATTTTTCTTCTTTTTTTTATCATTTTTCGTATTGAACACTTTTTGATGAATATTATAACATATCTTTGGCCCCGGGCAAGAAGGTCTTGAGCCAATTGTGTATACGGTTTTCAATACAAGCGAATTTAATTTTGAAAACACGTAATATACATAACTTGTGCAATTATTTAGACGAAAAAATGAAGGAGAAAATATTAATTGTATTAATATTTATTTATATATTATTTGTATTTTGATATTAAGATTATAATAGTAGCCATACGATAAATAAAATAAATAAGGAGAATTTTATGACGTGAAACATTATTATTTATTAAAAAATAAATACCAAAAATCGGCTTGAGACCTTGTTCCCTGGCCAAACGAAAATATATAATAATATTACACATATAATATAGGTATGAATAGTATAAATATTTTTTTCAAAGGAAGTTAAGCCCCTGCAATACTGATTGTATATACTTATATATAGTATATTTACTTGATTAGGACTCGATTTGAGAGCTTAAAACCCCAATTCTTCCCTCTGTTTGTGCCAATGTACACATCAAATAAATTCGCGCTTCCCTAAATTATAGCTATTTCGATTTTCTTTTTTTTTATATATAATTTGCTTGCACGACTACTTTTGACACGATTTTTCCATAGAAAATGTAGAAAAAAAAATGTGAAAACGTTCTACTGTTAACTTGAGGCGAATACCGTAATTTTTACCTTATTTATTTTTTATAATAGGTACATCTCGACTTTGAGCTGAAAACCGCATACAATAGCCTTTTTTTCGGGTAACTCGAAAAACGAAATTAACCGTACAAGTCCGCGGGATAAAAAAACACAATTATAACTACGTTATATTAAAAAAATAATAATAAAATCCTCATTGCCCGCTGAGATTTGAATCAACATTTTAAAACAATACTTTTGACCGATACCTATCTAGTTAATAATTATTATATTTTTTGTAAAAACGAGCGGTAAATGCATATATTGTTACGTCAAAACCGCGTTCGGAAATACGGTACTGATCACGTTTACTGAACACGGTGGATGATTTCAATCGACTCGACTTTCCTGCATTATATTAACAAAATAATCACTCCAACGTTTCGGTCGTAGGTATTACACAACAGTTTCTGCGCTTATTACACCGTTCCGTTAGACGGTATCGTCTCGTTATTTTATACCGAATCTAAACACATTATTCATATCATTTTCATTCAAGAGTATTATAACGTGTACCTGCTCGTGTAACGACATCGAAAACTTACGAAAATCTGTCTAGAAAAATAAACCGACGAATAAATAATATTTCCAAACTAGGAAGAGTTATACGCATATAAATTAAGTGTAATGAAACCATAACGAACTTGATTGTAAATTTCATGTGAGTTATAAAAACAGAAGAATCCTTCGATAATAATAATAAATTGAACACAGTTAATACAACATATTGAATTCGAATTCCCAAAGAAAATACCAGATGCATTGATTTTGAATTAAATTATAGTTTAACGTTTAATATTGAACTTTCTTTAATAATAATAACGTGACGTTGTACAGAACACGGTCGATATCCTCTGGTCCGGAGGAAGGAGGGCAGCTTTTAAAGTAAACTATTGGCATTTGTTTACATAATATTTATGTTTTTCCTCTTGATTGTTTGGTCTAAAATCACATAAATGTATGTGTGGGTGTATTCTGAAATTGTTACGATGCACTTTTTGTTTTGCAAAAAAGGTGTTAAATGTAAGTTAAATATTGTACAAAAATGATCAGCCATTTTAAACACCTGTTTTTAGGTCGTTTAACGAAAAGCTCTTATTCCCAGGTGCCTACGAAATATTACGTACATATTATATATAGGTAATTTCTGACGATTAAAACTATAACCAGTGGCGTATTTGATTTAGTTTTATGGCGGGGGCGACACTAAAATTATATAATATTATGTTATCGAAAAATCAATGGTCTGTATACATACGTAAATAATAAATATGTATACAGGGTCTTTTAAATTACAACGTATGTAGGCACATCACGTTTTGAGAACAGAGGTATGACGGATACTCCGTGTCGTATAGTATTATAATCTAACCTCTTAAATGTCAAAAGCGTGTACCGTAAAATATTTTTTAGAAAATTATCGAATTATCATTGTACTTCGAACATTTCGCATGCATATTTTGTATAATACGGTTATAGGTAGGTGTAATGGCATACAGGTACCTTCTTCGGAATCCGATCCGATCCGAATGGATTCGGACGATAAAATGTACGAGTAGTTTGCTATACCACGACGGGAACGCGAACGGTCACGGCGGCGCGACTGCTGCATGTCGAACGCGTTCGCGTAATTTTGACGCGGCCAATTAAACATGGTTGAAAAAACTGAGAGCAAGAGCAGGACGACAGCGACCAACGAGAATCACAGATCAAATGAGTATATTACGATAATTGTTAATAATAATAATTGATTGCAGCAGCAGCTGCGATGATGATGATGACGGTTCCCCCGCGGTCTCTTGCGTTTGAACACAACAACAAATTATTAAATAAATCACACCGCGCACACACACGCGAGTGCGGACGCGCAGGCAAACACAAAAAGCGATAAATTTCGTATATTATACGAAACGATATAAAAAAAAACAAATCGAAAACTACTGATATAAAAAAAAAAAGTCAATTTTCAAACAAATGCCACTCCGCTGTTTCCAAATACAGTATAGAACATTAAAAAAAAAAAAATAACAACAATACCGATAGTACGAGTTATACGTGCCTATATTATTATAGGCACACATGAATACGAGTGACTGATATTTTTTTAAACGTAAACAACGAATAGCCGAAAATTTGGGACAAACACGCCGTATTGTGTATATAAAAAAAAAGGGGGCACCATCATTTACAGGTAAATAAGCAATGAATTTAGACAGAGATTTAAACCGAATAACAACTCGCGCTTATATTATAATCTCAGTCTACAGGTGCAATTTGAAGAAAAAAAAAAAAGAGCCTCAAAATATATAATCAAATAATACTAGAATCGGGCCACCTCGCAAAAATACAGTTAAAAAAAATCACATAGAGTTTAACCCCAGTAGCTGCGAGAGTCTAAAATTAACTTAAACAAGTTTTATGTATGATGAACACTTGAACGTATCAAGTCAGCGCCGGCAAAAAATGTTAGCGAATTCTGAAACTTCATTCAGAGTTCGTCCAGACCTTCGGACCCCCTCTCTCTTTCACTTATTTTTATATAGCAAACAATCATGCCATAGCCAACTTCACGACGTTCATTGTTCAAATTTATGGAATGACACATCAAAATAACTGTTGGAATTTGCCAGATTTTGCTAGACTATTTTTGAATTGTATTACATCTTACAAAGTACACATCAGTTTGCCATGCAACTGGATATATTGTGTAATTTATTTTAAACATGATAAGTCGAAATTATAATTACATATAATTTAACATACGCATGCAACTTTTTAATATGAAATTGTCCTGACAAAACGGTAATGCATTTCGATTATGTAGAATTAACGTAGATTACCTACGTAACCTTTACACTTTACTGCAGCACTGTTTTATTTCTCGAGAAATTTGAAAATGTGTTGACTACAAAATTAATTGCAATAATTATTGTTCGTGTTAATAATTATTATTAACGGACTTAATCATAAATATTAACTTTCTTTTCTTTCACTTAATCTAGCAGGAATTGTTAACCCCACCAAATGTTATTCGATGAATTTGCCGCAGTCACGTTGGCATCACGTTTGTTTGAGAATAAAAGGAACTTAAATATTGGAAAATTATGAAAATTGTCTAGCAAAATCTGAACAATTCTGGGTGTAGTTTCAGAATTTATCGAGACTTTGCTGGTGCCATCTTGACGCATATATTTTGGATCAATCCATGAAGCTGTAGATTATATATAGTATTTTTTTAGATTTTTATTCCGAAAAACGAAAATCACCAAAATTATGAACAATAATATGTAATATGTTATACACATGTATTGTTATTCGTCCATGGAAACTTTAATATACCTCTATGTCGGGATAGCGTTAAAATTTTAAAATTTCTTCTGTATATATTGCTTTTTGGTACTTTTTTTGACAAAAAATTATTATTATTGTCTATTTGTTCTAACAATCTTCGACAATTATTGGGTGTGCAACCTGCACGGACTTGTACCAATCCTATAAATAAGGGACCTCAAAAACTAAAAGTGAAAATTAAAAATTGTCTTAATTAAATATTTTTAGATTCGGAGGATAGCCAATAGATCCTTATTGGTTTTACTATAATGTGCGTTTTTTTTTCTGTCTGTGAATCACTTTTGTATCAGAAAAATTGCTTTGAAGTATGGATTATAGCACCATTTCAGAAAGATAATTTTCTCTCGTTAGTGTATTGAGGAGGCCATTTTTCGAATTTCCAAAGGGTTTTCGAAATAATTGGGAAAAACTTAAAAGAAAAATACAGGTAAAACAAAATATTTATGGCGCGCGGCGGCATTACCGTTTTTATTATGTTAACACGATGTTTTTTACCAAAAATATTGTTTCAATCCAAAAATTACAGAATATCGATTTTGTTAATTATAACATTTCGCTATTGACAAAATAAGTCGTTTTTCGATATCTAAAGTATTTTTCATAATAATTGGGAAAAACCAAAAACGACGTAATATATGTTTTTTTTCCAAATTCAGCACAACGATTTCATTATTTTAAATTAGTACGGCTTATGTTTTTATTATTATTTCTATTATTGAGCTAATTATAGACATTTTAATTTTGCACGTAATTTTTATTCGGTAGTTACTATGTGGATAAAATTGTTGTGATATGATTGGAAATGTAACAGGAGGTTCCTTAAATATTGTATTTTGTGATAAAAAAAAATTGAGTGTTGTAGAATTTTTTTTTTATAAAGGAATTTTAATATCAAATTTTAACGAAAATCGTCCGAGTAAAAAATTATGTGGAACAAATCTAGCTACTGGTTTAAGCAAAATTTTCAACTTATTTTGTTTTGATCATATTATGTAACCTATTGCCGATTTAAGAATGATGGTGAGATCAGAATTGAGCGGATTGATTTAGTTCGGAAACCATAGCTTTTTAAAGTTCTAATATGTTATATGTGCTATTTTAAATGATTCAATATTGTCGATTTTATAGTATGTATATCGTAGTATAGTGGTAGTATGTACCTGATGTCATCCCGGGAATCACAAGTTTAATCCAGAGTTTCGTAGAAGTTTGTTTGCAAAACCACGTCGGGTGGGTAACAGGGGAAAAAACAAATTAATTTTATTTCAAATAATAAAATTTAATGCGTAATATAGTATTTTTTTTTTTTTTTTTTTTTTAAGTTTTAAAATCAAATTTTGACGAAAATCGTAAATATTACGGTCTTTCAAAACATGTGTAACCGAACTTCACTCCGAATTGTTTATCGTTATCAATGGTTAATCGTTGGTTACAGGTATAAATTAAATAATTATATGTACCCCTACCTTCCCCACTACAACAGTGGCCCTACGGCCCGCAACCGTTACAAGTATCAGCTCTTTTTATTTACCGTGCAATGAATATTTTTGATTTTATTTTCCGTGGTCGAACTAAGTTTTAAATCAGACGTATTACGGGTGGAACAGTACCTATAGAGGACAAATAAGCTGTACAATAATTGTTAATCTTTACTAAAAAAAATACGAATTTAAGTTTGGGTAATTAAAATAAATCCTTGCGTTCGACTCGATGAGCCTCGAAAAACCGCGGTACTATAAGAGTTATGAAAAACCAAAAAAAAAAAAAAAAAACGAAATCAAGGTAACAATTGGTCGATAAATATGATAAAAAAAACCTTCGATTATTGCCGAGATCCGAGAAAACGGGCCGCTGCCGTTTCACTCGACTGACTACCGTGATAATATACACAAATCCGATACAGGACGTACCAAAGTCTGTAATGACAATTTCAGTTACGACTGCAATACAATAATAATATTGTACTATTGTTTAAACGAGGACTACATCGTTACTTCACCACGAGAAATAATATTTAATCGCGCGGATATAAAAACCGGAAATATCCAGTACTGTAATGACGGAAAATTCTAGAACACAGTATCACGATACGCTGTTGCAGGTACCTATAATATGGATTTAATCCAGTGGTTTTCAACCTTTTTTGGGGTCCACGGTTCTTCCGATTTTGGAAACGTAATTAACGGCTCCCTTACGAATAACGATTATAGTAAAAATTAAAACAAACAAATTTTCTACATTATTGCGAGTATTATATCTGATATAAACGCGGTTCCCTTGATAATAAGCCACGACGCCCCTGGGAGCCGCGACGCACAGGTTAAAAACCACTGACCGATAATATCTGATAATCTAACCGATATCCGATTACTATTCGTTGGGATTATTTTTAACCCCCCCCCCCTCTCCGGGAATTTCTAAATCTATATAGGTAATATTATTATGATATACGATTGCGAGTTATAACACCCAGATTAGGTTGTCACCGTGAAACTCAGAATACAATAGTGTCCGATAAACTTAGTAATAATTTACGTCTTGGCGACAAATTCGAATTTGCTTTCAGAATTTGTAACGCTTTACTATGTAGTTCAATCGGCACGTGGGAAATAGAACACGTCTAAATTCCTTTAATACGAAGATAGAAAATCACCACCGCTTCCAAATCCCCTTAGCTCTAGACTATAAGGAGATAATAATATTACATTATTGATAAAGACAAGTTTCATGAAAAAAAAAAAAAAATAGTTTTTGTTTGTTTTAAAAATTATTTAAGAACGAAATAACAATTGAGAAAATTTTCTTTATCTAAATGTAATTGGTACTGTTTATTTTCATTTATATTACAACGAACAATATCAATATTAATATCACTTTTTAAAGTGTATTATTTTCATTTCATTTTCGAACGTTCGTATATAAAACGTTTAAAACACAGGGACTTGTTTGAAACATTTCGCAACATTGAACAGACCCCGGTGAATGCCACCAAATCAATAAACGCCACTGTTGTAGTATCGCATAAAACAAACGTTAAATTTAAGTCCGTCATGGACTGGACTTGCTCTAACCGTTTAAGGAATATTAATAAAACATCAAACCGATAACCTCGACGCACACACTGGTAGACTTCCCATTCAACTTTCAGAATGTTTTGTATTGCTTAAAAACTCTGGCTCGTGTCTTTGCCCCCTTGTATGGGATAGTATAATTTGGGTGTAATTCGATTGAGCGGTGCTGGGCGGGCAACTGGTAATTATTAATATTTATAATGATAAAAATAAATGCATACAGGATGATTCACTAAGCGTGCTCAATCCATTTTATTGGTTAACTTTGTATACATTCAAATTTTGATTTTTGGAATTTTTAAGTGTAGTTAAAGTTAAATGGAGCACTAGTGAATGCCGCGCGCCACACAAATGATACTTCACTACTCACCCCCCAACTAAACTTAAAAGTGGAATATCTCGTTAACGGATGGACGGAAATCAAAAACGTTACCAAAAAATGTATTCAAAGTAATACTCCGTCGTCTACTGATGATATTTTTGATATATATTCTCGTTTGAAAAACCAAAGTGGGTAACGCCGCAGCCGTTAAAACCTTAGACTCTTAGATGTTTTGAAAAATTTGAAGTTTTCGACAATATTGGCTTTAGCTACACTTGAAAATCCCCAAAACTCAGAATTTGAATACACGCAAAATTTAACAATGATAAAAAAAAAAAAAAAAAAAAAAAAAAAAAAATGGAGTGGGCTCGCTTGGTGAATCGTTCTGTGCGTATAGATACCGTCGTTGTGTATTTACCTAATTCTTCTTCGAGGGATTCGCCGAACGATACCGTGGATCCGAGTTTTTTGAACAGTTTTTGCGATACTCTGCCCGGGTAAACCAAACAAGACATGACGGCGACGATAAAACAGATAAAACTGCGGTGGTATATTATTGTATATTATAACACACGTATACTAGTATACTGACTTTTCGTATCACGCGCCACGGCGGGGATATTTGTAATACGATACCTATATATGTACCGATATGGTATACACAGCAGACGACTAGTTTTAGTATATTATTACGGGCGGACGCGTATACGTGGTGCCGGGTGAAACGGGCGCACGGTTAGGTAGCGGCGCGGTGTTGTTAGGACGCGTTCGGTGGCGGGTGAAAAAACGTACGAACAATTACGGAAAGAACGAAACGAAACGAAAAAAAAAGAAAACCGTAGACCGCGTTTCGCACTGTACGTTCTCGCCGTGTGCGCAATGTACCGCCAATAAACCCGAGAATCCATATACCGCGTTATTTACGACAAAGACACTTTTCCCGTTCCCGTGTGCTAAATCGACACCGGACCGCGACAGCAAACGGCAATATTCCACTCTCTCCCACCTATATACGCGGCGCTGCACACCCTCGCGCGCTGGCCCAATTATTATTATCGCTTATCACTCTCGCGCCGCACACTGTGTTTTTATCGTCACCGCGGCCGTCGTCGCCGTAACGGCCGAAAAACGAAAATTCATTGTCGGCTATTATGCACGCGCGCGATATTATTATTGTTATTATTTTAGGTACACCATTATTATGTTATTGTTATCGACTGCTGTACAGGGTGATCGACGGGTATGCGCGAACCACGCGAGAGTATACCGACGCTATTCTCTTTTTTTTTTTTTTTTTCCCCCCCCCGGAATTCGCCCCGCGTTTTTCCCCCCTTTTTGGCCCGTTGTAAATTTAACAACCGACCGTTACTAGTTTTTCGTCGCTGTTATTTTCGAACCTACCCCGGGGTGTGCACGCGCCAACCGCATACGGTGACTTGCAGGGGCGACTCGAAGGAGGTATATTTCAATCACGGGGGGATTCAGAAAAAAAAAAAAAACGGTTGGATGTGGGTGTCGAGTGTCTAGGTGTTTAGAGATATAACAAAAAAATTGTTTTAACAAGACAAAAATGTCATTCAAAGAATTTCAAACTGCGGAAAATTTGATAAATTTGACGAATTTTATTGAAGTTTATTAAATTTCAATATATTTATAGAAGAGTGATGATTATTTTTGAGTTGCGGTGGGTAGGTGGTGAGTGGAAAATCAAATCGGAGAATCAAGGTAAAAAATACTTCGCAACGCCACTGGCCAATTTGTATTCGAAATCCCTTAAACGGACGAAGTTTCAAAGTGTAATAAATACATTCTTGTGTTGAAAATGTTTTAATTCTGACGGTCCGCCGACGACACATTCCACTTTCAAGTTTGACGTTATGCAGGTAGGAAGAGAATAGTGACGGGTTGACGGAATTCAAAAATTACCTAATTGAAATGAATTATTTAAAACTTCATCTAATTATGGAATTTTTAATGTAAGTCGCTGTTTTAAAATCGAAAGTGGGAGCAGTGGTAAAACCCGCAAAAATAAAACTTTCCGAGATAATGAGTGTTTTGTTGATCACTCCGTATATAAAAAAAAAAGCTTACCACTATCGTCAATATCACTTATACGCAGAGTATCCTACGACGATTCAACAAATGCAATAACTTTTGTTCACTTATTTTTTTTTTTTTGATTTTTGTAATAAATAATAATTACTAAAGCCTTGAGTTTCGATTCCATTATTTTCTATATATATTTTTTTTTTAAACAAGAAACAAAAAATTGTTTTTATAAAATGTAATATGGCTATTTTTAAACATAATTTTGATGTTTCAAATATTTATGAATGACGAACTAATGAGTTAATACAATTTTTTGAAATAATTAAAAATCAAAATTATTTTTCACGGACCAATTTTCGAATCACTTGATACTATTATTAGAAGTTTAAAATAATTTCAATTGTTTTCATTGTTACTATTAAATATAATATCTGCAATTGTGATGAATCAATTTGTCTGTAAAAAATTATTCTGCAAATGATTTTTATAAACATCGAAAAATTTGGGAAACGGATATCGTTGATTTTGTACAAAATAAATTGATTTTTATTTATTTTATGACAAAATATAAAATGGGAAAATTATTATATTTCAAGACGTTAATAATTATTACACAAAAAAACAACTAAATAAATAACATTGAACAGAACGAGAGTGTTATTACGGTAATCGATTGTTCGTGGGACATCCTGTACATATTGTATATAGTTATAATAAGTATTATAATAGTTGAATAATTAAAAATTAATAATACGATAACCCGTTATTATTATATACTCGCGGTGTGCAACATCATCGTCGTCGTAATGTTTTTTTTTTTATTATTATCGTTATAATAAGTCTACGTGATCGGATACATATTCACCTGACTAATATCACGTCGTCAGTATACCTGCTGTAGATAATATACAATTTGATAATATACCTACGACCCGCACGAGAAAGTTCTATAGAACAATGACGTTTTTTCTTCCCGTACACGCAGGACGTATAATATAGGTAAGCAGGTGTGTACGTATTTCGTACGATTCACCATAAATCGTAATAATTATTACTTGCAAAGATCCGAAGAAGAAAACGCATCGCGGAGCATCTAATTTTGATATCTGCGATCTATAATTTTATGGCGTACGACTGCAGGCGGACAAAAATAAAACACGACTGTCGGTACGCAGTTGGCGGTTGTTTTCTCTTTATCCTCGTATTATGACGTAATGTCAACAATATTATTATAATGTAAAATCTTAAATTTATTATATTTTTATAATGCATAATATATAAATAGTGTGTCACGAGTATACTAGGATTCAATAAATCCATTAATCGATTCGAATTTCCAGTAAGTATTTGCGTGACAAAGATAATACGAAGAATACGTCATTTTTAAACGTTTTCCATCGACGGTTTTTTTTTTTTTTCTATTAAAAAACAAGCCGTAATTTAAATCGCCCTATTGATTTACACGGTATTTGACTGTTGGCGTTTTAATGAAATATTATTATTGAATATTACTGTGGACACTTGCAGTGTTCGAGTTCAACGACGAGAATAACATAATTGCATAGGTACCTATAATATATAGTTTTCAATAATAAGCAATTATTATGTTTTCACCCAAGGCCGTGTCTAGGGTGGTGCGAGAGGTGCCCACATATCGGGCGCTATGACAGCAGGGGGCTCCATTGAAAATTGTTAGAGTTGTGTAATTGAATTTTATCACAATAAACGTACGACATAGATTTAGTTATTTTTTTTTTATTGCTTATCGGTAAATTTTTCTGATACCGGGTGTAGATTTTGCTAGGCATGGCAATGCGTACACCGAAATATTTATCGCCAAAACCGACCATTACCGTGGTACAAGAAAATTCAAAAACAATTCGTTCAATAGTATTAGAGTGATATTTTTAAACGTATTTGTTTCAACTCGTATACATGTGATTTCCACAACCCGACATAGAAAACCGGAAAAGCCATTCAGTATAGTTACGTGAGAAATCAACAAAACTCGTATAAACATTTGTCAGTTTTTCCCATTAATTAAGAAACCTCAAGGAAAATCAAAAAATGCACCAAGTAGATCAAAACGAATGTTCCTATACAGTTTTGATTGGTGCAAGATTTCAGGTAAAGTTGTTTTCAGACACGCACACAAAACACATCATATTATAGTAAAACCAATACGTCCTACGCTTCACTCAGAATCTAAAATCGTTGGGAATAATCTATAGAAAAATGTGTTTGTTTTTTAATCGAAAAATAATATATTTCTAGAAGAAAAATCAACATGGCTTTGTAAAAACAATTATTATAGGTTCTAATACATAGGTACTTATATGATATGGTTTAGAAAAAGGTTTCACACAATAATCGAGATGCATAATTAATACGTACAAATCTGTTCTGTTCAAATTTAGAAATATATAAGCTTCCACCCACAAAAAAAAATAATAATAATAACGCATTAGCTCCCTATCAACCATAGATAAAATTCCATTCCAGAAAATATGTTGCACTTAATACACTAGAGTAAGATTTCTGGTAAAATTGTGTACACAGTTTAATAAAAAAAATAAAGATCATTCACTTGTTTCACTCAAAATTTAAAAGAGTTTATTTATAGATATATTATAATAGTTGTAATTAATTTTTTACGGAAATAATCAATTTTTTCGTTAAATTTTAAATATAATATTAGTTGATCGTATTTTTTTTTTTTTAAGGCTTTGAATATTCGAACTTATACACGATAATTGTCGCATTTAATATAATATATGATTTGTTACAAAATTACAGATTATTATTTCGAGATAATGAAATGAGATGTACTTCACCCATAATTTGGGGTGATTTATTATTCATCATCATCTCCATTTGGCCACTTATTTTTTAATTGAAAGTTATATTGCCGGGTCACGCACGTACATTGTACATACAGGATGATTCACTAAGCGTATTCACCCTATTTTTTTGGTTAAATTTTGCATATATTCAAATTCTGATTTTTGTAATTTTTAAGTGTAGTTAAAGCCGATATTTTCGAATTATTTACTTAGATTTTTCACAACATTTAAGGAGTATCCTGCGGTAATACCAACTTTGGTTTATCAAATGAGAACCAATATTAAATCATCCTGTATATATTATAATAACGAGCTGTTATTTGATTTAAATTTAATTTAAGAAAAAAAAAAAAACCAAAATCGCGTTTGTATAGGTATAAATATACCTAATCAATATACGTATTAAACAATTTCTTGTTAACCAAATTCATTTTATTGAATAAGATTTGTATTATTTTTTTTTTTTTAATATCGCTGTAATATAAATATTATAATATGATTTATAATTGATACAAGAACAACAATTAAGTATGTTGATCAGTGGATAAATCTAAATGCAGTGTTTCGAAATTAATTGTAATATTTCGTTTTCAAATAATAATACAAGTACAAACCAAAAATAATTTATTCGTTCCCTATATTAGGGTACCAAAATTCATTGAAAATATTTAACAACAATATTAGAATTTAAAAAAAAAAATCCTTTAGTCGATCATACCATTTTTATAGAATTTCTGTTTATCAATTTCAAAGTAATACAACTTATTAAAATGTATAAAAACTAAAATGATAATAAAAAACGTGACCTGACCGATCTCATGTACATTTCACGCTGAACCAGTTTTCAGAATTCTTATCAACGCTATACTATATCGGTTGAAAAAAAAAAAACTAAATCAACGTGTGTCGATGCGCATACATTATGTGTTTGAAAAAGAGAAAAAACATCGGTAATAGCCAATCCCCTTGAATGGGCCTATTCCACTGACACAGTTTACGACTTTTCATGTTTCGTTATTCATTCGGACAAAATTATAAAATTGAAAAGGTAAAAGTCGTAAATTATGTTGGAGAAACAAAAGGCCTCGTGATACCGACGTATAGTAACGTTATACTTTATTGTATATGCTCGTATTTTAATTCGTAATCCATGTCAATGTTGGACCGATGTCTTTTGAATATGAAATTTATTATGATAAATTTAAAACAAACTCGCCGAAAGTTTACTCACATAGGGTAAATATAGCGCGTAAGTATATATTTGCATAAAGTCACATTGTAAATTTAAAACGATGATAAAGTTTGTTTGTCATCGAACAATAATATAATATGCAAATACCATGCGATGTCGCGTTTTATCGACACTATATTGATGATAACAAGCGAGAGGACATACAACCGACGACACTGCGGTATTAACGAGAAAATTATGAAAAATATCAATTTGATCCAGTGTGGTAAATTGAATAATTTTTTTTTTTTATGACAGGAGGGAGAAGGGTCCTGAAAAATAATTTATATTTCAAAAATATTATTTTTATTTACATTAAAAACAAGTGTTGGCTGTATTAATGTATTATATTTCAACAATGCAACGAAAAAAACAAAATCTTAAATCACAAAATCGTTAATGCGTAAATACTCCCCCCCCTCAATACTATGAACAATGCGAAAGATCAAAAAATAACTTTTTCAATTTTCCAACTTGACAAAATTTGCTACAAAAAAGCTCTCGTCTTGTTCGATTGGAACAAGATTTTTGGTAGAAAAGTCATTAACAGACAGGCCGAAAAAAATGCATCACAGTAAAACCAATTAATTCCTCGTTACGCTGAGATCTAAATACTATAAAGGTTTAAGTAATATAAACATGAAATTATTATGGCAAATTATTTTTAAAAAAAATACGAAAAATGAGACAGGAGTATGTTCCCCTCAACCCCTGACTATGCCGCTGAATACATCAACTAGTAAAAACTAACTACCAGAAACTACCTTTGAAGTTGATGACGGGAGCAAGATTCCTAGTTGAAAATTTGTTGATGTAGATAAAAAAAAAAAACTATCCATCATTTCATTACTATATTATAAAACCACTACAATATTTCTCGCTTCTGTCAGTCTAAAAATTCTACACATTATTACACTCCGTTTACCTAAATTATCGTACGGAATACGGAACATAGAAGCATAAAAAAAAACTCGTATATGTATCCCCACGTATAACGCATAATGGTAATAATTATACTGCCAAACGACCTATTTGTATTTGTTCAAAAGTGAGAGACAACACGGGTGCGTATTAACCTTCCCTACTTGAAATAAACCACAAATTGAGTCTTAAATAGAAAAGCTGAAAATATACAATAAAATAATAAAGTAAAAACAGAATTATATGAAATGGTTAATACTCGTAAATAAATATATAAATAAAAAGTGTATATATAAAAATAAAAAATAAATGAATGAATGCGTCACCTGGAGTATAATGATAAGTGTATTATACGACCGGTTTCGAATTAAAAATTCATCAGGTACATCATAGTCAAAATGTAAAATGCGACTGAATATAAAAAAATTAAATGAAGGAATAGGTACATGGAAAAAAAAATTATACAAATTGGTCATTTTACATAGAAATAAGTTATTTTAATAAGAGAGATTATTTAAAATGGGTTAGGTAGTATTAGACATAGAAATGTTAATAAATATAAATCATTTAGTTATTGTTTATTATATAAAATGTATTGATATAGGATATTTGATGGGTATTTAATATCTCTAAAAACTTCACAAAAATCTCCCTTCTTTTGAAAATGCTGGCATATATAAACTTAAATGTAACTGTAATAAATTGGAACAGGTAAGACAAATAGAAATTTTAAAATAAGATCTAAAGAACACATTTCTGAAATAAAATTAAAAAAGACGGCTCCTAATTCAAATTTCGCTTAATATGTTTTAGAAAACAACCATAATATAAGCTTTCATATTAATACAGACTTAGAGATATTAAGTACCTAAAATAACATTTAAATAAATTCAGTTATATAAGAATTACATATATATATATATATATGTATATATATATATACACCGTGAAATAAAGAAAAATAATTTTAATAGGGTTTTAAAAATAATATCTTAAATCAATACAGTTTAGATAATAAAAAAAAACTAAATGATTTATATTTCATAACATATATATGTATAATAATAACCCATTTTAAATAATCTCTCCTATTAAAATAAATTATTTCTATATAAAACGATTAATTAATGTAATTTTTTTTTTTTTTTATGTATTCCTTCATTCAATTTTTTATATTCAGTCGCGTTTTACACTTTTACAGATTTTTCTATAGCTGTTATTATTATTATTAAAAAATTGAAAAATATTTAATATTAATAGCTCCAGAAAAATCCGTCAAACACGGTGGGACACACTGTATACACATTTTTATTTATATATTTATTTACTATACTTGAAAATATACGTTCTGAATTTCTGATGGAGTCAATCAATCTTTTTGTTTTTTTTTTTTTTTTTATGAAAACTCGTCTTGGTTTTGAATTGACATAGAACACTAAATTCTTTTGAAGCGTTAAGTTTTTTCATTTCTCCTCTATTTTATTTAAAACCGTGGTGGTTTTTCATTGAATAAATGACAGTTTTATGTTTACACTTAGGATACTTAAAATTCCTAGGGTCAGTTGGAGCAGAGTCAGATTTGGACCAACAGTGAACAAATTTACTCGAGTGTAATAGAAAGTATTAGCCATTTTTTTATTGTCACCATCGGAGTTATTTTATGAATATTATACATTTTTGGTAAACAATCGAAGAGCTATTCAGAGGATTCCATTTGCATCTGTGGTTCGTTTCAATTATAAAACGTTAATACGCGCACGGGTACTTAATATTGTACAGTCATATTCTATCAATGAATCGAAATTCAACAGCACTGAATATTTTGACATTGTAAATTATCATTACTATTGTGGTTTTTTTTTATTTCGATCGATAATTAAAAATAAAACAAAATAGAGAAGTCAGACGGCTATACAATTATTAACGAGGAATATTGTGTTTCTATGTAGTGGTGGAACACTTAATTATCAATGTTTGAGTGTTTGCGCCAGAAAGGAATGGTATAATAAATGTGTCCGATGTAAAACGCAAACTAAGCATCCAAATTAATACAATAATATATAAAAAAAAAAAAAAAACAATATTTTTACCTATATATTTTTAAACGTTTAACATTGATTGATTCACTTTTATTTTATAAGTCACCTATTACTCGCTAATGTAATTTTTTACGAGATTTGTTATCAATTTATAATTTAGCAAGAATTATATACCTACATAACAAACATTTTTTTTTTTTTCAAAATTGTATAGTACAATATTATCGCGGTAAAATTAAAAATAATTAATTGAACATTATTATACGCGGTCCGATGAACAACATTTCATATATTTTCAGGCTCATACTTTTGTTTCCAAATAAAACACGCTCAGATTTTAAGTGATTCGGTAATTTATTATTTAATAATAAGCTACAACAATATTATAGCATATTATGCTAATTGAAAGAATTTCAATGAGGCTGCCGCGCGCCGCCGAGAAATATTCACAGCGTACGACAGGGCAAAATGAATGCTGGCAGAGAGCGTAGGGCAAGGCGCAACGCACACCAGTGTAGTGTGGCGGTAGCGTTTTTACGGCCACCGCCACTTGCAATGAAAAAAATATTTATACTACTCGTGTGTCCATAATGTGAATGCGCACACTGGTGCGGTGTGGCGATAGTGCGGCGGTGGCGCGAAAAATCCGCACCGCACGAACCGGTCGTTTGGTGGTGTTTTCGCTGCGGTGTTTTTGGTGAAAAAAATGGATTTTTAAAACGTGAAATATTTCACGGTATTATCTATGCTGGTTATTTACGCCACGCCGGCGCTATCACGCCACATCGCACCGATGCGTGTTTAAGCGCTTTTCGCGGCGTTTTCACTACTACACTTTCTCGCTACACCACCGCTACACTACATCGATGTGCGTTGCACCCGACTCGTCAAAACAGTTTAACGCGGCCAAAATTGACTAAAATAAATATAATACTATGAACATTATAACTCTGCTGTTCATCAGTGCTCTTTCGTCCCGAACCGTAGTACTTCGTAATTTGTGTTAAAACACGTTGTACGCTTTCAACTACTTTAAATACAATCGTTAAAATTAAACAATTTAATACATTTCACATCGAGCTACGAGGTCCGCGGTCGATGACAACCCCGGATGCATACGATTACGAATAATACAATAACTCGCGAGATGATAATAATACATGCGAGTTAATGGCACGTCAATCTAAATATAGGTATTATGTGACGTACACCGCTGTACGTACGTACACACTATTGCCTATACCAAACTCCTTAAAAACCATTAAACAGCGAGAAAACCGAGATTTCATGGATATGGAATAAAACACACCGTTCAACCGTCAACAAAATTAAATCAAATTTACTAGTGTAAAATTATTGAACACAATTTATAAATGGACTTTACGTGTCCATCGTGCCCTGCAGTGTCGAAGAAGTTGATATAGACAATTTTCGAAAATAATAAAAACGTGTTAAACACGAAAATATTTTCAAATATAATACGTATCAGAACACAATATTTATACGAGTAATTTCTTGAGTACAAACTGTTTGCATATACACTGTGCAGTTATGAAATAAGTTTAAAAAGAACATTTCAAAATGGGTTTCGAGATAAAACACATAACATACAATTATTTGTGTAATATACCATTCTTCAAATTTCTTTAGCGTTTTACAATTCTTTAAATATTCGACTCATCATTCGAGGTATAAAAACGGTATTTTACATTTTTTTTAACATGAATATCTCTTTTGGCTGAAGTTTAGTTAATATTTCGCAGCGGATTTTTTTGAAATGCATATTGATTCATTATTCTCAATTATTACATAACGACTAAAACGTATCAACATACAAGTATAAATCCATCTAATGTTTTTCCCATAAGAGAGATGATAAATTTTTTGTTTTAATAATTAACTTTTAAATTTTGAGTATTGAACACTGCAGAAAATACGAAGTTCCTGTCCAATGATACTTTATTTGAAATATTTTTCGGCATATTATAAACAAAGTATATACTATATGTACGTAGTATCGACACTGCACAAAAAATTAAGCAATTTCATAGGCCAATTTAAAGATTTGCAGCCCTTTTAATAGGGATTCTTACTAATCTAAGAAATACGAATAAATGATAATAAATTAATTTAAACAAATTATGTTAGTTGAAATTTGATATTTCTCCAAGGAAGAAAGTGTCCTAAGTATAACCAACTAACTAAATAACTACTAATAGACCTAGTCAATGAAAAGTCACCATGGGGATAGATGAAATCATGAACTAAGATATATTGGACTGAAGTAGAATAACTCTTCAGAGGCCTTCAATTGTTTCCAAGTTAAAATCGAAAAGTAAAAGTAGGGGTAAAAGCGTCATATATATATATATATATATATATATAAGAATTAAAAATAAAAAAGAACGGACATACTTCGCATGTGGGCGCAGTTACTGTTGTAGGTGGGAAGTTGGAAAGATAGGATACAGACAAGAATTTAATGTATATCTATAAGCAATGATAAACCATTGCTAACAAATAAATGATTCTAAGCGGAGTTCAGTTGATATTGGTATTTTGTCAGCAATACATATGTAATATTATGGAAAAATTATTTCAACAATGTGTTTTTCCATGACAACAATGATTGTTTAAAAAATATTAAAATAATAAAAACTTAATAATAACAAAAAGTAAATAAAAACGGTTGCCAACGACAACCTTATTTTTAATCTTTCAATCTTTTCTAACATAAAGCACCAGGTTTTCCTTATTATTTCGAATATTAATGAGAATTTCAAAAAATGTCCTCTTTAAAGTACCACCCAGAGAACATTTTCTTTCAGAAAAGGTGTTGTACTTGATAATCAGAGTAGGCTTTTTGGTAGAAAGTGTTTACATTAGAAAAAAAAAGAAAAGAAATAAACATAATTGTAAAACGAATACATTCCTCGCTCCACTCAGAATCTAAAATAAAACATAAATATTATGTTAGTTAGGAACTAGACGTGCTTTTATTTTAGTTGTACCAGTTATGGTCAAGAGGTAGAGTGTCGAAATATTTGAGGGTATTGGTTGTTTCTCTACTATCTCATATCATGTCAATTATATTTAATTCCATATAAATACTTATTTAATATAATAGCGAAGAAAGTTAATGATTAAGTTAGTAGATTATGTTAGGACACCTAATCTAGCCTATTGTGAACTTAAAAACTAATCAATGAAAACCCATGAGTTAAAGAAGGAATAACTATGGAAAATAATGAAATAATTTTAGCCTATGATTGTCGGATTCGAACCAGACAACGTTGATTATATGGACATCGTGTTTTTCATTGAAACACCATCAGATGTCATACAGAAGTTTGTAAATTGTGATAAGTTACCGATTTCGAATAGTGAATTACGTGAATTAGCTATTTAAATTGTCTTATTTTCTGTGTAGCGCAGAGCCCATGTACGTTTTGTTAATATTATGCCAACGAGTCACTACTAATAACATTGCTATGGGAGGGTACTAAGTTATATAATTCCTGCTACAAATCGTATAATTATCGCATTCTTTTGGTTTTTTTTTTTTTTCTAAACCGTTTTTCTATAAAATGGATAAAGAAATATCGCACGTTACAACATTTGGGCGATGATATACTCAGAGGGGTGTATATTATTGAGTGAAACACTATATAAGTTCATATCTTACCTGATAACATTGTTTTCAAAATAATTCTCATATTATCACATTATTATGTATCATGCATCATTTGCATCGAGGCCGAATTAACACGAAAATAGCCTTGGTCTCTCAACAATAATTATCCGGCAAAACAAAAATTACTAATATTATCACACGCAATACATAGTTTAAACATATCTATACAAAATGCATAGAAGATAATCGCTCGCGGTTACCGTGGCAATGTGGTTAATGGCACGATATCATGTGTTTTCGTGAATTTATAATAATTATTACTAATACATAATTGTCGGAATCAAATTAAATAACAATAATAAAAAAAAAAAAAAAAAAAAACCCAAAAGAATTTAAATCGATTAAAATAAAAATAGGTAATAACAAAAGGACGAATTATCAATTTCATTTTGAATTATATAATATTTGTATAATCGTCAAGTATAATATATTATATATAATATGACGCCTACAACGGGGATGATTTTGAAAATTGGTACAGTCAGAGGGTATAGAAAAATGTATTTTAACATCATATTTAAATGTTCACCCCTACTCCTTACACCATGAATATTTACTTTTGATTTTCAAATGGCGACCCCCTTGTTCAACAAAGTTTCGGCGTAAGCATATTTTTCTAAGTAGTTTGATGTGCGTAACACCGATATCGCGAATATAACAGTTTAATATGGAGAAATAAGGAAGTGTGAAAATATTCATATCCAAAAAAAAAAAAACAAAGTCTAATAAAGTAATATTTTACTCAACATTTTCGTAAATAATAGCTGGATTGTGATAAAAAAAAATCACTTACATATATATTATATAAAGTACTATTTTTTATAATTTTTCTATACTATATTTAGGCAGACCTTTCGTCAGTTTTTGCCACTCTACCCCTATAATAATATACCGGATGATCCATTTAAGTGGGTACACTCACATCTCGGAAAGTATCTCGGAATTTTTTTCTAGAACATTTAAGAGAGCTGCTTTACAATTTTATAATTATGTTATTTTTTGTCACCCTTATTTTTAGGGATAAAACCATTACCTACTTTTGACTTTATAAACACGCCGCGCGCGTAAATTGAAAACACAATAGCTATTATTGTATTATTAGGTAAACTTTCATGCAGTGGCGTGGGACCGAAAATCTTCCAGTACCTATAATAGAAAAGAAGAAAGAAAAAAAAAACGTGAAATACAAGCTGAATATAGATTATACAATATCAATCAATGATTCCTAGAACAAAGTCACGATTGCAGAAAATCCCAACATAATCTAAAAAGACATTTTTCGAACGAGTTGCAGATAATATGTACAGGTCCGTGCGACAATATAATATTGAACAAATTTAAATAATTCAAAATATTTCCCCAGAGAAATTAATGTAGTAAGGAAAATCATTATTTTTTTTTTTTTCACGGACATTTACAATGAAAAATAACTGTATTCATATATTATTATAGCGTAATACGACACGCGCATATTTTCAAGACTTAAATATAGCATTGCCTAGGTATATATAATATTAATAGGTGTATGCCACACCTATAAACACCTGCAGAATTCCGGTTAATTATTATGGGTATACAATAACAACGAGATTATTAAAATTCCTGGTGGAGAGATAATTTGTTGATTACGCAGTAAAGTAAGGACGGGTAGATATTCCGGAAAAAAAAAACGGTTACCGGGTTACCGTGGCGGTCAACGACGGTATATCGTTTGGACTGGTATGAACTCACGTACGCATTTATAGGGCTGCGGTAAGTTCCGGCTTCGATAAAATGTTCCCGGAACAGAATTTTTGATTAAATATATTCCCAGTTTTAAAAAAAGAAGTACAAAATATTTAATACAAGTCTAAGAGCCGAAGACACGAGAACTCGACAATTAAACTTATAATGAGGTTTATACTTTTGAGTTTTAACTTAACGGTCCTGTTCGTGATTTTTTGCAAATTGAAAATGCAGATAAGTTTTAAAAAATAGTTCTACCAATTTAATTATAATGTTAAAGACCTTGCGAGTGTCTGGTTATTTTTTTTTTTACTCATGCACGCTTTACACGAAAACTCTTATGTCTCATAAAGTGATTAAATTTTGATAGTATTTTTTAATTTATTAAAACGAACAACTTCTAACAAAGCGCCTTTTTTAAAAATTATATTTTTAAATGCGATAATCAGAGTGAATATAATCAATTTGCACAGGTTTTTTTTAAATATTTCTTTATTGTAACTTTTGATTGAAATATTGAATATTAAAAAAATGGAAGTCCATTATAGAAAGTTTTTCCTCTTTTCTATAAGAAAAAAAGCGAATACCGCTGAGTGTGCTCCTGTTTTAGAAGGGAAACTGGAAGAGTGGATACATAAATTAATTTAATTTACACCTATACGAGACGATAAAAACCACTGTTAACGAAATACAATTCTAAAAAAAGTATTATTAAAGCATTGTTTTTTCCCAGATTACTAAGATAAGCCAGAAATTAACACAAATTATACAAACAATTTGCCAGTTTTTCCCATTTATTAAATACATTGTTAAGGAACTATAACTACCGCTGTTAATGTCGTTATTATTATTATCTACACTGTTATTGATTTATTTATTTTATTTCTAAGTTATTTTATATTTTTTAATTATTATTATTATTATTTTGACTATTGTTTTGATGTTACATGTTTTATTTACTTATTTATTTACTATTTTATTTTGTAATTATTATTGTTACCATTGTAACTTGTATTATCGACTAGCCGAAAATGTCATGTGCATAAATAAATAAAATAATTGCAAGGGAAATCAAAGAATGACCTCCTAACGTACCAACTAAATCAAAAATTCTAGAAGAAAGTTTCTATAAAGTTTTTGATTGTAAGACATCCGGTTGAATAGTTTTTAAATATAATATAATAAATACCCCTTTAAAATAACACATCTTAATAAAATAAATACTTTTTAATACTTGTTAATCTGAGAAATTAAAAAAATTATCGAAATCAATCACTGTACGAGTCGTGAAAGTTTGGGTTCCCTAAATATGAAAAAAAAAATGATTGAAATGTTTGTTAAAATTTGCTAAGTCACAAGCAAGAATGTTAAGTCGACTTTAGTTGAAGTTCTTAAGTGGTTTTAATTGTTTTAACATAAAATAAATTTTGAATAATATTTTTACATACAAAAATATGCAAGTATTTTTATTATAGTGTGGTTAAGTAGTTTAGTCATTTAGTATATTAAGTTCTAATAGAGTGTAGAAAATATCTTTTTTAGTATATTATGGTAACCGACTAGGTAATTAATTTTTATTATTTTAGGAAAATAAACTCATTTTATATTGTTTTTAAACTATTAAAGAAGAAAAAATAAGTTAATTTTGCATTTTTTTAAACATAAATTATAAATTGATGACTCGTTTAAGTACCCAATTTAAGTTATTTTTTTATACGATTTCCAAAAGAGTTTGGCTTATGATTGTCTAGGCTAAAATTGTATAGAATTTTTAGTAGATACAAATACTATTAACACATGAACTTTAAAATAATCTGTCCATTAAAATTTTTTACGATTTAGAATAAAACTAGATAACTTCGTTTGCCTATACAAATTTTACAGGTAATAATAAATATAATAATGTAATAGACTGTAATGAACTATAATAATGTGACATTTATATAATAACTGTATAGTATTATTATACTTAATGTTAAATCATTATTTTTTAGTAGAATCTAGTCGTATCATTATTGTATTAAATTAAAGTTGTAGGTAATTTAAAAATGATGATGTTCAACTTTATGTATTGAAAGCCACGATAAATCATCACAATCAACACGAAATTCTGAGCGGAGCTCGGCAAACTTTTAGGATTATATCTACTAATTACGATATTTTATAACCATGCTTTTTCTTACAGTCAAGGGTCAAGGTAACATAAAAATTATTGAAAATAAAATCTTTTTGTCAGTATTTTTACATTTTTTATTAATTGAAAACAAAATTTTCCGTGGATAAAAAACACTTGCTAGTAAAACTACGCAATTACGCTCAAAATTAAAAAAAAAAAATATTTAAGAAAAAAAAGGTTTAATAGAGTTGTAACATGTTAACACGTTATAGAGTACCTAAATAATTTTCTAAACCGTAAAAGATTCATCGAACATCAGTGACCATCTTGGAAACTGCGAGTTTATCACGATCATTAATATTTTGATAATATGAGTTTTGTGGTGAAAGAAATTATGATTTACCAGTTAAAAAATTACCATGGACGTAAAAAAAAAAGGTTTACAACGTGGACATACGGCAAAACGTAACGTCTTGGGCCTTCGTATAGTATAAAATATTATGTGTCCGAACGAGTTTCCTCCTGAAATTACGTACAATTATTTCATAACGCAACACAACACAATAATATTATTGCGGATGAAACTTGAAACTTCATTAGCAATGCAAGATAACATATAACAGCATCTAATATAATAAGAAATTCTTTCCGACGAAGCTAATACATTTTTATTTCCCTCATGTTCCTATGACACGTAATGATGTAGGGGAAAAAACTAGTAAAGTAAAAAAAAAAAAAAAACAAACAATATATTTATATTCTTATTCATAAACTTAATAATTGATAGGTATACGTATACTGGAGAAATGTAATTATCATAAATAAGCGGGTGTTGAGAAGAAAACAATTTTTTTTTGGCTAACAATATTGTAAATAAACGAAGGCAATAAATTGATCCGCCACGATAGTTTTATGCATTTTGGCACTCCATCAAGAAATGTTGTTGCGTGTCCCTGGTAGTAAGTATGCTAAAATAATTTAGTACAATACAGATATTGTCACAGAGATTATATTATTATATTATTTTAATGTTTTATTATTGAACCTGTAATACTGGTTTTTTTTCGGTAACGAGCTGGAGTAGAAGATTTTTCACCAATCGAAAATATGTGAACAGTGTGATTTAATTTTCGCGGTTTGTGTCGGAAAAAAAATACGTTAACTACCCTATACAGTACACCATATAAAATCTGTATATCAAATTTATTTCTACAATATTAGTAGTACCTATACAATTATTGTATTTTCAAGTTAAACATAGTTTGAAATAAAATTTCCAAAATCAAATACGTGTCGCGTTGAAAAACAATCGTTTGTAAAAGTTGTTAGAACTGTACAGTCTTAATTAACTATCATGATATTGAACATCCATACAAATTATAGGCTTGGCAAAAATTCATAATATACCGACAAATTATTAGACAATTTCTGAAACTATTATGGAGTACCTCTTATAAAATGGATATAATGTAATCTTAGGACCGAATATTTTCTGTGATCTATACGATGTTGTATTATAGAGAAAACAGTAAGAGGACGTGATGTAATTGGATTGTAAAATCAACTAAACTCTTTCCTTATTTATAATAAAGCTACCAAATTTACATAACACATTATGATTTGATACCTACCTCTACTATAAATACGGAAATAGTCTAGTCGAATTACATAATAAATAATAATTGTAATTCAAAGTAAATTCGAATATCTTCGAGTTGATTAATTTTCGTTTTTTGGCAAATTTTTCGAAATTTGCCTATAATTTATTATGGGTTCCACGTCCTATATTTTTAATACTTAACAATAGACAACTGAACGGATTTGAGTCAAATTGAATAATACCTATACTTATACCTATAATAATTAACAAATAAAATGTGTATAAATTAAATAAATGGTTACTGTGAATGTTTTTGAGCCCAAAGCATACATAAATATACAACAGAAGAAAATAATAGAAATAGTCTTCTTTAAAGACGTATGCAAAGTTTTTAGAAATTTAATATAAAAATGTATAAATTAAAGAAGGCTGAAAAAAATAATACTTATAATGAACGAATAAACAATGTACAATACATATTATTTGATATCTTTTCGATACAGAAATCAAATGGATACTAAACAAAAAGCTTAGCGTTGATAAAAAATTGAAAAAACCTTATTTGATAAGAACGAGGAAAAACAAACACTTAAAAAACCACGTATGATGATATAGGTAATAAAAAAGAATTTAACAAAACGAAAGTAGTGTATTTTAAATTGTGTACCTACGTCAGAATATTTTATTATAATAGAATCTGATAACAATGAACCGATGTGTTTAAAATTTACAAAAAAAAAGGCGAAACATACTTCGCACGTGGGTCAACCTAAAGACCAAGGTTTTCCTCATATATCACTTGAATATTAATGAGAATATCAAAAAATGACCACTTTAAAATACCACTCAGAGAAAATTTCCTTTCAGAAAAGGTACTGTACTTGATATTCGGAGTATGCTTCCTGGTAGAAAAAGTGTTCGCATAAAAAAAAAGTAAACATCATTGTAAAATCAATACATTCTTTGTTCCATTCAGAATCTAAAAACGAAAGTTTGTGTAAGTTTTTATAGGTACCTTACACGAACAATAAATTTATATCTGTACTATTTATTGATAAAAACTCGAGTAAAAGTTAAGAGGTTCTCCCGGACACTACATAATCAATTCGAAAAAGTATAAATACCGAAACGAAGACGAATGTCGAAAATTTAGAAATAAAAATGCAGACATTTAAAAAAAAAAAAAACATTTCATTTAAATATTTATCCTAACCAAACCTAACATAATAGTTAAAGTGTTCTACCAAAATGTCCACACTTAAATATGTTATTACGATCTTTCAATTCGTTTTTACAAGTTTTAACTCTGGAGATAGTTTTTACTCAGATTATCGTCAAGCATTTTTTCGTAGATTTATTTGTGTCGTATAACAGCATCTTTCAACGTACGGGTAAAAAGAACATTTCATCCCTGCAATAATGACACTAAGAAAACATTTTGATCTCTCCTGTATTATTTTAAACCTTCGGTAAAATTTAAATAACAAAACGATATTAAAATAATATTATTATTTAATATTAGTTTAATTTTTAGATACTTGTTTAGTGTTTTCTCAATTTCAAACATATTCGGACTACTGATGATTTTTGAAAGTACGTTAATCACAGAGAATATAAGCTCAAATTTAAAATTCTAAACGTGTAAATTTCCGACTGTCCGATTATTTCAGACAACACACGATGTTCATCAAAAGCTACTAATAACGAGTCTCATGATATTTGTGTTTTGTAGTTGAGTTTAGGGCACAACCTAACCTATAATAAATATAATTTAATAGAGCTTCAACGAGTGAAATTTTTCATTTTTTTTTTTATCGAGATATACGTGTTTTGTATTAACTTAATTTCTCTTAAGTTGTTATATAAAAAAAATGCTTTGTGTTAATCATTTGTCAGTATTAGAAAATTGTATTTAATAGGGTTAAAACCGTTAGAGTGGGCACTTTAAAACTCCTTTATCACTTTTGTTTTTTTTTGAATATTTTTAAGTACTTTTTGATATTGTAGATTTTAAGGACATATTAATCCGGTCTCTGATTATAAGCATTAATAAATTATTAACGAATGAAAATATAAAAAAAAAAAAAAATCATTCGAAGAAACCCAAGTAAATAATTTTTTTTATAAAACGGTATAAAATTTGCTTTCAACCCAATCGGATAGAGACGCAAAAGTGAAAATCCGAAATGCCTTTGTAGCTATACATTACGCGCAAGACAGACATAGAAAACCATAAGATATTAGGGACGAGTGACGGGGTAATATAAACCGAAATCGAATTTATGTAAATGCCGTTTACATTTTATTGTAAAAAACAATCAATTTATTTGGTAATTTTGTATAACACTTGCAGTAAATAAAAACTTACACTTAGCCATAATTTTAACAACGAGTCTCGTAAGTATATAGCCATTTACATTTATTCTACTTGATATTTACGTTACACTTAAAATTATTTGAGTAACTCGTAAAACTCAAGTGCATTGCACCGACAAAAATTTTAAATTGAAATTGCCTTAAGTCAAACTTAAGATAAGTATACACGTTAACTGAAACTTAAGTGGGTCGAGTCGAACTCATAACTTGATATTTTGATGATGATGACATTGGCATTCAAAGGTGATTCGGGTTGACTAAAGGGTCGACATTATTTGCGTTCTTGAGTTATTGAATACGATACGAACAGTGGCGTAACCATGATTTTTTAAGAGTGGTGTTTTGTAATTTTGTAACTTTTTTGTGCGCATGTAACACACATAACATACATATATTTAATAATTATCTATGCGTTACACATCTTGTATATGATGCATAATTACATATAGTTCAAATTGAAACTTTTGACATAAATATAGTCAAAGGGGGGTGTTCGAACACTAAAACACCCTGCCCCGTTACGCCACTGGATGCGAATTCAAAACGATTTAGAACACCCGAACAAATTAATCAACGAGTAAATGGTAAACAGAAGCGTGCAAACTGCCGGAATGATGCTAAATGTACACTCACGAAATATATTCTACTAGGTAACGTCGTAATAAAAAAAAAAAAAATTAAATTTGTTTATAATTTATGGGAATTTTCTATTTATTACTATTACTGATAACAGAAAATTAACTTATTGGAGTTGATAACTATGACAATCGACTGACAAACAAGTTAAGCCGTTTACCTTATTACTGTTTGTCGGTGCAACAAATATAATAGGTATTCTGCTTAAATCAACCAGACACCTAACGATGAATCGAACACAAATATTATCGTGTACGCGAATACTAAGTGTCGAATCATCGGCGCAAATGGATTTCAGTAAATTATTCGAAAACAAATTGGCGAATTTTGAACAATTTTCGCTTAACAGTCGTCCGTAGCCCGGCGTACACGTCTTATGATCACTTAATATTAGTTATTACGCGCATCCGGCGCGGCCCGTTGACCCCGTTACCGACTGCGTGTCGGTGACTGGCAGTCAACAGCAATTCTACGGTGTGCTTTGTTTTCGCGAACACGGTGGGACGAAATGTCGCAAACGGCAGGGGCGAAAAATACCTGTGCCGCACTCGATTCGGCGCGAAATCGCACGCGAGGGGGACGAGCGCCGCGTTTCGTTGCGGTTATCAACCGGACAGAAAATTCTAGAATAGGCGGGCTGCTGCTGGCCCTGGCTACTCCGATCAATGGAGCGCCGTGCGCGTGTCACGAAAGTGCGAACCGCGGCTTTATCACCGTTAACGCCGAACAGTGGAAATAATATTGTGCACCACACAATAACACAACGTTATTAAATCGCAGTTATTGGCCGGGTGCACAATATTACAATAACAATTTACAACGTTCGGGTAATGTTAATATTACTTACTCTAAACACTCGGGGTTATCATTACATCGTCATTGTTCATGTAACATTATTCGATTAAACAACGACGGTCGTACTATAAGGTACCTATATCGTAAATCGTAATTCATTTATTTATTACCTCTGTTGTACACGTACGTCGGCATGATAGTTTTTCCCGGGCTGTTCGACAATAATAATCGATATGTAGTGGTGCTATTGTGTTATTATTATTAAGATTATTGTTATGATTATGATTGTTATTATGACAAAAACGACGAGAACGACGACGGCGACGGAATGTTTAGGTACAACTGTGTGAACCTATAATACGATGTCGACGACCACCACAAAATACAAACACACGCATACACACACACACACACACACACACTGTTGTAACTGTTACGGACGAAAAACGAAAAAAAAATAAAAAATAAAAAAAAGGTGTCGGTATATTTAAATATTATAGGTGATAATATCAATTAATTATTAGTCATTACGAGACCGCGTAATAACGGTATTAGTTAATAAAACGATAACGGAAAAAAAAAACACACGAAATACTCATATATTATTACTCTTCGACCTCTATAACCGATATGATATTAGGTGTGTAATACTATCCGCGGTGGTAAGTTAGTCCGTACTACCTATAGACAGGTACTACTCCGTTTATCTGCCGTCAATTTGTTTTATTTATTACACACGACTGTGTTATTATTGTTACGTATTTTATTATTGTACCGTCGTCGCCACCACCGCCACACGACGCGATTACGTATACAATATTACTGCACAGCTCCACCAACGATGACCACCACGTCCGTTGAGCCGTCAACCGGGTAATGATACGTTTTTCGCGTACATTATGTATGATGTTGTTGTGGTTGTTGTTGTTGTTGTTGTTGTTGTTAATCGTGTGCGTTCCCGTGTGTTGACGACTGGCATAACCTTTAACGGCGCGGCGCGCAGAACGCAAGTGCCCGATACCGTAGACCGTGACCACTGCGCAAGCGCCGCAACCGCGCCGTCCTCGCGACGGGCCCCGCGGACGGTGCTGCCGCGGCTGTGACGCGTGTTAATATTCGCACCGCGCCAGGGTTCGGTTGGTGACGTATCGCGCCGTCGCGTCGCTCGTCCCCGGCAACTAACGAGGATTTTTTTTTTTTTTTTGTTAAATATGATGTAACGCACGCACGCGAGCACACACGTTTCGGTCGCTCGCGAGGACAATGGAATGAATTAATCTTTACGCGGAAACGTAAACCGCGTTGCGGCGGCTATGCGTACATGCGTATACATGTAGAGAGAAACGAATTGGAAAAACAACGTGCCGGACAAGTCCGATAAGTTAATTTGCAATAAGTGTACGCATTGCACGCAGACCAAACGGCTTAAAAGCTTTACGCCGAGTGGTTATCACTTGTCGGTCACGCGATTTACAGAGCAATAAAATGATTACCACAGTATTAATTGTATTGTCGAACAGAGGACAACAATTAATCAACCCGCAAAACGGAGTCAAAGTGTTTAAAACGGCCGGTAGAATTTGCGCGAGGTACCCATGTGGAGGCGATGGACGGGCTGATACAATATAATAAAGTGAAAACAATTTGGAATCCAAATATTATAAAAATAGTGCTGGGTAGTAAATTTAAGAAAATAAGGAATTGTTATAATTTTAACATTATGTTTTCTAAGGAGGAGGCATTCTTTTGATATTGCAGCGAGTACCGAGAAATGTATTGGTTTCAATATGATCTGATAGTTTTTTTTTTCTATTTGAACAACGTTTCTACCTACAAAAATTCTGCTTCGATCATCAACTTCAAGGGTGGTTTCTGGCTAGCTAAATTTCGTTTATTGCAGTATGCTTCATGAAACGGTGATATCTGGTGATTTCTCTTCAGCAATCGGTAAACTAGGAATTCCATTATATAAAAAAAAAATACGACAAGCGACATTGAAACCGGTATACGGAACAAATTTTTGAACCCACTGGTTTATGGATAAATCGCCACATGGCACGCGGCGGTCAACCGCCCGTTTTTGTTTAACCTAATCTAACCTAACCCTACCTAACTAATCAGTGCAATGGGGTTTATTTACGGATTTTCCAAACAATGTCTAGTAAAATCCAGGAAAATGTACACAATGACGGTTTCTGTAATTTTCAATTTTGTTTTAGACTCTGGTCGTATACAGACCAATAATGTATTGGTTTTACTAAGATCATAATAAAACCAGGATCAACTTGAAAATGATTATCGGTGTAAGATTTCTGGTCGAAAGTGGCTTAAAGACAGAAAAAAACACATCAGTGTTTGGTGTTTTTTTAAATTTATCAAAATTTATTTGAACTTTTCTCATAATCGTTTTACCAGTACAACGATGTATCCCTATTTATCCTTTACCTCACCGACTTGCCACCTACAACAAAGGCCCGCCGTAGACATGAAATATCTTTCATTGGCAAAATATTTTTACCCAATATTCAACCGAAATACCAAAACAAACAAAAATGGTAAAAGTATTTTATGGAAATAAAATGAATGTAAACAGATAGAAGGTCTTAAAATATGAAAATTGTCTAAAATAGAAATTGCACAGTAATTATACAAATCGATGTCACCGGGGCCGGCGGAAATCGCAGACAGCTTAGACAACGCCAGCGGCCGAATTTTCTTAGTGTGCACACAGCCGTACTGAGGATTTAAATTGGTCCCTAGGTAAGTGCGAAAACCGAAAACCCCTTTCGAAAAACTAATGAACATAAAATAAAAGGTTAATTGTTTAATTTTAATATTTGTATTTTTAAAGATAATAGTTGATATCCGACAGTTAACTAGATGGAGTTTTGGTTGAGACGGTATACACGTACGAGTATAATAAAGCGATTAATAATTTTGATAATAAATATTACATTATATTAACGTGTGTAGTACCTATTAATTGGTATTATTATTTATGTTACGATAATTGAAAGCGTATTATTAAAATTATTCGGTCTCATAATTTTGAATAGTCAACGAGTGTTCACTGTTAACTGTCTAAAAATAATATGCAAGCTATGTTTACAATAGTATATACTTTAATTCAATTATAATAATTAAATGGAGTCTAATTAATTTTAACTTCTTCATAGAACGTTAACATTGTTTTTGTATGATACGACTAAGAGAGATGCAAAACGATAGGGTGGCAAATTTGAATTTTGCCAATGTATACATTTTTCTAGAGCCGGTCTTCGATATCACTAAACCAAAGCTATAATAGGTACTTCAAACTTATTGATTTCGCGATTTTACCTTTAATGCTTTAACAATTATACATAATATAATGCGTACTATGCATTATATTTTATACTTATTCAAACAAGTATAGTTCAAAATTCCAAAGTATTATTCATTTGACCTAATGTACTTTTTCAAATGTTTTTCTGATCTTTACACACCGCCGTGTGTGCAAACGACTAAACAAGTTAATAATTAGACGACATGGATAATAATCGGTAAATGGTGTTTGTTTTTCGTGTTTTTGAATATTATTTTGATCACATAATAATAGAAAAAATTATAATTTCACTTCGATGAATTTTCAGACCAAATAACACAGGTCTATTAAGTTTTTCTAACCGAAACGTGACCTCGCGATCGCTCGATGTTAACGTTTTTCTCGCGGAAATCGAACTTGGAAATTTGATATACCTACCAGCATTACATCATAAAAGTATACGATTACCAATTTGTTATAGCAAAACTTATATATAATGAAATATTTGAACATTTTTTTTTTTTGCACTATTGCAGTTTTATGGCACCAAAGTGATTTCCGAGAAATAAAAACGTTGATGCCAAAGCTTAATTGGATATAATATTAATTCAGTTAAGTCGATTGTTTATTATGTATTAAGTTCAGTTATAAAAGACAATTTGAAAATAAAATAAATTAATTTTTTGACGCTAATAATATATTACAGTGAAAAATGAAAATCATCAAACCCTCAGAGTTGCATTTTCAGATAATATAGGTAAGTACCTCCTATAGGTCATAATATTTTATTCACATATTATTCAGTTATTGAGTATGAAAAAAAAAAAAAAAAAAAAAAATTAAAATCATCGATATATGGCGGTGTAATTATTCAAAATTATAGTTATTTATTAAGTAAATTAAAAATCAAACGTTTAAAGCCGAATCAAAACTTTTTAACTCGTTAATGTAATATAATAATGTCCAGCCTTGGGCCTTGGTTACAACTATAATCGCGGATTCGCAGTTCAGAATCTAGAAAATACCATATAAAGTGCCAAACGACCGTATCGAATCCAACGAAGGGGGTGGGGGAACGTATTGACCACTGTACAAAATACACTCGTGTCAGGCATCCGGCGCCGAAGTTTTATCACATAAATATTATAACCGAGCTTAGAAAATTAAAAAAAAAAAATCCGTAAATTATCGTTCGCGCATAATATAACACCGTTTTAAAAATAGCAAATCACGATAAATATTTATGACATATTTATATTCGTTAATTTATGTCCGTGGTTAAATATATATACAATTTTTTTTTTTTTTGTTTCCTTATAATTATTATCAAACCCGCTGAATTTTTACACGGGTTTTTTTTCCCTAGATAGTTGTACCTACTAGCTCTGTTGCATTACATACATAATCAAATATTATTTTTAATTGTCAAAGTATTAAATGCATTTTATACATATTATATATTTACATATGTTGTGTCCGCGCGAATAACTAAAAATGTGTATAAGAGTGATTTGATAAAATTTAAAAAACGTGTTGGTTTATAAAATGTAATGTAACTCACCCCAAACCGCACGACAGGACATTGGCCAAGCAGACACTGAAAATAGGAGATACAAAAAAAAAAAAACCCATTTTATTATAATAAAACCTAAAAAGTCTGCGAGTAAAATACTAAAATATATACCTAATAGTAAATGTAGTATAAATAATTCAAGTTCTAGCAACTTTACGTTCACATCTACAATAATGAAAAGCCATCTTAATCTGAGGTAACAATTTAAAGTATATTTGACTATTATAATTGCAAGTCAAATAATTTAGCTACTTAATAATCATTAAAAACTGTGTATTCAAATTTAAATAATAAAATATTAAATTAAAAAATTAAACAATAACATTAATTGAGTTATTGAATGTGAAATAGTAGACGAAATGGACTTTGATGATATTATTGACACATTTGCTGACCTCAAATTAAGAAAAATTAATTTTTAATTATTACTGTTATAAGTGTAGTTACTAACAATAATAATATATTAAATATTTATAAAAATATACAATAATTTAATCACAATATAAATGTGTGTACGATACAAAATATGTTTTTGGACGTGCCCAATGCCCATCTATTAAAATTAACAAAAAGCATATTTACGGATAAAATAAAGGTAACTGGTTGGGTAAAAGTCGAGGTACTGGTAAAAGTATTACGTAAAAATATTTACGTATTTTGACATTTTCAAATGGAGAAGCTACTGCCTACGGGAATGCTATTGTGTTTATGTGGAAAGCATCACATTTTGTTTGGTAGACTCTGCTAAAAGAGTTATACTTCGGGCCCCGCAAGTTGTAAGTATCTGAATACAGACACACAATAATTGACTTGATGGGTAGATTACACAATTAAATAATTTCTCAGTACTGTTTTTAGGATAGGTCGTCTTGCGCAGGATTTTCTATACATAATTTCTCAGACAAATAAGCGTGTACATCAAGATTATTAAATCGAACACTTATATTATAATAAGTTACAATCTTACGCGCGACCCTTTCTTTTACATGTTCTACCGGTTAGGTTAATTTCAGCTACAATTAAAATGCAAATAAAATGGAACGTTTGAAAAACGTAATTTAATTGTAAACCTTTGTATGGACTTTAAACAGCATAACAAAACAGCAGTTAAATTGAAACGATTAAGGTTAAATACAATTCGAGTGCAACAATGCATTATAGAAATGTATACATTTCTGAAGACTTGACCTGTCACTGACTTAAACTGGCAACATAAAAAAAAATGTAAAAGGATATTTAAAAACAATAAAAGATATTTCAATATTACAAAAATTATATGACATTAATTAGGTATAGTTTAAAAACCACAATTGTTTAAATATACCTACATAGTTTTTTATAAATATACATAACTATTATTATAGCTGTGGACAAAAACACAGCAACTTTTAATATCATAAAAAAATGTTTTCGGAACCGTTGCCAGATTTAAATTTATATAAATACGAATAGTAGAAAAAAAATAGTTTAAATATATTGGTACTTCATTTGTTTATCAAGTAAAATATCATCCCAAGTTCGCTAAAAACACAACGGTTACTTATTATTTAACGTCGATTTTGAAATATTGCTGCAGTATAAAGAAAAAAATATCTTGTTTTGCCTTATAAACAAAACAAACAATATTATTCATACCTACTTATATTCGATTACATTACATTAGTGTTAATTTTTTTTCAACGTTGAAATCGAAATCACGTGTTCGTTATTATTGTCGTTTTAAATAATATCTACGTTAATTTAAAAACAAAATGTAACCGTACGAAAAACTTAAAAATGATTCAAAATTCGGTATTCAATGACGGAGACGAAAATAGCAGTCTAAAATTAACCGTTAGCAAAAACCAATTAGCTCGATCAAATGATTCGCGTATAATTTCCACATAAGACTGTGATGCCGCGATCATAATAAAAATGGTGACGTCTTTACGCTGCAACGACGTAATAACGAAAAATAAGAACAAAAACGATCATAATCAAAAAGCTATAGATGCCAAGTTGAATTTATATAAGAGCGCGCAAAATAAATTTCAACTGAAAGTGTAATAGTTTAATTCAAAGCTACAAAACGATCAAGAAACTACAATCGGAAGACGACGGTTTGAAACTCGAAGATCTTGGGACCACGGTAAATACGATCTATTTTCACTACGGGTATTTACCTTACCTATCACTATTATTATAATAAAGGTACATTAAAATTGTTGTATACGTTGTTTAGGTAAAAAATATTGTCGGAAATCATTTTGGAATAAAATTTTCAAAATCAAACGACGACGCGTCGAAAAAAGATCATGCAATTCCTGTTTCTAATCTAAATCGACCGTCAAGTCTGGATATTAACTTTTCAACTGGTTATCGAAATTTAGATTTAGCGATAAAAGGAGTTTTTGAAGACGTGTGAAAAAATTAATTGGACATTTCTGGAACTAATGTGAAGTATGATTTTTGGCGTAAACTTATCATCGAACCGAATTATTTCTGCGATTTGTACGATGTTAGAGAATACTTGATGAAAAATATGTTTAACAAAGAACAGACGACCGAACAGAGACGATTGGAAACAAATTAAGTACTATCTATAATCATTTACAATTATAAATTATAGATATAATAAACGAGTTCAATGAAAGTCTTATGCCTGAAAATTCACGAATGAATAAAATAGTGTAAGTATTGAAAAACCATCGAATAAAGACGACTCTGAGAAATTTGATATAAATGAGATCAAACTTCAAACGGCAAAAGAAGATTATAAACATAAAATAAATGCGAAATTAAAGCTGTTAGAAACGGAAAACCAGAAATTAATGGAAAAAGAGGCTGGATATTCTCTAAACAAATAAAAACCCTAACAGGAGAGTTATCGTTGCGCGACAGAAAATTGTTAAACATTAAAGAACGCGCAACGTTGTTAACAAAAGAAAAAAATGATTTGATTAGTACGATTGAAAAAATGGAAATAAAAGACTAAGGTTTCCAAACACTGCCAAATCGATACGTAATAGAGCAAGAAAACAACAAACGTTTGAGAAGTATAATTGAAAACGAATATAACAAAGTTATAATGTAAATTTTGTATACGAAATTAATAAGTAATTAAAAACCCCAAAAAAATATGACTATCATACCACCTATATTATATTATTTTGTTTACTCTATTTCAAGTGCACCTATTTTATCTAAGTACACATTTAAAATATATGATCATAATATGTTAACTATACATGTTATATTGGTATTCGTAAAAAATTATTTTTAAAGCAACAAATTATCCCTTATAATTTTATAGACAAATAATATTTGCAATCTCGCGGGTGGGTTCTAACTAATGGTAGTTAGAAGCCACTCGCATTAGGCACGTACATTTTATACGTTTCTGAATGACCAGTTTCTTTAGAAGTTATTGACATTATTTAACTGTATTTCACATCTATTACCTACATATTTTTTTTCTAAATTTTATCTTTTGAAGTTATTCAACAGTACATCCTCAAATCCCTTCTATTCCATTCAATAATCAAATCTAACACGTTTACTGCAATATTTTATGCGGCGTTTTTTATTCCATCAAAAATAATTAAAATAAAGTACTTGCATCCGTTTTTTTATTCGCCAATGTGTGTAGTATACTGCACAACAATTATTATATCGGCCCTCGCTAAAATGCAGTATTCGGGGGTTCTCGCTTGCCTTTTATATTTTGATTAATATATAATTTTTAAATAAAAATGTTGTCGTTCTATTTATTAATATAAAATATTGTGTTGTTAATTTTTACTCCTATTTTTACCCGTGAGTAACATCTTATATTAATAATAATTGTTACAAAATAGAAATAACGAAAAATAAACAAGAATGCGTGCAGGTAATTTGCATCATGCAACCTAACACGAAACATCAATTACCTAACGTTTTCTTTTTATTCGGTAAATAAATTATTAAATAATTATCCAAGAATTATAATAGTTATGCGACACTATAAATTAAGGAAATTGGATATTCATAATATTTTTATTTATCTAAAACACAAACGCAGCATAGCAGATTTTCCAACACGTCTTGCGATCGATCATTGTGTCACTTTTTTCAATTTAATTGACGTTTGTTTTATTATATATACAATATACATATTATAACCAATTATACAATTTTTACATTATCATAATACTAAACCTAGTTAATAACTATGTATATTAAAAAAAATAATACATAAAATACAATTTTGTGTATACCTTCGAATAATGAGTACAATATCTAAAGCACAATAATTGTAAAGCGTCAACTAGATGGTAGATTTTCCTCTAAATATTGACATACATACATTGTATAGTAGTTGTTTTAACTCTAAAAGCTGATTTTAAAAGCATTTTCGTTTGGTTTATGCGAACATATTTTTGATGCATTGTCCGTTAGAAAAACAAAAATGGCAAACACCACGGTGAAAAATCGTCGATAAAATCATGCTTATTGCAAAATAAACCTATTTAATATGTTCTAAAATACCTACCAAGAGACGCATAGAAACCACATTTAGAAGACAACCTCATTAGTTTCAATAGCTTCGGTAACCTTCGATACAGAGTTTAATAATTTAAACAATTCAAACTTGAATTACATTGTCTCCGAATTATTCTGCTCTAAATTATTCGTATGACATGTTATAATAAGTTAAGAACACTTTAAAATGCCTTTTGTATGTTTTTAATGTGTAAATCGTAGCCGTGTTTTAAAGTTACACAACTATATCTGCTTGTTAACTATCTACCTACTAAAAAAAAAATAAATAAACGAACAATAAACTATTATTTTTAAATTAATCAATTAAACTTGGATGAATTAATTACAATTTACTATCTACTAATTTACCAACGATTGATAGGTTTAGTATAGGCATAGATAGATAGTATAAGGTAAGTATCAATAAGAGCAATTAACTTTAATACCGGATTTATAAAACGGCATGTTTTACTTTACTATACTCGTACGTCTTTCGGTAAGGGCATCGTGATTGCGAAATGAGGTTATAATATTTTAATCAAACAGCAACATAGTGAATATATAATGCGTAATTACTTAAATAATTATAATACTACTAACAAATAAAATAGGCATGTCTTTGAGGTGGGAGAGGCAAAGAAAGCAATCTTCCCCTACCCCGTGCACCGTGTGACGATACATATTTCACAAAATATCCAATATCTATAATTATTTGTTCTTAATTTCAAAAATAAAATATGTTTCTCATATATCTTGAATGTATTAAGCATAGTTGGAGATCTGATACATTTTCGGGGATTTAGGTTAGGTTCAGAACGTATCGAGGAATGTATTAGATCGACAATATTGTTTATTTATTATTATTTTAGATTCTGAGTGGAGCGAAGTGTAGCACCTTTTCTGAAAGGAAATCGGTGTGGTGTGGTACTTTAAATAGATTATTTTTCGATTTTCTTAGGAGTTTTCTGCAAAAATGTGAAAAACCGAAAAAAATGGAGAAAAAACGGGAAAATGTATGAAATGTAGGTATTAGTTAAAAAAATATTATAACCTTTTTTTGCTTGTGAACAACTTTTCTACTAGCAATTTCGCTCCAATTTTCAATGATAGCACTTTTTCTAACAGGAAGTCTGACTGGGAAGGCACTTTAGAGAGGTAGTTTTTTAATTTTCTATCTAGTTTTCCCTTGAATAGGAATTTCAGGAAAACCCGTAAGAAAACGGGAATATAGGTATAATATTAGCTCCGTTTCGCCAGTACTGTCACTTTCAAATTTTATTACCAAACCTAGATAATGTTTTGTATTTTTTTTTGTACAATTTTGTACAAGTAAAATAAAGTTGTATACACCCTCCAAACAAGAGAAAAATCGATTTTGCTATGCGAGTGCTGGAGGAACGTAAAAAATAGAAAATGTAATTATTTTCTATTATTCGTGATAATATCGAGACTGATTTGTACCTATACCTTTACTTGTTTTGTACATTTATGAATATGATATGTAATGGCAATACGATTGTAAAATGTCGTCAAGTTGCGTAACATATTATAGCTACAACAGTGAGTATAAGGTGAGGTATTTGGCACATTTTTTGTGTCCACGACTACCTAATAGCTTATAGTCTTGTAAATTAATTTGCTTTTATACGGAGAATCAGTTAATATAAATTATATTTCAAATGAAATAAAAAGTATTAATTGTATTTCTCGTGTTTGGGGGAGAGTGTACACAATTGTACATAAAAAAGTATATAACACAGCATCATTGGAAATTATAATTGTTCAAATTGTGGCAAAGAGAGTGCTAGGAAAACGTTTCTCCAGCACGCGAATAGCAAAATTGATTTTTCTCGTGTTCCGGGGGGGGGAGGTGTACAAAATTATATTTTATTTGTACAAAATAAAGTACATAATACTGTATAGGTTTGGTATTGAAAGGTATTGAAAGCAATTCTGGCGAAGCGAATCTTACAATATTGAACAAATATTTCTAAAGATAATATATATTGCTTATGTATTTATTTTACCGTCATATGACATAAAATATATTGTTGACAAAGCAACTACACTATAAACTAAATTCCGCTCGGAATTCGTAAGCAATGGTTTATCGTTGCTTACAGGTATATATTAAATTACCTATAACAATTGCTGCACCCGTCTCCATTATCCTAGGACAGCTTTTTTATAGTTTTTTTTTTTCATCAATGAGCAACTTTTCTATCAGAAATCTTGTTCTGGTGTATCAAGTCTAGTATCTTTTCTAAAAAGAAATTTTATCTTTTTGGTACTTAAAAGAGTGCCATTTATTTGGTACTAAGTAGTACAAAAGAATTACAATACTGCCAAAAAAAAGTGGAGTTTTATATTTTACATAATAAAAAAATTCAAAGAAGCCCATAATATGTTTAGCTAATACCTACATTTTTTACTTTTTCCCGTTTTTCCTCTGTTTTTTTTCGGTTTTCACATTTGTTGAGAAAACTTCAGGGAAAATCGAGAAACGATCTTTTTAAAGTTCCTCCCAAGTGAAATTTTCTTTTATAAAAATGTTTACCATTATAAGTTGAAGCAAGATTGCTGGTAGAAAAGTTGTCCACAGAAAAAAAAAATAAACATTTTTGTAAAATCTTTGCTCCACTCAGAATACGTATAAAAAATAGCTGATATACGGCTGATGGGTAAACCATTGTTGTAGGCGAGAATTTAAGAAGATAGGATACATAAAGTTATTTAATTTATACCTGTAAGCAATGATAAACCATTGTTAATGGAAAATGGTTCTGAGCGACGTTCGTTTATATAACTTAAAAGGAATATAATGGCTTATAATATTTACGATTTTCATTAAAATTCGATCTTGATACCATTACTTAAAAGAAAATAACTAAATTACACTTTACTTTTTTTTTTTTTATTATTATTAAGTGTAACTTTTAATAAACCTTCTGTCAAATTTTTAAATTTTCGTTTGGTCAAACAATTATGTCTACAATAATACCTGTCAAATAAAAACTTCTTCTTCTTCTTCTTCTAAGACTTATAGCGGTCCATTTAGAACCATCGCCGCTTCCAATACGCTCTTCCATCTTTCCCTATCCAATGCCACTTCATATCCAGTAATGGATTGATTTCCTTCAGGGTTTTCTTAACTGTATCATACCATCTCTGCCAAGGTTTACCTCTTGGTCTTTTTCCCAGATTGTTTTCCGTGACTTTCTTAATAAGTGATCCCTCTGCTCACCAAACGTGTCCCACCCATTTCAGCCTTTTTCTGGCTAAGAAATGTAGTAGACTTGCCTTGTTGTACAGCTGTTTTAGGTTTTCAGTTGTTCTTCTTTGAAAACTTCCCAAGTCATTATTATATACTGGTCCATATAATTTCCTCAGTATTTTTCTCTCGAAACTCTGTAGTCTTTCTTCATCTCCTTGAATGCTAGACCATGTCTCGCATGCGTACGTTATTATGGGTCTCAAGTATGTACAGTAGCGGCGTTCCTTTGTACGTCTGGACAGTAACTTGGAGGAAAACATTTCTTTCATTGTAAAGTAACATCTATTTGCCGCATTCAGTCTCATCCTAATTTCCTTAAGCATATTGTTCTTTTCGTTTATGTTAACTCCCAAGTACTTGGAGTCCCCTACCTGCTCGAAAGTAAGTCCTTCGATGAGTAGATTATCCTTTACAGTTGCATTCCTATTCATCACCGTATATTGTGTCTTATTTTTGTTTATCACTAGCCCCATATTGCAGCTAGATTTTATTAGCTTTCTTACACTCTCCTCAACATTATTTTTAGACTCTCCTAGTAAAATAATATTATCTGCATAGGCGAAGAAGGTCCTATTAACTACATTTCTTTGAGGTCTGGTATATCTCTCACCAACTTTTCCAGAGCTAGATTGAACAGCACTGGGACAGTGCGTCACCCTGTCTCAGGCCCTTCTTGCATTTAAATATTGATGATAATTATCCTAAGAAACGTACTCTACAACAAGTTTATTCATTATACATCTGGATTAAATTATCGGGTATGCTAAAGTTTCTAAGTGTTGTCCACAGTTTTTCACGAATGATTCTATCGTATTCCTGTCTGGAGTCCACAAACACCATACGAAGGTCCTTGTTATACTCTTAGTACTTTTCCATAAGTTGCCTTAGTGTATGAATGTGATCTGTCGTGGACTTTCCTTTTTTAAAGCCACACTGATCAAATAAAAACTACCTAAAAAAAAACTAGCAAACACAAAATACCTATAAAAACCTCAAAAATCATCGATTTATTGTTTTAAAAATTTCACCACGTATAAAAAAAGACAAATATTTTTTCTGTTAAAATTTTAAGTTTCTACGAATATTTTTAACATACACGAAAAAAAAAAAAATAATAACTACCCATCGAAGGAAAACCAATAATCCCACGTTCCGCTCTGAACCTAAAAATTTACAGAAAATAATAATAAGTTTTCTACTCTGAGTATTTATGTAAAATTCAAAGTTCCATTCCCTCGTCGTGAATAATAAATCGAGTTTCTACGATTTACCATTTATATTATATGAGTTACTTAAACTTGTATAAATAATATATATTACATTATATGTACAATATATAAACTTTACAACTTGTGAAAATATAAAGCCATTTCAAAATAAAAGGTCGTTGTACAAGTTCAAAAGTATTATTTTTCTCTAATGGTATTATTATTATTATTATTGTGCATTATAAAGTATAAAGTAATCATAAGAAATATTTTGAACTAATATTAACTAAATATTGTTAAATAAATACAAAATAATGTTATTTATCTTATCGTCTTTCTTTGTTTAATTCGTGTACTTAAAATTTAGAAAAAAATAAATAAACAATAAAGTAAGAAGAAATGATGAAAAATAATAATAATAATGAGTGTAACTGCAGGGGGTATCTTACCTGTTAATGATTTTTCCGGTGTCGTACAAAATTTGTAATTCTTTTTCAATTCGGAAGTCGGTACTTCGAACACAGCGCTGGGACTTTTTTGACCGTCGGTCGGCGTCACCAACAATTGATCGGGCGAAGCTGACATGTTGCTGTCAAACCAAATTTTTTCCTGGTATAAGACATATAAAATAAACGATTATAATAACGTTATATATCTTTGGGGGAGCATTATAGCGTAAAATACAATGTACCATTTTTTAATTGTTTGTGACAAAAAAAATGTATACTACATTTTCAAAAAAATAAATAAAAACTAAAAACCGATCTATAAAAATAATTAAAACTATTTTTATTTATAAAAATTATTTTGATTATTTGATAATTTGAAATTTGATAATTTTTATAGATCGATTATATTGTATTACAAATTAAATATTATTCGTATATTTCAAACGATTTTTCCCTAAACTACTAGAAAATATTCTAAGTCTATGTTTAACAACCATAATTGAGACGGTAGTACTACACAGTGCTTTCAAAACCATTTTGTGACCCAAATATCATACATGTATATTTATAAGACATAAAAACTAGTCACTTATGTATTTATTATCATCAATTTCTAATCCAGTTATTGAAGATATTATTATTTACGTCATTCGGGAAAAAGAAGTATATTTGAGCATGCAAAAAAATACTCAATCGAGTATGTGTGTTTTTATTTAAACCATTATAGTAAATATAGGTTTAAATATAAGTTTAAGTAGTTATATTTTAACAGTGCACAATAACCCTGTACTAGGTTATTAATAATATACGTGAAATTGGTCGTAGTTTCGAGTATCATAAAATAGGGAATGGGACTTTTCGGCGCTGTTGTTTCGGTGATAGATACTTTCAGTGTTGCCGTTCCGACGATAAAGACAAAATACATTTTAGAATAAAAAAATGTATTTGTCATTTTTATCACATCCGTCGACTTATTTATAAATACGTTTGTCCGTGTAATTTAGTCTCATTTAAAAGACTAAGTTAGTTTAAGAAGGATTTTATACTAAATTTATAAAAATAGTTGTATATGTAGATAAAAAATAAAATATATCAGTATATAAATTATAACCGAGTATTTTAGGTAAAGATTTGTTATTTCTGATTTCTAAACACGTGTATTCTATCGATAAAACTCACAGATAATATAACTAATCTGAAAAGTTCTAAACTAAAAGTTTTAAAGTGTTGTGTCGTGCGGTGTACAGTAAAAATGGCATCGATTGAATCGAAACGTAATCGTGAAATTTTAAGACACAATGGTTATATATGAACATTTTTAATATATTATAATTTAAAATATAAATAATTGACTATAAGTTATGTATTATTTTATAATAAAAATAATTTTCATGCATGTATTTTGTTTTTATCGCCGAAACGGCAGCGCCGAAAAGTCCTAGACACCATGAAATGATACCATCCTATTAAATTTATTTTTACCACACCCACTCCCGAATAAAAAAAAGCTGTCATGGGATAATGGGGACGGGTGCAGCCACTGTTGTAAGTAGGAATTTGGGAAGGTAGAATATCGACGATAATTTAATGTATGTCTGTAAGCAACGATTAACTATTGCTAACGGAAAAACAATCTGACCGGAGTTCTATTTATAATGTTCCGTTGTAAACAATATATATGTATACGTCATATTTTGGTAAAATCATTACATATATGCTTTAAACATGTTCTTTAATAATATTTATTTAATATTGTACCTATTTTCCCGTTTTTTACCATGTTTTTCCCATTTATTCAACCTAACAAAATCAAAAAATGACCTCCCTAAAGTACCTATCTAGTACGATTTCCTTTCAGAAAAAGTACAATCATTTAAAATCGGAGGAAAATTACTGGTAAAAAAGATGTCCACAGAAAAAAAAAATAGTAAACATCACTATAAAACCATAAGTTTCTTGACTCCACTCAGAATCTTAAAATTATGCTTATGACAGTTTTGAACGTTACTAAATGATACCACCCCATAACGTATATACATACATTTCTACAGGGTGTCCCATGCAATGTTAATGTTACTAAATAATTTTATTAATATTATTTTTTTCATAATGAATTAATAATAATACGAAATATAGATAGTAGAATTATTTTCTAACTACTGCAGTAATGAATAATTGTTATAGTTCATTAATTATTATTATTATAATACAGTACCAATGATAGTTCATTCGTTTATACTTTTATTACCATTTAAATAAAGTCTAAAAACGTTCAAACAACGTCTAAAAAACGTGTGTGATTATTTTGAGGCCAGTTTCCGCAAATTTGAATATTTTTGGTGCTATACGAGAATTAGTATCACATATCGTACTTATATCTTATATATCTCAGGCAATAAAGTCTGACAAATTTAAACAACTTGCAAAGAATTGTCTGATTAAACAAACCAGAGAAGTCTGAAACAATGTTGTTGGAGATATTTGATGCAAGTACGTAATAATATGGTGGGTATATACATGTAGGCCCGTACTGGCGGTTGCAGTAACTACTTAAAAGGGCACCTAAATCAGTAACGTAATTATAGTGGGGTTTTTGGGATATCTACTTCCCATCCCCAGAAACACATAACTTCTATAATTTATCTGGCTTAGATAAAATAATATAATATACCTATATAATAACCATAAAAATATGACTGAGGGAAACAAAAAAATATTTCCTTTTTTTTTTGGAATTTAAGGTAAGATTTTATCCATTCTTCCGGTGGACCAGTACGGGACCGTAATATATATCGCACCAATTTCGCATATGTGTTATAGTAAATACCATGTTATAAAAATCAGAATCAAAATATTATAATTATACATCTGTAAACGATGATTTACTATAAAAGTATCTGGTATATAATATTTTTTCTTTTTTTTTTTTCGCGAGAAAAATACGTCATCTGTCTAAATTATCATCAGAATTCCGTAAAAATAAACATATAATAAATGCTATTTACTATAGTTATATCTGCTAAACATAAGCTGCATGCTTTAAATTACACCGAATAGTAATTGTTTCTTTTTCTTTTTCTAAATAAAATAACCGTATAATTTGTTCGTTTTTATGTGAAACCACAACCAAGTACTTATATTTACAAACGAAACATTGTATTATATATATATAATGAACATGTACGTGTTCTACAAAAAAAAGGCTAGAAATCCGTTTGCTGTTTGTCAATATAATATTAAAACTTATCGCCGCCACGATGATAAAAACAAGTGACATAAAACATGCCAGGAGGATGTGTGAAAATCGGTAGGTGAAATAAAACGTGCAATATTATAAAATGTACAAAACAAAGAAATAGATAAAAAAGAACAACAAAACGTTATTTCACAATATTCTGAAATGTATGTGTATATAATAAGAATTTAAAAGAGTACCGATACAATATATTTTGTTAATTATACATTGCAATGTAAACAAAAAGTTTAAATAGTTTAGTTTTTAATTTTCAATAAAACTAGTTTCGATTTTTAAATATAACAATATTATTGTTTTAGGATATAATATAAATACCTAGATTGTATGCATTTTAAATTTATTAATTCAGCTCTGATGAAATGTTCAAAATAGTGTAACGCGCGACGTATGCTCCTGGAAATTGTATAATTGAAAAATGATACCAGGAGTTCAAAAAGACTGCCCGAACTTCATCACTCCTACGATTATCTACTCGTGTACACATTATGGATTATATAAAATAGATTTTTAAACTATATTCTTGCATAATGTTTATGTGTAAAGTGTAAAAGATTAATAACAAATATATGTAAATCCCATAGGTTTATGTTAATTGTAGCATTTAGGAAATTGATAGCGTATAATATATTATTATTTATTATAAATTATAATACAACATGCTTAGTAAATCTATACAAAAATACGAAATAACCAAACCCCTAATCGAGTCACAGAGAGACTAGAAAAATACGAGTGTATCAACGTGGTTCTTCGCATTCAATGCAAAATCAATTGGAAAGATTACTAAAGTGGATACTACAAAATATATTATTTCTTTAAATATTTGGATACATAAGAAAATGTCTACAATAAATATAAGAACTAAATAAGGACTATTATACCTTTACAGAGTGATCAGAATTTTATGTTACAACAATTAATATTTTCTGTATTTTTATGAAAAAAATGTATTATACAACAATGTTTCAATTTATAATTATCTTAAATAATTTGTATATATATATATATATATTTTGTTTGGTGGGGGGATGTAGGGAGAGAGTAGTGGAACAATAATCTCTTGTGTGGTGGCATTGCACGACGTGAAGCGTTTGAATAGTGTACCACTCCTCACCCTGTCTAAACTAAAAAGTGGAATATCTCGACGAGGTGACGGAAATACAAAATTTCAACAACAAAATTTATTTAAACTAATACTGCATCCATTTATAAAATTATAAATGTAGGTTCCTTTTTGAATTTCAAAAGTTCATCCCCCAAACCCCTCCCAAAAAACCTAACGTAACCGTAAAAAAAAAATATATATAAATTCTGAGTTGCAAGATATCGGTGACAAAACGATGAAAATTAATTAGTAACTTTTTTGATTTAAATAAAAAGTAACTCGTTAAGTTACAAGTTACAAAAAAAACTAATATTTTTGAGTTGATACATTTTCATTTTTTCAAACATTTCGAGAAAATAACCTATACACGACCCCTTAGTCCTCTTAACCTTTTGAGAATAGGTCTACATGCATACATAAAAATGTAAGTGTAATTGTACGATTATATATTCCTCCCTCCCTCAAAAAAAAAAAAAAAATAATAATCATAATGATAGTAGTGAAAAAGTTTATATGTCACGCTACACACACATATTGAACACATCGATACACATTTTAGTTTCGTAGTCACCTATATAGAAAAAGATTCGCATTTCACGGTACCTTACGTTTATCATATCCCACGAATGAGATATTAGAATATTATAAATTGGTCAGAGACAATTACTCCCGGGACCGTTAAACTAACCGCAATGAAAATACTGATTCGCACTGATGATATTCAAATAAAATAATTGACGAAATCACGATTAAGGTCATATTATATTATATTACGTACACTAAAAAATAATACACGTGCACCGTGAAATTGTATGAAGATTAAACATAATATTAACGTCATATCTAAATACAAATTAAAGATGTTTATTACATATTTTGGTACATTATATCTGAAGAAATATTAAAACATAAATTGATTAATTATAATTAAAACCGGAATTATATACGCGTAAATACCCGTGCATTTTGCGCAACGTAAATGTATCTACAAAGTAAAAACTTCTTGAAAATATCGATATTTTTATACATCTATATGCGTCATAAAATGTGTATACCTACCAGTCACAAACACGAAAACCATTCTAGGTATAAAATCCATAAAACGAAATTTATTTGTATATATTTTTTTTTTTCAACAAACGATTATAAATCTAACTGTGAAACAACAATAACAACGTTGTATTGTGTTTCTTTTTTTTTTTTGCTTTTAGTGTAATAAAAATACATGCCTATAATACAAGTACAGTAAATATAAAATATTATTATTATAGATATTTGTTCATACTAATATGTGTTTTTCATAGTCTACAGTTTATCAAATAGTTTTTTTTTTTTTTAAAAAAATGTATATACCTTCATATTTACGAGTAGCTATAAATTAGATAATATTTTTTTACAATATAATATGTTTACCATAGATGATTTATTATTTTATTTTATTTTTTTTGTAAAACTGAGGACTCAAGATTGAACATTATAACAATAATTGTTAAGTAAATTATTTACTTATATATACAAATATAGGAGAAATAAAAGTGTGCCTACTCGTAAAATGGATTATAGAAAAAGGATTTTTATTTTATATTCTAGTACAAACGATTAAAAAACAAAATAAATCCTACAGGTAAATTTTGTCATGCATTCGCACGTGATTACCTATTAGGAATTGATTACGTATAGTATGTTGTTATTATTTATAATACTACCTACTTACTTAATGTATAAAAATGTACGAAAATGTTCAAAAAACAACAACAATTATTCGAAATCATTTAAGAAACGAATGGTACCGTGGAAAGACTCGAAAAATGTAAATACCGAGTTCCTCGCATTCGATGCAAATCAATTAAACTCGATTACTAAAGTGGGTATCATAAAATATATTATTTTATTGGACTTTCGGATATATAAAAAATATCTACAATAATTACATAAATTAAATTAACCGCTATTATAGCTGTATACTATAACAGGACTTTCGTGCACAATTCAAGTAGGTACACAATTCTACATAATCTAATCATAATTTTAAATTTAAAACGTACGTATTATTTTTCATCGTAAATTATAAGTCTAGAAAGGAACTTCTGTGTATCAATATTATAGTATTGTAATTTTAAACTAATAATTTAAGCACGTTGTTTTTAACTATGATTAAGTCACTTCAACAGTGTTATGATAATTGTAGGATTTTACAAAATGTCACGTTATTGAGATTGCTGCAATTAATTAACACCCGAGTGCCTGTCTCGTATATATTAGACTTTGAGCGTAACGAGGAATGTGTTGGTTCCACTATGATATGTCTATTTTTTTTTTATTTTTTTTAGGGTGTCTGTAAATAATTCTGTCTAGTCAATCCATTGAGGAAGTCATTTTTTGTTTCCCTCATAGATTTCTTAATAATTAATGAAAAACTGGACAATTTACACTATAATGATTTCTGTTATTTTTAATTTTGTTTATTGTAATTTAGTGAAAAATAATTATAATGACCTAAAATTTTCATAGAATACTTATATTATAAAAAAAAATAAGGATTATTCTCCATGAACACGAGCATACTCAGTGAGGCCCATCCTATATACAGAAATTGACATATATTTAATAACCGTGTTCACCCCATTTTTTTGGTTACATTTTGCATAAATTCTGATTTTTGGAAGTTTTAAGTGTAGTTAAAGCCGATGTTTTCGAATACTTAATTTTTGTTTAAGGAATATCCTGTGATGATACCAATAACTTTGATTTTCAAATTAGAATCAATATTACAAATTTCATAAATAGATGGAGTATTATATTAAATAAATGTTGGGTTTTTATTAGTGCTCCACTACTCTATCCCAACCTAAACTTAAAAGTAAAATATCTCATCAATGGGTTGATGGAAATTAAAAATGTTGACATCAAAATTTATTTAAAGTAATATTACATCTGTTTATGGAATCTTTAATGTAAGTTTTCATTTGAAAAACCAACGTCGGTATCGTCACTGGATACTCCTTAAATTTAGTGAAAAATCTAAGTATTCGAAAATATCGGCTCTCACTACACTTAAAAATTCCACAAATCAGAATTTGAATACATGAAAAATTTACCCATAAAAATGTGGTGGGTATACTTGTTGAATTATTCTGTATATATATATATATATATCTCCTATTCCTTACTAACTTTTAAAATACAGTGGCACACTTGTCAACAGTAGGTATCAACTGCTTTTTTTTAGATGAAACTTTCAAAAACCCTGCAGTTGTTTTCATAATATACATACTCATATTAATATTTCTTTTGTTCTAACATATGTTATGCTGAAAATTAAAATATCCCAAGTCAGCTATGGTGTAGTTTTTGTTTGGCAAAATATTCATGATGTCACACATACTATACGGTAACAAAATTTAGCTATTAAGTAATTATGTCATTTAATAATTTTCTACATTTAACTAGCTTGAATTGAAAACCATACAAATGCCCTTCTCCCTGGGTCCGAGATTCAATAATTGTTTCCTTAATTATACATAGGTACCAACGCATAATAACGTACAATAATATTATATTCAGACTTACCCACTGGAAAATGATATGGTACTTATATAAATAACCGTTCGGAGATGATTTTTTTAAAATTTAATACATAAATATATAATGAATTATTTACTCATACATACAACGACAGTAGTTAACATTAACCAACCGCGTATAAATAAAGGTACACAATATAACAAGTATCATATGCGACTAATGTAATCAAACTAAATACGTAAATGGCGTGTGGCTACTTCTATATATATTAATATAATACATCGTACCTACCAACCAACTCTATAGGTCAAAGGAAACATTAATCAAAATCATTCAACACCGGTTAAAAGACCTTTGTATTAAATAAATAATTTTTATTATTATACGGTTGATGAAAACATAATAATACAGATATAATGCATAATAATAATACTAATACTATAAACACACGTATGCATCGTAGTCGTAATTTCGCATCATTACAAATATTATAAATTAAATATTAATAATATACCTAATCGATACAACCAACATAATAATTATTATAATATATCAATGTGGTATAAGCGGAACCTATTGATTTTAGAATGCTATGATTTTTAGTTTTTCTAACTCGTGTTTTGCGTTTATTCAGATTAAGATTCTCAGTTATACAGTTATATTTACGTGTTGATTTCTGTTTATTATTCAGACACGGTAATAGTATTGTGTAGAAAAGAAGAGTTCGTTTTTCTATTGTTAAACATTCGTACAATAGTCAAGGTCTTGGGGATTTCAATTGACAAATAAAATACACAAGTACTACCGATTTGACCTTTATTCCCTGCTCGAGAAACGTTATCATTGACTCTGCGAATCGTTCAAAGCTATAAGGAAGTACGTATTTATATTGTATTTGTTACTGCAGTGCTGCAGTCAGTGTTGAACAATTATAATTTCAAAACGTATATTAAAATTAATACTATAGGTATTCCACAATATTTCACAAAATTATTTGCAAGTAAATATCAATAAAATTATGATTACGAAAACGTTTAACAAGAAATCAAATTATAATACAATTTCTAAACAGTAAAAAAAAGTTTGATTTTTAAATTTATATATTATTCGTTTTAAAGAAAGTGTATATTTTTTTGAATTTAAATTTTTTTAAAAAAAATATACATTAAAATAAAAATGTATATATATATATATATTAAAATGTTATATTGTAAGCGAAAGTACCTATACAAAGCCGTGTTCAATAGACTCTTAAAAAAGAGCTTGGCTTTTAAAAATTAATATCATACATGCTTGTGAGTTTTTGCCCGAGTAAACAATTCGTAAAACTTCAGAAATTTTTAGAATTTTGAACAATTCCGACGGGTAATCGAAACCCCCTAATAGCTTCTCGTAAATTATACGAGTATACTTATAGGAACTCATTACAGATATCAAATTAACGATAAAAAAATACCCTAATAAAATGATATAATATTACAGAAATTGCATTGTTTCGTTCTCTAAACAGTCTAAACCATAGGTTAATAATAAGTATTATATTTACAAGCTAATTAGTTTTCTAATCTGTAAATATCGGTACTTAAACTTTTATTTGCATACTTATATATTATATACAGGGATTTCACAGAGATTTGCATTAACTTTTGTTCTATTCAATATTTATAAGTTATTTTTTCGTGTAATAATTTATACTAGACCCTAGAACTATGATTTCTTTATATTATATATATATATATTTTTTTTAACTGAAGATAAAAATGAATTAACAAAATCCAAGATTTTATAAATATATTTTGAAACATAATGTGAGTGTTACAAATATTTACTCATGGTAAATCGTTGTTTCTACAATTTTTTGACAAATTTTACACAAATGATTAAAAAAATGTATTCCTTAATGAAAAATTAGCAAATCTATATTGATTATATTATTTAATAGTGACAATGAAAAGAATTTAAACTATCGGAAATTTAAACAAATTAGTAGAAAATTAATGATTAATGATTAGTAAATATGTTTAATTAACATTGTGTTAAGAAATATATTTATAAAAAGTCAATCTTGTATTTTTTTAAAATAGTTTTTTTTTTTTTAAATTTAAATTTGTCATTATTAGCTTTTAAAAAAAAAATTAAATAAGAAAAGGTAAAATGATAAGTATAATAGGTTTTATTAATTATTACAAGGAAAAAAACTTAAAAATATTGAATAGAATAAAAATAACTGTAATTGTCAGATCTTTGTAAAACACTTCATACAATATACATATTATATTATGATATAATAGGTACATAACTATTAAGTAAAAAGTGATTAAATAATTTAATTAATAAAAAGCCTACAATATTTATATTTTTTTTTACACTAATAAACTAATAATATTACGTTTCACAGGTTTAAAATGTTTATAACATAAAGATATCATTGACAAAAACAAAATGTTTTTAGCTGTTTTGCTAATATACTACCGAAGTCTAAACAAAGATTTTTATGTCAATATCGCAGTGACTTTTTTAAGTGATAGACGAATTTGATTAACAAATTTTCGGCCCAGAGCATTGCTAGAATTTGGGGGAAAGCACAGAGGAACGGAACTGTACTATTTGTATTTTTTTAGATTCTGAATGGAGTGAAGAAGCTTATGGTTTTACAAAGATGTTTTTTTTTTCTGTGTGCAACTTTTCTACAAGATTGGGTTCAGATTTATAATGATAGCACTTTTTCTGAAAGGTAATCTAACAGGGAAGGTACTTTAGGTAAGTCATTTTTCCATTTTCTCAACAGTTTTCCCGGAAAATGTGAAAAAACATAGAAAAGCAGGAAAAACTTAAGAAAAACGGAAAATCGGTAAAACATTAAACAAATATTATTAAAAAATATATATAATGCCAATTTAAATATTTTACTATAATATGACATATATATTTTTGACTAAGTATCACTATCAACTGAATTCCGCTCAGAATCATTTTTTCAAAAACAATGGTTTATCGTTGCTTATAGATATAAATTAAATTACCTATAGCATTGGCTGCACCAGTCTCATTATTCTAGGACAGCTTTTTTTATTGTTCCCTCACTAATTATTTTTATTGGAACGGAGGGACGGTAAGTCTTTTGTTGCAAATAATGATATTTTAAATAAGAAATATAAATATAATCAAAATTTTAAACATTTTTTTTTTTAGAATTTAATATTTTAATATTATTAATGGTAATATATTTAAAATAAATAAATATGAAAGCAAAAATGTAGCAGGAGTACCTGTAGTAAAATTAGTTGTGATTTTTTTGTTTTCGTTAGTTACTTATTGATGGACTGTGGTATGGGGGTCTAAAACTCTCACGGGCTAGGATGAAATCGAAAATTGGAGGGGTAATCCAATTCGTAGTCCAGAGAAGTGAAAGGGATGTTTAAAAGGTGGATTTCGAAGACGTGTCAATTTTGGGTTTGTACATATAATTGTGATGAGAGAAGATGAATAATTATTCCCGACTAACTAACTAATTAACAGTTCAGTTGAATTAAAATAGTTGTTTTGGCTGTCATAAAAATGTGGTTAACAATATGATCGCGAAATGCAAAATATAATGATGAATGGATATTATTATTATTATTATTATTTTTTTACTCAATAGACGATTTTAATGCATTTCTTAAAGTTTTTTTGATTTACAATAATTTTACATAGGTGTACGGTTTATTAGGCATGACGATAACATACTTGTTAAACTGGTTCGTTGTCGTTGATATTTGTAGGTATGTTGAATGATATTCGATTACACTCGTATTCGTGTTGACTTGAAGAGCTATTATGTCGAAGATGAACTACCGGCGTACAAGGCAAGAGTTAAACCGAAAAGGTAAGGTATATCAATAAAGAGAAAAAAGGTTATAGAAATTACCTATACTACGGTATACGGTGTAAGGGTATTCGGTCGTATAAAACAACTATGTCGGTTATAAGGTATACAAATTGAAGAAAAAAAAAACTGAAAATGTGTGGCTGCGACTATCTACGTTAGATATAAGCATTATCAACGTGTTACATAATATATGAATATTTCACATTAATTCAATAAAAATTAGAAAAAATATTTTTAAATAAAATCTTACGAATACCTATTGCCGGCCTAGTTCGTATTAATTGGTACTTCAAAAATATGATTTTGTGTAATTAAAATATAAATAATAATGCATCGTTTAAAAAAACAGAGTAGATATTATATACGTATAAAACATTTTATAATATTTACACGTATAAATATAAGTACACCAGACATAAAATAATATATAAAACTATATTACGGCTAAAACTTTTTTCTACACAATTTTTAATTATTAAAAATTCATTAAATACTATATTGATTTTAATTGATATCCATCAACTTTGTTTATAACTTTTTTTTATATAATATAAGAAATGTATTGGTATTTTCAATTCTGCATTAATATTAAAGTGTTTACTTTTGACATATTATATTTCAATTAAATTAAATAATACTTAAATAAAAAAATAAATTAAAAAAAAAATACTTTCTCAGTTATTCAAAAAAGCTAAAACTTTCCTTAATTAATTAATAAAAAAAATATCAATGCTTTTATATCCAATTGTATACAATAAAACGAATAAAATCAAGTAGTATTGTACTATATATGTTTTACGTGTACTTTCCTGTATTATATATTCTAAGTTCCAATTTTGATTTCAAAACACGCTAGACTCAAAAATAATAATTGATTCTTTCATCAAAATGCATGTGTACTGCCTAGCAAAACCAAGTATATAAGTGATATTAATATACCTATTTATTTATAATAATTAGGGTAAGATTTGTGCACCGAGCAAATTAGTTTTGATTGAATTTAAAAAGTAGAATTATTTATACATTTCTTTTAATGTATAATGTAATCAAAATTCAATTTAGTTAAAAATATGAAAGTGAATAGCTGTATGTCATAATATTATCCGTAAACAATTTCTAAAGACAACAAATTTCTTTAAAAGTTACAATGTGATTTGGGTAAAAAAAGGCTTCTTACAGAATCAAATTCTATGGAAATTTACATCGTTATTAAAGGCATGAGCATCGGATGTGATTTTTCAAACTTTTTAGAGATAGAAGAAGTATACAGACGAATTTTTAGTTATTCCAGTATTGTGTGCTATAAGCTAAAAGTCGTTTTCAACGAAGAAAATAAAAACCTACTACAGATCAACCATGGCCGGAAAATGTTTATATAATAACCTTGCTCTGCAAGGATTTATCAATCGAAAAAGAAAAAAGTAAAGAGTTAATAACAAATATAAGCGAAATTTGAAATGAATTAGCATACGTTAAGTCAAGAAGATTCAATTTTTAATTATAACTAGGTATCTCAATATTAATACCTATCTAAAATAAACATGGTTCTGTATTTTGTTCAAATTCTATAGTGTTGTCTAAATTAATTATTGGGGTTGAATTCGTGGGCTCACCTAACTAATTATCCCTGGATCCGCGCCTAATAAACAGGGTCCATATTAATATAAGAACTCTGCGTCCTTCATATAATGCCCATAGGTTACTATCCAAAAGAAAGCGCTAATAACTGGGGACATAATTGAACTTAAACACGGGTTTCTATAATAATGTTGTTATCTTTGTGATTAAACTTATCTCTCTCTTTCCCACACACCATTTGCCCACGAGAGGGAAAAGTCCTTCTTTGTTACATCAGTTAATTTCTTCAAATAGGTCTTTGATATTATTATCAATTATGAAACAAAAGTTTATGACCGAAAAACATCGAGAACAGAAATCGATTTTTTATCGATATAGTTTTTCTGTGCTATAAAACATGAAATTTCTTGACGTCAATTATGTAACAATAAATAAATATATGATAAAACGAAAAATAAAACAATAATGTTCAAATACGGCACGAACAAAATTTTTATATAGGTACCTATACATCTATTGTTTTTTTTTTTTTTTTTTAGAAATAGGTACCGGTACCCACAAACGGAAATCGTTTAATACAATAATATTATTCTGTCTCACCTCTCACCTTTGTCTCATCTTTGTTATTATAATACTCAACATAAATAAAACTATTATTTGTTAATGAAACTTGACATTGATAGATTATAATAACAACATGATTATTGTTTAGGTAGGTATACCTAACCTACCTAGCTAAATACTTTTTAAGTACGTTTTCTACTGCTACATTACTACAAGCGTGGTACCAAGTTTATGTAGCGCGTTGATAATATTAATTTTAAACACCATAATAACAAAGTGCTGTCTATCATCATGTGTGCCACAATAGTTACTATTCCAGGTATTTAACACTGTAAACACGTACAAAACAATAACCGAATATAGGTATGTGTTCAAAATATTTGTTTAATTATGTCAAATATTACGAAAAAAAAAACCGTTCGACATAATTCAAGTTAGTCATATACCTATGATGTATACGTTTGAAGAAAATATAACACATGGGCGAGACTTTTGTACCAGCGAGTATTATTACTTCCTTTTGATTTTAGAATATCATGTTTGTAAAACAAAACGATTGGTTTCGCGTGATTAAAATATCAAAGTCCACGGAGTATAAAGAATACGATGGATAATTTATTATATAATAATTACATTTACACGGTTTTAATAATAATAAAAAATAAATCTATTGTAATACAAAGCTTACTGAGCTAACAGTATAATATTATAAAGTTACAAAAACGAGCGCCTACCTATAACTTTACATAGTTGTTTTTTCGGTTGATTTAACGAGTTAAATATTTTATCGTTCTAGGTTAGGTAAATTAATTAAAATAATTAAACGCCATGATTAAATGTTTTATATTATGCGAATATCTTACATTTTCAATTAATATAATATTATTGATAATGTTATAAAAAAATTAAGAAGTTATTAATAGTATGTTTAAAATATTTACACTATAAACAAAATATTACCTAAATAGTATTATTATTATTATTATTGGGAAAAAGTAACTTATCTAACCACGTATAATAACTTGACTAATAGCTGAATAATTTTTTATAATATGCAAAATAAACACACACAAACATTTTTGGTTTAAAATAAAAAAACGTTTTGTATTTTTGTGTAAGAAATTAACGTTTCGTCTTTATATACGTCTTCACGTACCTTATGATTCTATGGCTATTATACTCTATAATTTTTTTTCCTGTACGATTTTACAACAGGAATAATAGTCCAATAAATAATAATATTATGATGTTATTATTATCGTTAAAAATTAAAATATAAAACGCGTGATCGAGATTTCTCGCAAATAAGTAAATTTTACCGCCGCCGCCTTCGGGTAAATATAAATATAATATATAGTTTACACTTTTACAGTTGCCGATCGTAGAGACAGCGGGTCGGAGCCAAATTAAAAAATTTTTTTTAAAAAGAAATCAATATACGTATACATTATCGCACATGAGAAGCCAGATGATAAAGTATACCGATTGTACAGTTTTTTTTTTTTACTATATGCGTTTCATTCACTTATTAAGACGCAATATTTAATTAAATGACGCACCATTTTAGTATTATACACGCCCACTGTAATATGTATAATAATATCGTGTCCACCGTAAAATAGCAATATTATTTTGAAACACGATACGCGATTGACTGTGCAAAGGTATCAAAATAAAAACCGAAACGTAAACAGTCCGATAACTTATATTTTACAGTTGTAAAATCAACAGGTGTTTTTAACACAATTATGAATTAACTATACCACTTGTAACCGCATCATGCGGTGGAATATGAATACACATTTCATGATAACAATTAATAGTACAAGTATAATATGTAAATAGACACGAAAATTCAAATTGTTTCTTGGCCAAAAACCAAAAAGAAAGTAAACTCGTCAAAATTGTCAGAGACGAACGATAAAATTTACTAACGGTTCGCTTTCTATAAAATGCGAAATTTCCCGAACGGAAAACATATTTTTTTTTTCTTGAAGTATCCAACGATATTAATTTAACGCGTGTTAAGTACATTTTCGCCAAATAACCAGTCTAGAGTACGTTACTTATCATAAGTAATATAATTACAATTACCTTACCAAAATGCATAATGACATTACACTTTTATTTGCACAAATGAGTACATAAGTGTAGTTAAGTAGATATGTTACTTTAATTCTGAAATCCGAAGGTAATGCATTACTATTTAAATTACTTTTTTTTGCGACTATCTCTTATTTAAGAAAACATATTTTATTTTAAATTAATTTCTAAACACGCTGAAGTACCCGATCCGGTAAAATTAATCTTTATTTCATTCTAACAGGGATGGTCAAACAACGTTAAAACGTCCAACATCATCCCCCATGCAAAAATTATAATATAGTAATGTAAGTAGGTATAAGGTAAACTTTCAACCGATATGATACTTGTTTCTTGAAAACAAACGATTCGTAATTTTTAAAGTTATGTCGTTATTCATAACAAAAAAAAATCAAATGTAATTAAATTACGTAATTGCGTTAAGTATAGTAAAATAACGAAATAACTAAATTACTACTGTAAACTGCGTAAACTACTGCCAGTGGCAAATCTGATTGATCTAAAACTCATTTAAGGGGAGTGAACTGGAATCATATAATATAGTTAATAAAAACAAATTACATGGAAAGTGGGTTTAAAATTTGTTTAATAAAAGTGCATACCTATGTATGCTTATATACATTTATATTTTTCCCGTTCAAACGTACACCTTAGTTATGGCTTTTGGTAACAATTAAAAAAAAAAAAATTCAAGGGAGAACGATTACCCGTCTCAAATTTTTCTTTCTAAGGGCTAAGATCGTACATAACTTAAAAGTGGATTGTATACCGATATTTGTGTTCTTTATCTAACATTCTAACATTATATACTACTACTAGAAAACAAACACCGGCAAGAGTACTAATAACCATTATAATCAATTATTTTTGAGAACGATACATACTGGAAATAACCGTATAATAACCAATAGGTAAAACAAAAAAATGTCTGGTAGGGCGTGCCCCGATTCCTCTCTCATGACTTCAGTACTGGCATACAAGTAACATAACGATTTAGATAGATTTTTCCTTCAATCAGTCCGAACAAGATATATTGTGAAGTACTGAAAAAATGCAAATTCAGAAAACGGATTTGAATTCGGTGCGAAGTGTAAACTCGAAAAAGGTAAGATCATCACAATGTTCAATTTATAAACCAGATCTTATCTTTTTAAGATCATGAAACGGGTCAAGGGAATACAATATTATATCATATTAAAAATTTCACTTTGATCAAAGTGCCGAGTACAGGCAGTAAATGATATTGACCTATAAGTAGCACATAAATAAGGTACAATTTGGTTGCCGATTTTATGCCAAAGTCATTGATAGTCGTTTATATAGTATTCAATCTAATTATTATTATTATTTAATAGATAAAATACAAAAACAATATATATGCACGATAGAAACGATTGATTGATATTAAATTGATAATATTTAGCTAGCGTGCAAACCTAATGATTTGTAATTATATAAATTATTGTTATGTTCACGTATTATAGAATAATTTATCATTTCGTTAGTGCGTGGTGACTTCGAACATTATTATCAATAACATTGATTTCTCAATCAAACTTTGAATCACACCGCCGCGCGTTATCTGATAGTTTGAAATATATTACATCTATAAATAATTGTGAACTTATGTACCTCAAAAGGTATTCCTTTAGTTATGTAAAAGGAAAAAAATTGACCCGGATAAATTAATTTTTTTAAATTATACGATATATTTTATTTACCATCATGAATTTTAAATTTGAGAGAAGCGAGGAATGTATATTGGTTTTACGGTGATTTTAATTTTTTTTTTTTTTAATATACACACAACTTCTCTGACAAATATTTTGCCCCTACATATCAAGTGTAGTTCCCTTTCTGAATGGAAATTTTATATGGACGGTACTTTAGGTTGGTCATCTTTTGATTTTCCAAACTGTTATCATAATGATTGGGAAAAACCGGGAAGAAATGTATAAAAACGGGAAAATATAAGAAATATATTATTTTCATTTTTGTTTTTTGTTGTGTTTCAATTAATCAAGTATTCGTAGACTTGATATTTAGACAGCAAATTAAATTTGTCTTTTCTAGACGTGTTAAATTTTCCAAATATTTTAGCCATTTTAATCTATTTATAGATATTTTAATTTTGCGAAAATTTTACGTTATTTTTTTTCAAGATAGGCACTTTATGGATAAAATTATTAGACCAAACAGAAATTCTTGAATATTTAACAGAGTTTCATATTAAAAATCGTACTTTATAGTAAAAAAAAACAAAAAAATTAATGCAAGGTAGAATTTTTTTTATAAGAATTTTAATAAAAATTTTTAACGAAAATCGTAAATATTACTGCCTTTTAAACACGTGTCACAGAAATCTAATTAGATCGTTTTTCGTTAGCAAAGAATAATTTCTGTGTATAGATATACATTAAATTCCCCTCTAAATCCTACCTTCCCAATAACTCACAACAGTGGCCTACCCATCATGCAAAATATGTTCGTCTTTTAGTCTGACAGAAACTTAACTACCAGAAAATTTGCTTAAATCAAAAATTACCAAGAGACCTTTTTTGTTGTACTTTGGATTTTTTTATTAATCAGTCAGTTTTTTTAATGATTAGGAAAAACTGAGAAAAAACAAATTTACGGTGTTATAATTTTATTATATTTTAAATTTGTGCAGTTTATGTTTTCTACCCGAAATATTGGTCCATTCGAAAAACGACAAATGATCGTAAACAGCTAAAATTTTAACAAAAAAAAATATAAGCTTTTTCTAGAGGTGATTTTTAAGCTATTTATAGACATGTTATATGTGTACGTTATAGATTCGGAGCGTAGCAGAGTGATCTATTGGTTTTACTATGACGTGTGTGTTTTTATTTTTATTTTTTGTATCTATGAACAACTTTTTTACCAAAAAACTGGTTCCAGAGTATATTAAAAAACTTCAAGAGATTTTTTTTGTTGAATTTTTAATCTAATCGGTAAACAAAAAAGCATTTTTTTGATTTTCTTTGTAGTTTTTAATAATTTAGCAAAACCGAAAAATTGTGCAGAAAGTACGGGAAAATGTACAAAAATAATTCTATTATTATTTTCAATCGTTTTTTATATTTAATTTAGTTTAAAATATTCGTAAAGACTTGAAATGTTGATAGAAAATTTATATTTACTTTTTCTAGACGTGGTAACATTTTAAAACATATGGTCCATTTTTAAGCTAATTATAGATATTTAAATGTTGCGAGTCTTTAACGTAATTTTTATTTGGTAGGTGCTCTGTGAATAAAATTGTTAAACTAAACAGAAATGCTTAAAACTTTAACAGACGATTCCTTAAATTTCGTACTTTAAGGTCGAAAAAACAAAAACGTTGAGCTTTTTATTGCATTTTTTTTTTTTTTAAAAATGAATTTTAATATCAAATTTTGACGAAAATCGTACGAGTAAAAAATTATGTGGAACAAATCTAGTTCCATGTGAATTTTTCAATTTTTTTTGTTCCGATCATATATATACCTATTGCCGATTCAAGAACGATGATGAAGTCAGAATTGAACGGACTGACTTAGTTTCGTAATCCTAGCTTTTTGAAGTTTTAATCTTATGCGAATATTATATGTGTTATGTTAAATAACTCAATATTGTCAATTTCATCGTATGTAATATGTATGTCGTAATCTATAGTGGTGGTATGTACCTGTTGTCAGCCCAGGGAATTTATTAGAATATTTAGCAAACAAATAATATCCAATATGTTAATTTTTAATTACTTTTATTAATATTATTTCGGTAAGTTTTTTTTTTTTTTTAATTAATTGAAAACCGTTTTATTTACCGGATTCTTTTTGGTTAAACTCATGTTTCTTTAATATAGTATCAAGGAAACTGTATAGCTTCACGTTTCATTATGCATACGTTGCATTCATCGAATATTTTTTTGGTAAAAACAATATCACAGATAATGACTAATACTACATAATATCTTCATTTATCAAAAAAAAAAAAAAAAACCGATAGTATAAAAAAATTATTCTCGAAGTAGTATTTGAAATGAAATGCATATTTTTTTATATACAAGGTGTCTATGGACACCGTAATCTATGAAGTTTTTTCTCCGATATTTCTTTAATATTTTATTCTATTTTTAATTTTTTTAATTTTTTAATCTGGTTATACAGTCTATCAGTCATTCAGAAAAAAATTTAAATTTTATTTTTACGCCCTAATCACTAAGAAAAAAAAAAAAATAACTTCACTATTCAAAAAGTTCAAAACAGCCATTTTATAAAATAAATTCTAAAACTTTCAACTTTCATACATTCATATCCAATCAATAGTTCCTTAAAAAAATTAATAAACGTTTTAATTTCTAAAATTTTCAATTTCGAAGAAAATAAATCATTTGTATAAGGTAAATAATAAAACGAAACCAGCTTACTGTAAAAATAGATATCAGTTGACGTTATTAAAATTGTGTTTCCTATCGAGTAATATGATGGTTTATTAAATATAATTTTTCACATCCCATCTTTAGAGCAATTATTACTGAGAAACTAATCATCCATCGGATTTATGTATTATATGTTAGATTAAAATTGTTGAAAATAATTTATATTATAAATCGGCTATATTGAAAATTTCGAAAAGTGAACAAACTTAGTGATTTTTTTCTAGTGATTAAAGGATGGTAGAAAAAATATACTTTTTTATAATTTATGAAAAGAAGAAATATACGAAAGAAAATTAAATATTAACAGAGCTATAAAAGCTGTAGAACACAATAGGAAACCCACTACCCTATAAATCATAATTTGTAAAAAATTATATTTACAATAATAATTGCAATACTATATTTTGATACACAATATATTTCCGTAATATATCCGTAAAGAAAATTTTTTTATTCTGATCCTTATGGTAAAAATTGTTTTTTTTGTTTGATATTTTTAAGAAGGAAAAAATATTGAGCTTTTTTCCAATAGTAAAACATGAAGGAACTAAGGAAGTACAAAATGTTTACTTTTGAAAAATAATACCTTTTAAAAAGCTACATCTTCGTTAAAATATGAACTTAAAATGCTTATAAAAAATACTATAACATTACGTTCAAATTTATACCACCAATACAACTTATGATTAACCTCGTGTAATATTTACAAGCATTTCTACTCGGTCAAAATGATTTTATCCACATTATACCGAATAAAAACTAGAAAATGTCAAATGTCTATAAATAGCTTAAAGATCTTCAGAATATTTTGACTATTTTATCGCGTAATAAAAACTATATAAGTATTCAATGAAAATTTTAAGTCCTTACAATTATTTTTAACGAAATTACAAAAAAAAATAAACGAAAATATTGAATCGCCATAAAATTTTCCGATTTTCTTATGTTTTTCTCAATTATAAAAAAAAAAATTAAAACATGCACAAACTAGATAAAATTTGGTTTCAGAGAAGATGCTACATTTAAAAATCGAAGTAAGATTTCCGATCGGACAGAAACGGGTCCTCGACGAGCAGAGCGCGACATCGTCATCAACGCGTGGTCCAACAGGTGGAATCGTATGATCAAGGCGTCTTGGAAACGCCGAGTTCTCCTGTTCCTGACAAGATGGATTCTGAGACGCCCTAAGGACCTCTCATTCCAAGTCACGCAGGCCTTAACGGGTCACGGGTGTTTCAGGCACTACCTCTGCCGGATGGGATGAGCCCCAGACGTGGAGTGCCGACACCCAGAAGACACCGTTGAGCACACGCTTTTCGCATGCCCTCACTGGAAACTCTACCGGCAAGACGTCAGAGCATATGTTGGCGAAAGAAACATAACTCCCAGCGATGTTTAAAATCTGCTCTGCGGCCAGGAAGTACATCCCATCCCGGGATTCTGAGCGGGCTACATACAATTAAATCGAGGCAGCCTCCTTTTGGGGCTCACAGTCCTACCGCATGGTAAAGGACATACTGAGCCGAAAGGAGCAAGACCAAGAGGTTAAGGGATGCTGAGGTAAGAGCCAACCAGATGCCATAGAAACAGCCGCCTCATCAGTCTTAGACACTAAAGTCTACACGCAACAAGACCCAGCCACCGGCTCAAGGTCATGTACAGGTTAGGTTAAGCTAACACACTGTTAGGAGATAACGCGGTCCTGCCGCTCACCTCTCGCTGTAGTTTAATTAACTATGCAGTTAATAATGTGAGCCTACCCCACGAAGAGGAAAACAAGATTTTATAAAACATTTACTTAACTATACTTACTAATAAACGATGGCAATAATGGGGTAACAATGTGAAAAACTGATCTCCCAGTGCTGTCGGTTAATTGGAAAAAAAAAAATAAAGTAAGATTTCTGATAGAAAAGGTGTTAATATATAGAAAATACCTATACGGTGATAAATTGGTATTCAATCATATTATACTCAAAAATGATTAAAATGTACTTAGGTTTTGACTAGTATTTAATTTCCTGGACGAGCAAAAAATACAATATTTTCAATTCAAAAACAAAGTTTTTTTAATATTAAATAGCATTAAAAATTCTTTATGACCTTGGAATATTGTCTAAGTAGATAGGTAAGAAGGTTTAGATACTTAATGCTGAAAACATTACGATAAAAAATTATGAATCGAAATGACGCCGGGAAAAACCGAAACAACACTATAACGATGTTATCTTTATTGGCGGATACCGGGACATGGGGTCATTATAATGAAAATAAACAATGATAATTATAATATAATATTATTATGGTTCTAAAGATAATAAAATAATGATACTAGAGAAAACATTCTGGTAAAATTATTTGTTACCAACGAGCGTATATGATTTGCGCATCACTGTTGTTCTTTTCGACCTTTTTCATGAGACATTTGCACACCGTTAATTTGTTGGGTATGTCATACGTTATTTGCATATCAAAATTGTTAACAATAGAAGGGCTGAAGAGGATGACGAGTACCCAAAATCGAAATTTGTTTTCTGACTTTTAACTTAATATCCAATATTAATAATTTCTTAATTTATCGATTGTAAAGAAAATTTTTTTTTTAAATAAGGATATTACTTATAGAAAGAATTTCTTATTAAAAAATATGAGTTGTATCAACGACTGTCGGTGTGCAAACAATAGGTACGCTGCCATTGATGCGCAAATGATGTACGAATTTTTGAGGCGGGTAAACAAACGATGCTCATATCGCATATGATAATCGCCAGTTACAAACATAGGACAACTTTGTACAGTTTTAAATATACGCTAATTAAATTTTGAGATTCGTTAAATACCACAACTATTGCTAAACGGCTAAATTGCTACGTAATAAATATGATGGCTTATGCTTTTTTTTGACAAGGCAAAAAGTACATCGTAGCGACTTGATTTTCAGTAAAAACATTTAAAATATTATTTTACAAGAATGTACCTAGGTACGTTTATATTGGCCATTTTACTTAGACCAAAAAGTAAAAGGGAAAAAATTATATAAGAGAAATTTATCAGAAAAAAAAATAAATGCCAAAAATAAACTTTAAATTTAAACCCATTTTCCCTGGCACCGAAGATATATCGATGGGAGTTTTGGCGGGAAACCCCCGTTCGGTAAAACGAAAAAACCTGCAGTTCACGGTGCACGTGGTACCTCGTAAACACTAAACAATAACGTTATTACTATTGTAAAAACTCAATCCGTCAACACGACTATGGGATACCGTCGGCTGCGATTTACGAAAGGTCGCGTTGTTGCAGATACCTATGACGATAGCGTGTCAGTGGACGCGGAAGAATACTCATTGAATATTATTATCGTGCAGACTTAACCTTGGGGACCTCATAATATTACTAAATCGATATACCCGAGGTGAATTCACTCCGAACATTTAAATTATACCGTAACGTAAACACGGTTACGGTTACCTGTACGCGGAGGTAAAGGTCGAATATTGATAGAAAAAAAAGAAAAAAGTAGTCGGTATGCTGTATAAGGGACGAAAAATTATACTACGAGGGTCGTCCAGGCAAACATTGCCAAGAGGCTATGACGTGCTATGACTATAATGCGCATGTTGTACCGGAATCATACCATACTATGCTTACGTAACATTATCGCTACCAGCGTATTACACTAACCTAACCTAACCACCTAACCCGTAATCTAAGCCGGTCCACTCACCTGCAGGGTGTCTTGGTCGATCCAAGTGTACCGTTCGTTCCCGTCGGCCGTAACCAGTCCCGTGATCATGTGAAACGGTCGCTATATTTCTCTTTCTCTCTCTTTCTCTCTATCCGGAGCGAATGGTCTCTCCGATCGTCGAAGTCGTCGTAGTCGTCGTCGTCGTCGGGCTCCGTCAGTAACGGGCGACGCGCTATAGGTAAACTATAGATACACAAAGTGCAGTGGTTATAACGATGATAACAATTATAATAATAATAACAATAATGGTGAGATTTATAATATTTTTTTTTTTCACATCGTCTGTCGAAGATAATATTACTAAATTAATAATTGTTATTATTAATTCACAGCACTGCGAGCGTAACGTAGAAAAAAAATTTACCGCGTCGTCGACTGCGGACAGATAAATAATACAGACTCGGTGCTCGGGCGCGGATTATAAATATGGGTAAAGGTATAAATATTGATATTTACTATTATACCAATTATATTATAGTAAACAGTGACGGCGACAGCGTATTGTACCTGCTGCGTGCCAGTCGAAAAACGTGTTTTCGACACGATTGACGATGATAACAACAGCAATAATAGCAACGCTGTTCAGTTAATGTATTGCAAATAATAACGCATAAAATTGTAACACACACACACACACACACACAGTTTACAATAATGATATATATGTAATGGTAATTGTTTCGTTAATTTGTTAAATAATATTATCGTGTGACGCGGCGAGCGCGCGCGTTGTCGTCGTCGGCGAGTGGCACGCGGGTTCTGATTTCCAGCGGTGGCACGCGTACGCTTTTTATAAGTAAATAATACGTACTACTACCGGCGCGGTGGCGGCCCCCGGAGTCACGGCGCGCGCGGCCGCCGGCGAAGTCTAGTCCGCCGCCGAATCACATGGACGGCGGCGGCGGCGACGGTCGATATTCCGCCGGCTCAGCGACGAGGGTCGGCGGGCGGACAAGGGAGCGTGCCGTGTGGGGGGGGGTGAGGTGGCGGTGGTGGGAAAGGAAGAATCCTCGGGATTATACGACGACCGGCGACGGCGACGACGACGGCGACGATGACGCGCGAGGCGAGTTGTCCGTGAGAAATGCTCTACTGGCTCGGAGAAAAACGCGCGCGCGGACGACGCGACGGCCGAATTTCGTGTTTTACCGCGCGCGCGCCATTCGACCACGATTTTACTACGGAGATCACTCTGGGGAAAACGCGGCGACGACGTGGACGACGACTACTACGGGCCCGCTGCACCGCCGCCGGGACGTTATAAATAAAAACAAATAAAACGCACGGTGCAGCGGAATCGTTCTAATAACGTTATACGGAATGCTCGCGCGCGTTCGCGATACGACGATCATAATATTATTATTGTTATTTACCAGTGTCGTCCGCGTCCGTACGCTCGGCGTGTCGTAGGTAAGCACACCTATAATACAGCCCCCCTGTATACGATATTTCGCGCGATCGTATTTTTTTTAGTCCTCTTCTTGAAACGCGCGCGGCGTATTTGGACCGCGGCCAATTGCACCACGGACAGTGTGTTATATACCTACCTAGTAAATAGTGTACGTACCTGCAATAGCAACAACACCATAACTATTATTATTATTATTATTATTATTATTATTATTATTATTATTATTATTATTATTATTATTATTAATATTTCGTATCGGTTTGTTGTTTCAATAATAACGCGCAAGCATAACTTGTAAAGCTCGTTGAACTCACGTCGTCGTTGTAATAACAATAAAAAAGTAAATATTATTATAATATCTTTTTATCGGTACGTTCGTAAATGCGGATGCCAGATTGCATGTGTATGACGCGCGTTCGCGTCATACTATTCATCCCGTGGGGTTTTTTTTTTCCATCGCCGTTTTCCGTTTTGAGCAAAAAAAAAAAAAAACGCCGAAAAAAAACAAAAACATAACACCACACGTCAGCGTTATATTTCGAAAATCATCCCAGCGTCTTTACGCGGCCGTTTCCGCGTCGCGTACCTAATATCATTACGCAGCGTCGATTTCGACATTGCCTTTCGTACAATATTTACAAAATCGCATTTCATCCGAGCGGTGTAGGTATTCACGTACAGTTTCTCGTATAGCGGCATCGCTTTCGTATGGTAAATAATAATTAAAAATATTAAAAAAAAAAGAGACGTCTCATAGCGATGTCCCGTATCTTTGTTACGAATACAAAACAATATTCTATCGGTACACACAATATAATAACACGAAACGTTCCGTCGTATGTGCAGCAGTATAACGTATAACGTAATATAGTAGAATTACTTATTCTATTGGAATATTGTCTAAGAACATTTCGATTTGATTTTAGTATGTTAACCTATTACAGTATTTTACGGCTCTAGGCCCTAGGGTATTACATATCGCGGTAATAACAGTGTGCATTTTGAAACCTTCGATATACTGTGTACTTACAAGAGAAATACTAACCCGACTAACCCGGTGTAATCGGTTACCGAGTGAACTACTCGAATGGCGGGTAGGCCATGTCTAGAGACGAAACCTTGACAAGGAAGACTAAATAAATGGGAGAAGACCCAGGGGTCGTCCTAGACAGCGTCGGGAAGATAGAATCAGAGATGGTTTAAACAAATGTACCCGGACGGAGTACGACAATAGAAGATGGATAGACGGACGGATGAGTGCATAATTGAAGGAGCGAGGAAACTTCGAGATCTGTGAAAGCTCCAAAAAGAAGAACATATGTTTAACAATCACGATCATTTTTTGAGAACAGGAGTTATTGGTAAGCGAATTCGGGTGATACGAAATAATATACAGAATACAAAAGGCGGTTCGAAGTTACTGTTGCAAAATATAGTAACTCTATGTCTTAAAACATAAAAGTATACATATAATATTATGTTTGATAAACAGAATTGCTATATCCGTGATCCAGTACTTATCTATAAAACGATGTAAGATTATGTACGACATTTTTATCTGTGACGTACACAAGCGTATAATACAAACGGGCGCCCGGACGCTCAAGCACTCCCCTAAAAGCTGGGATTAAATCTTGATAAAAATAAAATAACCATTTTCTTCGAAAAATAAACAAACTAATTCGTTGAGGTTCACAAATTAAGTATTTTCAACAATAGAACTAATATATTATGATGCTTTAAATGGAGGATTTTTCAAATTTTGGGTACCAGATAAGTATCACAGCACATAAATATATGCAGATATACCTATACTAAATCGATGATGATTATTGCCTGCGCGCTATTTTTCTTAATAGAGGCGTTTAGCCTGTAGAGCACCCGATGATTTTTTTGAAAACTTGGCACTTATATACTGACGTATACAAAAAATACTAAACAGTGACAGCTATCGTGTATAATATGTAGGTACCTACCTATCTATAATATAATAGCCGAAGTGTTGATTCACACAACAAAGCGACGACGTCTACTCGGAGTACCTATGTAACAATATAATGGACTTCGTGACGGACAGCATGTGACATGGAGTGTGCATCAGAGGAGAATGGTGTTAGTAGCCATGTATTATATTTGATTAGAGAGTTTTTAAAAATATAAAAGTGTTTAATATCCTAGGTATAATATTATTATTTAATAAAATACAAATAAAAATAAAACCGCGTTACCTTGTATATTATGGTATAAGAGTGCGGTTGCATGATGTTGTGTACAGCATTACTCTTGGTTCTTCGGAGAGCCATCGCCGATTTCTATTCATATTATTATGTACTTGCTATATAAATACTGTAATCGGGGAAAAAATATACAGGTACATAATATTATATTATACGCGTTCTGTAAATAAAAACCAAAACAGAATCGGATTATATTTTTGTATATTCTGCAGCGACGAAATGACGACGGTATATTAAAGCCTAAGTTTTCGACAAGAGAGGAATCGATAAATATTCTGCAGGGTCTATAATAATAATAGACTATCAATCAAATATGTTTTTTTTTTTATATTTTTTATGTATATATATGTGTGTTCGACGTTTATTTATAATATATTATTTTATACAAACCCGTGTACCAATGGCAAATCGTATACAGGCATACAGCCGAACAACTTCCTGACGCTAATCGTGGTTATATGTACAAACACAATAAAAAATTATCACAATCATAATTATTAATATTGTGGCAATTCAAATTTCAAAACGACTCGATACCATTATTTATTAGAAACAAATTAATATTGTAATCAAACACGTACATCTTCAAACATCCAGTAGTGAGGGACGATGTATTATTTTGTATTGTATTTTTCAAAAAATATTCGCCTTTTTGTTAAATTGTTAACATTATGGGCGTATAGCATTATATATAGGTACGTTGGTACGAAAAAACCACGGGGGACATGTCCCTCCTAACCCCACCTCATGAATATAATAACTGCATTTGAACTCTAGTCAACAGCATATTGTTATCATCTACATTACTAGACAAGATAGTTTAAATTGTTCATATATCGATATCCAATCTGCAGTTCATAAGTTATAGGCGACAAAATTAAACTTTCACGAGGCGAATGACAAAATATAATTATTGTTTTCAATAATGGAATTTGCGTGCAACAAAAAACCTAAACCAGTTTATTTTGTTTGAAATTTGTTCGATTAATAAAATAATAATATAATGTTCAATTAATTCATATTATTCATTAGGTATACAAAGTTATTGCAATTCTGTGTCCGTAGTACGGATATATAGGTACTTATTTTATACTTCATTACTTCCGGTCTATAATATAGTTTCAATAAACATACTATTATTATCATCTATATTATACTTATATAATATTCCTGACGAGTAACGACTACGCGTTTATAAAATATATACAATGATTCGAACGAAAAAATTAATAAAAACAAGGAGAAGGACAAATAGTACAAATATTGTATACATTATGTATCATTATATTCAATACATAATATGCAATACAAAATGTCAAATAAACTTGGGCGTAAATAATCCAAATATGTTGTGGTGGGACTACGTTCCACATAATATTGATTGCGTACTTATGGTTTATACTTACTTTATGCAAAATTGATTAGAAAAAGCTTGGATTTTTAAGGAGCTAAACCCCACAAGCCTTTCGAGTTTACGAAAAATAGGATGAGAGAGATTTGATATAAATAAGCACAAAATAATGTACCTTAAGTACTAATGAGAATTTCAATAAACCCCTACGTTGAAAAAAAAAAAATCACTACACCGACAATCTGAAAAATACAGAGTACAAGTGGATACATTCATTATTTTAAAAAGTATTAACTTTTTTCGAAATTTATTTCATAGACCATTTAAGAAACAAGCAGCTCTACAATTGTACATAATATATATTTTATTTATATAATTATATTTTGTATAACTTTCCACTTCAATGTACAAGAAATAATTTTTTCAAATAATACTCATAGTCATAGCTTTGTTATAATTTTAAATTTAAAAAAAAAATTAAACAGGATTGAGGACGTGAACCCACCCATAATCAATCCTACATTCCTATACCCATTGAAAATTAAAAATTATTGTATCTGTAAACAATTTCACTAAACTTATGGTATTAGGAAGTTCGTAGTCATAGAAAGAAAAAATTAAAATATATGTCTGTTAAACTTGTGTTCAACACACGCAGTGAAATGGGCGGCTCGGGACATTCTAGAAATTTCTACCCACCAAGCGAATACTGGTTTCTCGAGACGGTACTATCGTGGGGAACCCGCGATCCATAATATT